AAATAAATTTTTTAAATTAGATATAATACCTAAAATTTCATTGACAAAAGAACCAAAAATTGATATACATGGGGGGTACAAAAACAAAAAAAAATTGCAAAATAAGGTTCTAATTAGACCATTTTATAAAAAATGAGACTAATTATAGTTTTTTACAATTGACCACGATGTGATTTCATATTTTGAAAACATTGCATGATAACATTATTATCAATGCAATTGAAAATGTCATTCTCTATGTATACAATCAAGTTATTTGTCACTCATTCGATTACGCAATCGATTCTTCACAATCTTCATAGTCGAAAATGTTCTCTCTATTGTGGTAGTCGCAACTGGCAAGACCAATGTCAATGTCACAAGTAAGTAGACCAATAGATATACCACGTGTTTTTTCGTCTCAACCATTTTCTGAGCAAGATGTCTAATCCCTAATAAATTTGAAAACTCAACACTAGAGTGCATATCAATAATATAACTATCCACCTAATCAGAAAGTACCATGAACTCTAGTGAAGAAAATTCTTTTGGATAAAATTGGGCAAGATGAACCAATTTCTCCTTGTCAAAAGCTAAGAAGGAATCAGAAGGATTCAAACATGTCACACGAAGAAGTAAATTAGTGTTTGACTCGGTAAAACGATTATTTAGCTCTTGAAGTTGCATATTTATGACAGTATAAAATAACTCAACTTGATAGTGATACAAATTTGTTTTTTCTTGAGTACGTCTTGACCTCCCTCGAGCTTTAAAGATATTGTCCATCTCTGGAATAATTATCTCATGTTTTTCACAAAAAAATGTGTCATCATCAAGAAAGCAACTCCAACCACTTTCCCTCATTATTTAAAATCGTTACTTGGATACTTCAACTAATGTCATGACATTCACGATATCTTGATCTTTCGTTTGTAATGTCTGCGATAACTCATTTGTGATTCCCAAAATACTTTTCATCAAATAAAGATTGTAGCAAATCCAAAAGAACATTTGCTTCCTCTTTTTGTTATGCATTTATACCATCTTCTGAAACTATATCAAACACATCAATCACTAATGAGAACATATCAATCAAGCTGATCAAAGAATAATAATATGAACCCTAACGTATATCACAAGCACGAGTAAGATTAGTTTTCTGATTTAGGCCTTGCCCACTTGAAAGCTCCTCATTATAGAGTAATTCAATAACTCTATTCGCTTGTTTCTCCCTAAGACTATCTCACCATTTACATGAGGTTCCCACAACATTCACAAATATTAGCGACCAAGTTAAAAAGAGTCGCGATTTAAATATGATTCTTTGCAATGGGCTACAAGAGCTAATTGCAATTGATGCGAAAAATAATGAACATATTATACGTATTCATTCTCATTCATTATAAGTGTCTTGAGACCATTGAACTCACATCGCATATTACTAGCCTCATCGTAACCTTACCCGGGCAATCTTGACAAGTTCAACCCATGTCTAGCAAATAAATCTTTTACAATTGTCTTAAGTGAGAGAGCACTAGTATTAGTAACATGTTCAAAACATAAAAGGTGTTCAACTACATGTCTCTTCTTGTCCACAAATCGCAACACAACAGCTATTTTCTCCTTTGTTGATATGTCACGTAATTCATCAATAAGAACAAAAAAAAAGTGCATCACCAAGGCGGGTCACAATAATAGTACATGTTTCAATAGAAGTTGCAGTTACAATATCTTTTTGAATTTCAGGCGAGGTCAATTTGAGATTCTCATGAGCATTTTTTAACACAACAGCTTTAATATCCTCATTGTGATCCGCACAAAATCTAAGAAGCTCAAGAAAGTTTCTTTGATTACTTGAATTCTCAGATTCATTGTGACCACGAAATGCAAGCCTTTGTCTTAAAAGGAATCGAATACAATCAATGGATGCATTCAACCGGGTTATGTACTCACATTGAGCTTGGTTTGATTGTTTGAAGAAAATAGCTTCAATACTTTGCTTTGGATTTAATAAATCTTGACATTTTCTCAAAGTTTTGTTATGAGAACTATTAACGCCTCCAACATACATTTGGAACTTCTCTATTTTCTTCCAATTTGAAAAGCCCGAGCTAAATAAGTTTTCGCCACCCGATTGTTCTTCCATATCTGATTTAAAATTATAACAATACAAGTAAAATACAGCATCTTTTGCTACACTATACTCAAGTCAGTTACCAAACTGAGAAAACCAAACTTTGTTAAACTATCGTAGTTTAACAACAAATCTTTTTTGTGAAAAATTATGGTCGCGGAGTTGACAAGGATCATTGTGTAGATAAGTTCTACGAATTTGGTCTCGATCATTAAGATTATAATTCATAATCTGAGGTCGTAGTCCAATATCTAATGGAAGATCCGCCAAATTAATATCTACATAACTTTTCTTTGAAGAATCACCACCTCTGTTTGGAGGAGGTGATACCTTTGACTCATACTTTCTCTTGAAGAACTTCTCTATGACTGTTTCAAAAAATTATTCAAGAAAAATGAGTTTATACATCCACTTTTATTATTAATTAAACAAACTATTTTATCAATTTGATTGCTATTATTCTAAAGAATATATTGTACTAGGAAGCAAATACAAGTACAAATACATAAAAGTATCCAATTCATAATTTTAATAAATCCAAGTAATATCATTCAAAGTATTAAAAATAGGTTCGGATTGAGAGTTACCAAAATATATTTTTTACTGTCGACTCAATAACCGTAACTCAAGGTCTTCAAGACATCCCCAATTACTAATCCGGGTTATAACAATTCAAGAAAATAATTAAGGCAAAATACACAAAAAAAAATATGGAAAAATGTATAAAAATTCAAATAAGGGCAAAATGCACAAAAATATAAATTATGATTAAAAATCAAAATGCGCAAAAAATTAGAAATTTACCAAGACTAATTAATTCAAAATTTTAAAAATAAAAAATTAATTTATTTTCTGTGTGTTGCGTGCACAGACTATGCGTGTGTGTTGATCGAGAGAAAGAATAAATTTACTTTTGTCGATGCTCAGTAGTGGTCTGCTGTGTCGATGGAAGGAACGACAAAAAACTTAAGGAACTATGAGAAGCACCTTTAGTCTCTGTTTTTCAGCTGGGCACCATTGACAGGTGTTACTAATGTTAAAGCACCTTTACTCTTTGTTTTTAGGGTTTTTTTGGATGTGGGTACAATTTTTTACCCTTATTTGAGTAAAAGTATATGGATAAATTATTTACTCTATTAAGTGTAATTTTTATAAAAAATTTTGTGTTTAGGTACAAAATTCAAATGAATTAAAAATCTTTTTACCTAAACACCCTCTCTTAAATTATTCAGTTATAATTGGTAGTTATTTGAGAAAGCAAAAATGTAAAGATTAACAATAATAATGAGAGATAAAATAGGGGCATTAATGATCAAAACCCTTCTTCTTCGGCAACAGGATTTGATTAGAATTCAACAAATTATATGTGAATAAAAACTGAATTTTTTCAAAAAAAAAAAAAGAAGAGAGAATTGGTCAATATGTTTTGTTAGATATTATATATTGTTCGTTGTTAGGATGTAGGGAAAAATGAACTTTTTTTTTAATGGATGTAACTGTTTTTTAATGGGTGTAACTATTTTTTTAATGGGTGTAACTGTTTTTTAATGTGTGTAATTATTTTTTAATGAATATAACTGTTTTTTAATGGTGTAACTATTTTTTTAATAGATGTAACTATTGTTTTTTAATGGGTATAACAATCACAGTCTCATGCAATTGTTAAGACATGATGGTGTAATGATGTTGTGATACTAAATAGTGTAACTATTTAGTTTATGTAAATACCTGAATGGCAAATATGGTTGATGTCATAATTTTGTGTAATTGTTTTGTGTAACTATTTAGTTTATTAGAACGCATGAATAATTGTTTGTTATATTATATAACAATTGTTACTGATTGATGTAATTGATTAGTGTAATTGTGTTGTTATAATATTAATATAAATAGAGTAAGAGAAAATAGGGAGAGAGAGAAAAAAAAATTTGTTAGAGAAAATATGCCTCTATTTTACTTTTTATTGCTTAATTGTAGCCAAAATATATGAAAAGGATACAAAAGGATTTTAACTTATCAGCTATTTACTAAATTACAATATTGTCATTTTTTAAAAATATACATTTTAGCCCAAATAAGATTTTGTGTTGTATTTTTGGTTAAATAAGTCTAAAAAATTGTACCAGCTTCCAAATCACTTTTATTTTTAGCAGGTGTTACTAATGTTGAGCCAAAAACTTTGTTTTTTAGTGGTGACACAAAAGTTTTTTTTTTAATATTGGGTCAAAAGTTTTATTTTTTTAATAAGTTTGAGTGAATTGTAATAGACCAAACATTTGATTTTTTAATAAATTTGGGTAAATAATATTGAGCTCAAATTTTTTTGTTTTAAATGAGCTTAATTTTTTAATTCTATTGGGTAAATAATGTGGGTATAATATAAATGAGTGGAACACACGTAATATATTATACAAATATATAATATATATACCTAACTAATAAATTTTTGTTTTTTTGAGGGGGTACTTGTCCACCCTAGCCAGCTGTCTCTCCGCCCTTGCCTCTAGTTAGATCAAAGACAAGTCATTCACGTGCAGAACTACAGTATTTACGAGCGATAAATCTTAAAAAATATCATATTTTCTATATAATTTCCAAAGTTAGACAACCCCACGAACTTATACTTGTGTCTCTTGTTTATGTTTTATTTTTTTTCTGTTCATCTTAATTATAAATTATTTAAAATATAAGTACCACCCGATTAATATTCACCTTGTAATATTATAGAATATTTACCAAAAAAAAAAACAAAGTAGTATGAAGGTCCATGAAATTATTAGCCAAATTCCAAACCCTAAACAACGTGATCAACCGCCGCCTTGTTGGACAAGCCAGAAAATCCTAGAATAAAGCCAAAACTACCTTATAAAAGTCCCAGGAAACAAGAGCCAATTATAGACTACTTTAGAAACAAGAGCCAATCATCTTCTCCAGCTCAGATCGAATTCGGAATCGGAAAACATGGCCGGACTAGAGCTGCAGTTATCGAAAGAGTACGGATACGTTGTTCTTGTCCTCGTCTTCTACTGCTTCCTTAATTTCTGGATGACCGGCCAAGTCGTCAGAGCTCGCAAGAAGTATGTATAGTTCCAATCTTTCTCTCTCTGTGTTTTTTTTTTTTTTTTTTGGGTTTTGGTTTGACTTGGATGAATAATTGAACAAACCCTTTTGTAATTTTTCATTTCCCAGTAATTTGTTTTTATTTTCTTATTGGAACGTCACTTTCCAGTAGTGTGAATGTGCATAAAATTGGATGTAATTTACTGGCACAAAGTGTTCAGTATCCTATTTTGTGTAGCTCAAAACTTTGTTTTTTTGTTATTTTCTTTTGTTTTGATGTAATTTGGATGAGTAACAGAAAAAACCCTTTTGAAAATTTTCATTTCCCAGTAATTTGTTCTTCGCAAAGGCATTTCCAGTGCTCTGAATGTGCATAAAATTGGATGTAATTTACAGGTACAAGGTGTTCTATACGTGTGTAGTTCAGATTTTTTTTTTTTTTTATGTAATTTGGATGGGTAATTGAACAAACCCTTGGATGACAACCAAAAAAAATGGAACAAACCCTTTTTTGGTAACTTTTCACCTCTGTGTAATTTGAATGTACATAAAAATTGCATGTAATTTACAGGTATAACGTATCCTATCCGACTCTCTATGCCTCTGAATCTGACAACAAGAATGCCAAGCTGTTCAATTGTGTTCAGGTTGGATTCTTGTCTCCTTTTTACTCAATTTTCTTCTCATTATATATGTACACTAGTAATAATATGAAGACACTTTGTAATACCAAAATCAACCATTGATTGTGTGACATTTGTATTTTAAATTACAGAGAGAAAATAAGAGTTAGCGGAGAGAGAAGAGAGAAGTGAGTATGGGTTAGTGAGAGTGTGTTGGTTGGGCTATGCAGAAAAATAATATTTTTAGCAGGAAATAGTTGTTTGGAATGAATTTGGTACCGATAGATGAAATTAGATGAAGATTGGATTAATCTAACCATTGTTTTGTGATTTTGCAAATGTGCAATTCAAATTGTTGGCTGTAATATTATACAGATAATTTGTTGTAGTCTTGATTGTAATTAATGAGAGTGAAATGGGTGGGGATTGGTGATTTGCAGAGAGGGCACCAGAACTCGCTGGAGATGATGCCTATGTTCTTCATGCTGATGATTTTGGGAGGCATGAAGCATCCATTGATATGTGCATCTCTTGGAGTCGTCTATATTGTCGCTCGCTATTTCTATTTCACCGGCTACTCCACCGGCAATCCCGAGAACCGCCTCAAGATCGGGTTTGTCTTTCTATCCCCACCTGCTAGATAACCCTTTACGCACACGCAGTGACAATGTGTTACACAAACAGCATTTTGTTGCAGAATTTTCATTCAGCCACCGAGAGTGTTTCAGTAATTAGTTCATCAATTATATTGTGAATGAATTGGTTAGAATTAATCCTTGGAAGCCGGCTGGTGAGGGAAAGGGTGTCCAAGACTTCCTATGCTCACATTTGAACTCATATTGAATTATACTTACGAATTACGATTATAAAACTCCACCACGCCCTTGTATAGCCGATGTCTAAGGTAGCCTACTCTTTCAATAGTGACCTATTGATAGCCCCTTTTCATTTGGCAGTTCTACTCATCTGTCATTATTCAATAACTTTGTACTAAGGTAGTATGTTGACATTTTAATCTAACCTATAGGTTGCCGTTCCCGTAACTCCACTACATAGAGCTCAGACTCATATTGCATTCAATCTCGTACTCAATGTATTGGATTGTATTGAAAGGTTGTCAAAGAGTTCATATACATATATCTAAGTCAATAAATAGGATTATAGTGCAGGATTTTCTCTAGATTTTGTCAGATCAGAATGTTGCTTGTTTGGAAATGCTCATGTTTGTTTGGATTTTTTATTTTGTGCAGTAAATTTGGCTTCATGTCGTTGATGGGGCTTATGGTATGCACAATCTCGTTTGGAATCAGTCTTGTCATTGCATAAGTACAAGAAGCTTGAACCCACCACAGCCTCCCTGCCATTGCCTATGTCGCTTCTTTCTGTTGTTTTACTTTTCCATTTAATGCTGAAGAATTTTGATTTTTGTTAAGTAGGCCTGTAAGAAAGAGGAGACAGTTTTGCTGTCTCTTGTTGACATTTTTGCAACTAATAATGTGAATCTGCTTGTAACCATTGTTACTGGGACATTGTATTTCAACAGATCCTCTCTATTACTTTCACTTGATTTTATTGAGTATTAGATCACGAATTTTAGTGGCATCTATTTTTTTTTAATTAAAATGGTCACTCATTCATGTAGAACGGGTGATTTATTATTGAATGAAAATATAATGAAGATGATTTGGATCCACGTATCGGTTTGAGATGAAAATATAATGGATTAAAATGTGAGGTGACTTTGCCTTTTCAATACTATTTTGGTGGTAGACTTACATGAGCCCATTGCCCAATAGTAGAAACGAAGATGATAATTTGTAGTGCTACTTAGCAAAAATAAAAAAAGAAAAAAGAAAACTTTGTTGTGTTCCCAAGTTTTGCTATGAAAATAAAATATTGTTGATTTTTCAGTAGTAGATCAGTAATAAAAAAACTAAAGTGGAATTTACTGTATAAAGTGAATGATTATTAAAGTAACTGGAAATTAAGGGAAGGAGCAATGGTGGGTGTCAAAATCCTGTTGATTCAAAGTACTGTTCTCGACTCTTGAGCGGAGTTAATTGACTCAAGAATTTTCTCTGGGATACGTTTTTAATTTCTTTCTGCTTAAAACGCAAGCAAAGCCTAGGAAATACAGCCTATATTAAAGTATAGCCTTTAAAGTTTTGGTCAAAATTCATAAAATTGTATCAAAGACTATATTAAAGTATAGCCTTGCAAGCTATGTGTGTGCACAATGCGTCACTAGTTGACATGATTTCCACATCAAATCATAATATTTACATCATATTGAAGTATTAGTTATTTCTCGTGCCTAAAGGCACGAAATAATAAAAAAAATAGTTAACAATAAATATATTTATATTTATACTTAAAATTAAATCATAAAAAAAGAGAAAAAAAATTTAAACACTAGTTGTAGTGGAGGGTGAGCGATGATAGTGGTAGTGGGTGACAATGGTAGTGGTGAAAAATGGTAATGATTGTAGTGGGTGACGATGATCGTGGTGGTGATAGCAACCATGGGTCGCAATAGTGATGGTGGTGGTGAAATTTGAATGACGATGATGATAGTGACAGCCATGGGTAAAAACGGTTGTGGTGATGGGTGTGGGTGATGGTGGTTGACAATGGTGGTGGTGGTGAGGCGACGACAGCGATGGGCGGAGACGATGGTGGTTGTGGACAACGACAGTTGCTTTCTAAGCGACAATGTGATAGGTGGTGGCGAATAGCTGTGATAGGTGTGGTGGAGGTGGGTGACAGTGACTAGAAGCGATGGTATGCGACGACGGATGGTGGTAGATTGTGGTAGTGGGTGGTAACGGCGGGCGACGATGGTAATGATAATAAATATACAAAGGAGATAACAATGGTGGTGAATGGATGACAGTGGTAACAATTGGTGGCGATGGTGATGGTGAGGGTGGGGGGGTGGGGTGACGGTGATTATGACAGAGGTGGTGGTGGGCATTAGGTTTGGTGGTGAGAGTAGTGATGATAGTAATGAGGTAGTGAGTTTGGTGGTGGGAGTAGTAATAGTGGTAATGAAGCAGTGGTGGTGGTGGTGGTGGTGGGGCGGTGGGGTGGTGGTAGCGTGGTAATGGTGATCTTGGTTGTGGGGGGGGGGGTGGTGGTGGGACAGTGGGTTTGGTGGTGGTAGTGTGGTAATGATGATGGTGGTGGTAGTGGGGCAGTGAGTTTGGTGGTAGGGCGATGGGGGGTGGTGGTCCTTGTGGCAGAGGTGATGGTGGGTGGCGGCGATAGTGATAGTGGGTGGTAGTAATGATGATGGTTGTAGGGCAGTGGTGGTGGTGGTGGTGGTGGGGTATCGATGATAGTGGTAATGGTGTGGTGATGGTTGTGAGATGATGGTGGTAGTTGTAGTGAGACAGTTTCAAAAATTATTTTTTTGTAGAAGTATTTATGAGAAGTTATAAGTTCTACAAACACCTTTAAAAAATCACTACAAACACAATTATTAAAATTGAGGTGTTAATATTAGTCTTTGGATTAAAGAGATTTCAACCGCAAAAAACAAAAATCATTTTATTTATCTTTTTGAGATTTAAATTGTATTGTACTTTATTATATAGATAATATTTAAATTATACTCTCTTTAATAATTTAATTTTATAAATGGTGATTTTACCATGATATCAAAGTACAAAGTTTTGTGCTTAAATATTACCGTCACCTTCTTAATTAATTTTTTTTTTAGTTTTAGATCCCAAAATTTAATTTGCACATGAAAATTTGTGTTGAAAGCTAAATACTTAAAATAAAATTTAAACTTTTATTGTAAATGGTGATTTAACATAACAAAGGGGAGAAAAAAAAAAAAGAAAATATAAGATCCTGTGATAATTTATTATGGAATAAATATTAAATACTGTGCAAAATCACCCCATTAAACTTTAGTAAAAAAAAATTAATAATAAGCAAAGATTTTGATATAGACAGCCTTGATGGTGCCACCAGAATTGCACCGGCATCTAGCCTTGTGCCTCATAACGTAGACTGGGTCTCTAGATGGGTCTATAGATGGCCCAGCTTCGTCGCTTTCTTTTCCTTTGGATGGGTTTTCCACGACCCGTTTCATAAGCTGTATTTGCACAATCTTTTCTCTTTACCCGGCCCGTTGAACTGGATGCTACACTGGTATACTCATGTGCTGGGTGAGACCTTATCTTTTGATTGTAGGTTGTATATGAATTGAACTGAGATTCGATTGAACAAGGGACATATTAATAGCCAAGAATCATGTTCAGCTTTAAACATTTTCATTCAAGTTTATATCTATAAATTTTTTTTATTTAAAAAAATAATTTAATGCTCAACTCGCTTCAAGTCATATAATTAGAAGAAATAAGTTCAAGCAAACTAGTATTCAAATTTAAATTACAATTTAGACTTGTGCTCAAAATCAAGCTCTAATAGCAGAAATCCAAACCACTCGTAGTTATCTATAAACAACTCGTTTTGGAGATTGGCACCTCAACTTGCCCTCTTTCACTCCCTTTAGGAATATTCGCTACAGCTGCTGAACTAATAAGCATAAAATGTACCTGCCTAGGAGTGGGTGTTAATGTGTGTGTGTGTGCGTGGAGGGAAAGAGAGAGGAAACCATATCAGGAGAACATATTCAGTACCCAAGACATCATAATACTGTCATTTAATGTACATTTCCTATAAAATATTTATCCATTCTCTATTAATTTCTACTTCTAAAATTATCATAAAATTTTTTGAACAAATTAAATGTGTTTGACAAGCAAATGTTGTGCCGATTTCTTGTTAGATGTAAGCATTACATGACACTGTCATTTGGTACCTTATAATAGCAACTCCGAGGGCCTCCATAAAAACACCCTTCTTAGTTATTTTACATAGGTAATTGGTAAATGCAGTCTCCAAGAAACTAGCTATTAACACTAGCTATTTTCCATTAACATCAATTGCCTGTCTCCAAGAAACTAGCTATTAACACTAGCTATTTTCCATTAACATCAATTGCCTGGCTACTCCTGGCGAGGGCAAAGGAGGTCGCTATTTTGTTTTTTGCGCCAACAACACCCCAGAGGCTTCATCACAAAAGGGTTTATCGTCTGAATGTTTTATCGTCTTCATCGTCCAGAAGACTTTATCGTCTGAATCAGTTCACAGAAAGCTTCATCATCTTCATCCCACTTGAGATCTGGCTTCATCGCAGAAGGCACAAATCAGTTCATTTTTTTTTTGAGATTAATCACCAATATGTGCGTCTTGGAATGCATTCTACTTGTTTGTTAGATTTCCTGTGAACAATTCGGTTATCGTAACATATTGGTTTTTAAGATTTTGATTTCTTATGTTGGGATGAGAACTAAGGGGTTTTTGATGAATTTTTATAATGGGTTTTTGAATATTAGACTGTTGAGTTTAGCTCTTGTCTCAGATGGGTTTGTCTCATTTTTAAATTTAGTAAATTGAGTACCTTAAGGATTTAGACTGATTATGAGGTTTTGGCACTTGAGTTCTTGGAGTTTAGAATTATAGTTCTTGAAAGTTCCATTAACGGGGCTTTGGAGTCTATGATGGAATTTAACTGATTTGGGGAATTAAAATTTTTAAATTTTATATTTCATGACCGTTATAAATATGACTGTTATTAATAAAAATCAAAATTTTAAAATTTTGATGACATGACGTAACACGTCAGCTTGTGATGTCATCAATATAGTGATGACATGATATACTACATAATATTTTAGATTTTAATAATTAATAGTTAGTTAAAGTTGTTAGGTAAAATAGATAGCGTGGTTGGAATGAATTTGAAAAAATGGTTAGCTAAAGTAAATGGTGTAATAAAAAAATATATTTTTACTAGCTAGTTTACATAGTCTCCTTGGAGTTGCTCTAAATATTGAATATTTTCTTTCGAGCAATGCTAGTAGGATTTAATTTACTGACTTAATTTGCTGACCTAATTCACTATGACCTTTGGATTAAATGTAGGCTCCATCAAACATTGGAACTTGGTATTTATCCAATGGGTCTAATAAAATCATGTCATTAGGTCAATAAATTATATCAAATTTTTAGATCCAAATAACATTTTTCTTTTTTTTCGTGTGCGGTTTGAAAATCAATATAATAAACGGATTTGATTATGCTATGAAAAAATAATTTTTTTATACCGTGACTCTATGTTTATCTAATAAAATAATAATAGGCATAAAGATTTTAAGTCTATAATTTTTATAACCAATAATTACAATTTTATTATACCAAAATCTATGATTTTAGATCAATCTCGGTATGATATCTAATTTTTTTTGCTGGTATGTAGACTTATCCTAAGAAGAGATTCCTTTTTTTTTTTTTTTCAAATGAAATATTGATACTGTAGTGGGGACACAGTAGTAGGTACTCTGACATAATATTTTTTTTAAAAAGACCCAACCCTTTAACGGCTCCATCAACAGTCTGCCCGCCAGTGTTCAAATTTTGAAATTAGTGTGTCTTTCTCTCTCTTACCCCTAAAAAGCCACCATTTTAAAATAATCTGGGTTTCTCGGTCCCTGGACCCCTACCCTTTTTCCCTATCTTCCTCCTTGCCTACCGCTATATTACACCTCCCATTTTCCTATCTCTATCTTTCATCTCTGCAATTTCTCTCTCTCCGCTGGGAAATGGGTAGTTGTTTGAGCAAGAAGAGCACTAGTTCTTCTCCCAGTGCACTTCCGAAGCCACCAGACCAACCCGAGTCCAATACCCAAGTAGAGAAGAAGAAGCCGGAGGCAGAAACTGTGAAGAAAGAAATATTCGTCATAAAACACAGGAAGAGCCATGAAAGAAATCGGCGATCTGAAGAAGAAAATGGCGAAGTGGAAAAGGCCAATGATTTGGCGGATCAAGGGAAAATTGGTACTAGTAAGGATATGGTAAATTGTGGATTAAGCAACAGCAATGGCAATGGCAATGGCAATGGCAATGGCATAATAGTAGCAGCACAAGTGAGAACATCGAGCTGTACGAAAGAAGAAGTTGAATCTATTCTCATACAGTGCGGAAGGCTTAGCCGAAGTTCTTCCACCGGAAAGGCAGCTAATTCGGGTTCTGGTGGGTCAAGTGACAACACCAACATTGTTCAACGTGGTAGGAAGTACTCTGGATCAAAGAGGAGTTATGATTTCGGCAATGAGGTTGGTGACCATGAGAAGAAGAACGGCAATACTTACAAGGGTAATGGTGATGATGACAACAATGTCGGTGATGGTGGTGATGATGGAGCAGTGATGGAGAGGATTCACCGTCATACACAACGCCAGCGCAATCCGAGAAGTAGGTCTTCTTCTCGTGGAAGAAGAACCCCAAGTAGGGAAAGAGACCAACAGCAACAGCAACAGCAGCGGTCAGGTAGTAGAGAAAGAGGTGGCAGTGGTGGGAGAAGGTTGAGTCGATCCCCCGGTAGAAGATCTGAATCGCCAACTACTTCCAATGGTGTTACTGGAGCTACTCAATCATCTGGCAACGTTAATAGTACTGGTTCTAGGCCTGGAAAGATGGTTTCAGTGCCTGCCACAGTGTCCTCATTGGTGATGGATAAAAGCAACAACGGTGGCGGCGCTGAGCCTATTTCCGCTGTTGCCATTAAAAGGATTCAAGTGAAGCGGAATGTGGGTGATGCCACCACAGGTTCGAGGAGTGCAGCCTCTCCTCGTGCTCGGTCCCCAGCAAGGGCAAATGTTAGGGCTTCAAATGAGAATCAGAATAGTCAACACCAGCAGCAGCCATTGTCCCTTAGCCGAAGCAATTCAAGGAAGGCCGAGCAGTCCCCCTACAGGAGAAATCCCTTGAGTGAAATTGACACCAATGTTGTCACATGTGACCAACTGGCAGTTCCCCGCGACAAGGCTCCCAACAAAAACATTGTCTCTCAGGTATTACTTACCCACTTTTAATCCTCTAATTTGTCTATCGTATGCATCTCTCTCTTGATAATGTTTTCGTGTCCTAATTTCTCCGATTAGCAGCATTGTAGTACTGCCCTCTTCTTTTTTCCCCACAAGTATTTTGGCTGCTACTTTACATCAATCAATAATCTTGCAGGCTCCAATGCAGAAACCAGATGTTGAGAATGTAAGCAAGAACAAAGCTGCGCAAGGGATTGATAACAAAACCACCACCAGCAAAGGTATCCCTCACGACACTGTTACACCTACTTGCAGAGCAAATGAGCAGCAGCTGATAGCAGAAGAGGGAAAGGGACAGCAACCAATGACTTGCAATGTAGCAGTGAATGTGATTTCCTCAGGAGCTGAAAGCTTTACACCCCAAGCGTTAACAAGAAGCAGGTCCTCTAGGAAATCTCGAGACCTAGATGCTAATCCTGAAGCTTTATTGAATCCTACTTCATCCTACACTGCCCTATTGCTCGAAGATATTCAAAACTTCCACCAAAAGAACACCACCAATACTCCTGCTTTTACTCTCCCTCCTTGTGTCAGCAAGGCCTGCTCCATCCTGGAAGCAGTTGCCGACCTGAACTCAAGCACTAGCTCCAATCTGTCTTGTGCTCTCTCTGATGACAGAAGAAGAAACCCCACGTCAGAGCAATCTAATAAAAGTAATTACATTACTCCATTCGGAGCCAACTCAGTTGGAAAAAAGAGACTACAGACCAAGGACCCATTTGTGGAGTCTGAGGTGGTCATTAGTGATGATCTAATGCAACCGAGCTTCCACAAGTATGTGACAGTGAGGAGGGGCACAATGGGAGACGGAGATATGGAAGAGCAAGAATCTTCAGGGAGCAACAGCTTTGTGGGTGATCAACAATGCTGGATTTCTTCTTCATGGGAAGCAACTCAGCCAATTTAACCAACTGCTGGACCTCATCCAGGTCTAATACCAGGGAGTGTGAACGGAGTCCCCTGGGCTTCCATATACATGCCTTCTCAGAGTTAGGCCATGACATGGACGAGGCTTGAAGAAGGTTGAGTGGAAAAAAGAGGGAATCTGATTGTCAACACACCAGGATAAAGCAGGTTAGGTTGGTTCCAGCAGAGGTCTTCCCACACAGCTACCTACTGCAGCTGCTTCAACTTGACTTTATGTGACTGATCCTTTCAGTTATTTCTTTCATTCGAACATTTGCATCAGTGGTTGCAAACTTGTAACCTTCATTGTAGTTTTCCATTGTAAGCAGAATTGTTTTGTGGACTAGATCTATTTTGTCATTGACTCAAAATATCACATAGCCAAGTGTTATTAACAAAATCAAAATTACCAGAGATTGATTATGCATTCCCACATTTTCCAAATGGGTGAACAAACTTAAGTTTCATCATAATATTTCATGTTCTCTGGGGCATCTCGAACCAATACTTCATTGGGAATGAAATGTTGAGGCATGAATTCTAACTCCTAACCTTCTCCCCAAACAAATGCTATTCCAGGAAAAATCCTGACCCCTAGTTCAGACTACGGGTCCACCTACTACAATCCTATGCCTATAGAATGGTATGCCATGATGCTACAGATTTCAGATAGTAATACCAATTTGTTCTGAACTCATATTTACATGAATATGCTGAAGACGAGTTGATGTAGAGTCAACCAGCCTACCATGTTCTGGCTTTCTTTGTTTACAGGTTAGGGGCATTGACCTTTTTTGCATACTTCATTCCACGCCATCCTTGGAATTAACCAAGTATATTGCAACTACAGTAACAAGTGCTCCAACCAATTGCACAGGAGAGAAGGTCTCACCAAGACAAAGGAATCTGTGACAGAAAAAAAAAAGGAAAAGGGAAAATAGATTAAAACAGTAGAGAGAGAGATTTAGAATTGCAATTACACATTTTTGTAATCTATTTGTGGTTGAATGACCTTACCCAAAAATTGAAGCAAACATGGGGGTTAGAAAAGTTAGAGAGCTAAGCTTTGTCAGGCTACCTGAAATGCATTAGCAGAGCCTAGTTAATATTGAGAAAGAAGCTGGCAGAAAAATTTAGGGGTTGTAATCTAATTCAATTTAGAAATGAATAAATCGTGAGTTCTACTGGAAACGGTATATCACATGGCTAGCTTGATGCAACAAATTCAGTTGAACATAACCAATGATAAGATACTATCAAAACCAGAAAGAGATATCAAGGCATTTTTTAGCCAAAGGAAGAGCATGAAATTCATCAAAATTTGAAGATGACCTCTTGTAGCATTGTAGAAGTATACACCATAGCTAATAGCACTTCCAAAGATGGACGTATAAAGAAGTGCTGACAGATCACTTGCTGTAAGCTCCTTTAAACCACCGCTAATGGCAGGATCATGATTAAGAATTGAAATCACTGCGAGAGGAAGGCCACCAATGATCATGTGCTGCAATGAATATTGAATGCAGATTAGTAACTGTCTGCTAATTTTAGCTAATTCTATTAACCATAATGTGGCAATAGGTGATTGCTTAGTTTTCTAGGCATATGTCTGGAATTGAATGCCCCCAATTGTTTAGATACTAATAACACCTCCCATTTCAACACATGCATTTGAAGATTTTCCCAATTATGGCCTCTCCGTTGGTGTCATCCTATTGGAGTTGAATGGCCAAGGGTTACCGGAATCAGTAAGTTTAGATGGCTAAGAAGGTATATTAGAAAACATTCAAGACGTGAATACACTTCAAGAAGGCAGCAACAACTAACACAAGATGGGGAGGAATTTTATTCCATGTTAGAGGAAAAAAGGATACGGACAACGTATGAAATGTCTCTGAGACTGATTATTTGATGTGGTTGACAGAGAGAAGCAGAAGCAAATGTCACCATAAAATAGAAAATCCTCCCCAGTGTGGTTGGCTCTAGAAATAGGATTATGTGGCCCAAGTCTTCAAGGATGGTTGAATCCTATACTATTACGTACTTCTTCCTGTGGCTCAGAGGATTAGGATATCAGATGATGTTGAGCTAGCAACCACTAATGCCAGTAGAGCCAACCAAATACACATAAATGAAGCAAGTTAGGTTCGCCTGGATTAATTGACCGATCCCTCAGACCAAGCACAAGCAAAGGAAGTTAGGGTGATCTTTCGCAATGCTGGCCCAATTGATAAGTAGAACAGCTGCCTAAGTCTGCCCAAAGGCCAGATAGACCCAACCAACTGGCCCCTTGGGGCAAAAGGACATTATGAGGCAAAAAGGAAGAGTGTGGGTTGACGTAATGAGAGAAATCTGACGAGTGGGTAGAATTGAATGGAAGCAAAGCTGTGGTTCAGCAACCTTCTGGGACTCAAAGGATTCCTTACTGCGACAGAACAGAGGATGATGACCTAAAGTTGTTCATTTGCACTGAATTGGCAACAACGTGAGAGGGTTGGATGGATCAATGGAAGCACTGGGATTTTACTTAATGTTTGTTTGGTTATGGTTCATGCGAATCATGCCCATTGCCATGGTGAACATACGGTAATTTCTGCTCCACAGACAGAAACACCAAGCTTGGAAGCAGTTGCGGGGGGCACAGGTCACTTTTTGTGCTCCGTGAATGAGAATGAAACTCCGAGGGTTTCCTTTCTTAAAGATTCTTGTTCCAAAGCTCCTTCCTTAGCTGGTTGAAACTTTGATTTTGGACTGTCCTCTGCCCAATGCAGGGTCTTTAAAATTTTACATGATTAAGGTTTTGTTAAGTTGAAGGGGCTACACTACAGATACAAAATAAAATGTATGCAAATTGTAAGCAACCAAAAAGTTTCAATATAGTTCAACCGCAATGAAAGAATGCCAAGTAAGGGGGAATCAGATTTCAACGCTGTTTCCATTGTTCTTCAAATGCCAAATCATAGGATATTGTTAATAAGTTTCTGGTATAGCAAATTTACAGAACTTACCCACCCAGTAGCCATCACAGGATCAGAGTACTTGGAAACCCAGCGGACCATGACTGTACCAACAGCCATGCTTTGAGCTGCAAGAAGCATCCACCATTCTCCACTCCCCCACAATGAGAAATTATTCTCATCAAAGGCAAGCGCAGGTACCTGCAGGGTATATTTCACCCTATTGTTCAGGCATCCGAATAACAGTCTGGAACATTATCTTTGCAATTATACAACATAAAACAACTCAATCTAAGTAGGGATGAAGCTTTATAGTCCATCAGATGACATTACGTAAATCAGCTGCAAAAAGGTGTGATGGCGCCAGGTTGAGTAGATTGCATTCTTCTTTAAATTTCTATGGGGTTGCATGGGGAAGGGAATAGAATGACAGACGGGGGTCCACCAGATGGTATAGGCGAAGTGAAAAGGGTTCACAAACAAAGTTTTGTATTTGTTTACCAGTTGAAAAAAAAACAAAGTTCTGGGTTTGGGGGGTGACTGAGCTTAGGCTCTGTGTTAGAAACTAAAATTTGTTATTTCATGAATCAATAGATTACGTAGGAGTACAGGTGTGTAAATATAAATTGTGAGAATCTACCAGATCTTCAAAGTTAACAGTTTAAAATGAACCAATATCAAGTGAAATCAACACATTCCACCTACACAACTCATCCTTGGAATCGAAGAGCAAAAAAATTTACTATAGAGATCCAATGCCCACCTCAGATGCCATGATTTTACCCTTTTATTCAAAAAATCCCAATCACAGAGTAATATCCGACAAAAAGGATGATGAACCATAAACATTGATCAATTAGTTTCAAATAATAAGATGCCCAAAAATTTCAATGAAGGTTCTACTTCACAGCAGAGGTTGTTCTTCGATAGCTAAGAAACACTATGCACTTTCAAACCTGTAAATAACAATAAATCACATCTAATCCAAAGTACGTCCTTGTAGGCAATTTGTGTAGCATTTAAGCCAGTAAAGTGGCATTACCAAGAGTCAACAAAGGCACAGAGAGAAGCTTCAGCCATTGCCAAAACATTTTCAACTTCATAAATAGCGTCTAAGATTTGATAAGGCTAACAATACAAGGTAAAATTGGAAAGAGAAGGAGAACCTGTAGAGTATGTTGACAACAATACCTCAAGAAGTAAAAGGCCAATGACACCAAGCACAAGCCCTCCAGCTCCAGCAAACCCGACCGATTCACCAAACAACAAGGCAGCAAGTACAGCCACTGTCAAAGGCTGTGAATCGATTATCACCTGCAACAGTTTGTTCAATCTGTTGTCAGAAGATAGATTCACTACCCAATGGGAAAATCATTGATATTGAGGATATAATAAATTATTGATATAATAACTGAAAACTATAGAAAACATAAAAAATTAGTCATTCCAAAGCATCAAGCCACACTCAAAGTACACATTAAGTTATTCCTTTTGCTACCACATTGTTCTGTTACCTTAATCATAATAAGTCAAGCAAACTACAAGCACATAGGTCCAAAAAAATTACAAGTAGCAAAAGTAAATCCTCCAGAAATTTAGAACAGTTAATTCTTGTAAGCATAGGAGTTAGCAATGCACTGAACAAACAAAAGATTCCAGATTTCAACTAGAATCAGTTGCTATATCTACAATTGAGATAAAAGCCTAATATGAAAAAGCAAAGACGTCTGTAACATTACACTGCCAAGACCAGCTGATGTCCTCTGTAGCCCTTCAGCAAGAAAACCCTGCCCCAGCATACCAAAGCAGAAGAAAAGTTAATATACTAGCCCAACAAAGAAAACCCAACAAGTAGATTTAGATTAGTGTGTGTTTTGTGTGGAGATAGCATAGGCACAATGAGGAGAGAAACAAAGACCTGAAAACAAGTAGCATCAACGAGAGCGAAGAGACTGATAGAGAGCCAGGCAGTGAGTCCAGACGGAAAACTCCGGCCTCGTGAGGCAGCGAATGCGACCAACATAAAGCCGGAGGGTACTAAACGGAATGCCGATATGAAGAACGGACCAGTCTTAGGCAAGACTTCCTTCATAGCCACCATAGCCGTGCCCCAAAAAAAGAAAGGCGACACCAGCAACACCCATTCCCACACTTCACTCAGCAATATCAATGAAGATTCTTCTCCATCTGTTTCGTCCTTCAATTTTGTGATTGAGGAAGTAGAAGAAGATGGAACAACACATTCGACATCGAGCCCAGTGCCTACGCAATCAACTTCGAATGATGATGATTCCACTTGCACGTCGGATTCTGTGGCCTTGACCTTCCTTTTCTTGTTGATGTATAGGTAACTGGATGAAACCCTAACCCTAGCAATGGTGGTAGAGAGGGGCGGATGTGGCTGTGGCACTGTCGACACAGCCCCTGCAATAGCTAATCGTACAGACACATTTCGGGCTCTAGTGATATAATGATGGTCGTGACGGAGCCAACGCCGCCCTAGCCAAGCCGTTGGTGGCGGAGAAGCGACGGAATTGAGATGAGGAATAGCAGCGACACCACAACAGGCACCGGAAGGAGAGGAAGATGAAAGAGAAGCACATGCCATTTTCCTCCCCACTTTTCCGTTATTTGGTTGGTTGTTAATTTTATATTATATATGCGGACAGTGGACTACTCCTTATCTAAATCAAGAAAAAAAATTGGATTAATTGTAATTGTAGCCCTCAAGTATCACCTAATTCTGAATTTAGCCCCTATACATTTTTATATTAGGTATTATATTACATATTATTTAATAAAAAAATTTTAAGGATGTTTTTCGAGCAAAAAATAATTTTGTAAAAAAATAAAATTATGTTTAATTACTTCAAAAAGTAATTTAGATGTATATTTAATATATAATTAATACTTCATATAAGTTGTATATTATATTATTATACATTAAATTAATAGCAGAAGGAAGGAAGTAAGTTGCAGTAAAAAGTGAAAAAATAAATGTTATTTTTAAAAAATAAAATAAACTAAATTTAAGAAACATTGAGAAATGATACTTTAATTTAATTCTCTAATATTCAACCGAATATTAATTTGGTGAATTATTAGGGAAAAAACTGTACATGTGATTTTCAATTATGACATATGGTATATCGATATTTTTCATCATTTTTGAGTGAATTTATTGATTGACTTGAATTGAAACTAGATCAAAAATTCAAAAACGAAATTGATAAAAATATATATATACCCAAATAGGAATTGATGTAAACTTTTGTGGTGATAAATATAATTAACCCAAAAAATATTTAGGAAAAAACAAAATAAATAGGTGAAGCACCTGACCAGCATGGATCCACGAAGGCAATTTCACAAGCGGCCCAAGACCGGCGCTGTCTGAGCCCAATATTATAACACTGTGTTTGGTATACTCTGAATCAAAACGCTACCTCTTTGCTCAAACCGCCAAAGCCGACGACTCAAATACTCGGGAGCACTGAGCACCATATCTCCATCTTCTTCCATCTTTCTCTCTCTCCTACGTAAAGAGAGGTAGGTATGAAGTAATGAAGCATATCGTATGCCTCGATATTTTCTTTTAAGATTATTTCTGGGTCACTGCACGAATATTTACATAGGAGCACAATGATTTAAAGAGTGCATACCAGATGTTTGATGAAATTCCCAGTTTAAAATTCTTACGTTTATGGTCTTTTCGATGCTATTTTTCACTCATGTAACAACTAGAGGGGAATAAGTACTGGTAGAACCGTTCAAAGGCACCATATATTTGATGCTCAATTTGACCCAAACAGATGTTATTATGGGTGAATATAGATTTTGCTTGTCATTGGAAAACCCTACTTATGTGAGCGGGAGAGCTGATTTGTTTTCTATTTCTACCCAGAATGTTCACTAAGGATTGTTGGTCCCGGATTGTATCATACGACTACTACATGGGCATTTATCATGCACTGTTCATTTTGGTAGGAATTTCTTATGGGTATGTATAAATCTATGAAGTGCAAAATAAAATTATTTATTTTGTGTAACACGGTAACTTGTTTGTTTCTTGTTCTTCTTTGAAGTTCTGAACTTCTACATAAAACTTATTGAGTGGCTATGCCTACCATTATAGACATTCTTGCGGATTAACCCCTAATGCTACCAAGTCTCAGAAGAAGTATTTCTTTCGCTATTATGTAAGATAGTGTTGCTTAGAACAAAGATTGTTTCTGCATCAAGAACACAAATGGAAACTTATACCATATCTCCATGCTTGATAGTGCCAGTACTCTTCTTGTGTTCTTCACAAAATTTTAATTTTCATTTGGACTATGTTTGCGATATGATATGTCTGATTTCTATTCTTGCAGAATTTGTAAAGGTGTGAGCATCTGTGAACGGAAAGATTCAGCTAGTAATTTGTGTTGGGGATTCTCAATATGTCGGGTGGGCCTGGGCTTGAAGCTCTTGTGGATCGTATGTTATCCTTATACCTTTTCCGATACAATGATACATCATCTTCAATTTTAATTGATGTGTTCTAGCAGTTGACTTTGCATGGTTTGAATGGCGGCTTTGATTATTATGGCATTTGGATAGTCCTATAATGTTTTTTCAGAAATCTCTGGATGTTCTAGAATCTCGATACATTAATATTGATTGCTAATATTGTCTTTTTGCAGAAACAATTTCGATTATTACAAATGATGGACGTAATATAGTGGTGAGTTAACTCAGAGTTTGAACCACAGTTGCAAAATCTTGTAAACAAAACTCTTTTGTTTTACTGACTAGTTGTGAGTTTTGATTCAGGGAGTTTTGAAAGGTTTTGACCAGGCTACAAATATAATCCTCGATGAATCTCATGAACGGGTTTATTCTACCAAGGTCTGAATGAGTTTATGTAGAAAGAATAAGTAATTTGTCTTATGCAATTTCACTCTTTTTGTGTATTAGAAGTACACCTAGTTTTTTTATACAGCCTTAACATAATTGTTGCCCTCTTTTCTTGTGTCAGAGTTCTATTATGTTTTATTGTTGTCTTCACATACTACTGATATAGGCAAAATATTAAAAAGAAAGATACACTCAACCACATGTATGTAGACTCACCCTTTATTACTTGGCATTGACACTGACTAAATGTTTTTTGACAGATCACTCTCAAAGTATCGAATCCTATTTAATGGCTAATAGCAGAATCTCTCTCTCTCTCTCTCTCTCTCATATATATTTATACCCTAGTAATATATAACAAATAAAAAAATTGCAAGCAATTAGTCATACCTAAAGGCACTTTATAATACAAAAAGAATCAACAATTAATATGGAACCACTATTTTTATAAAAATAAACAAAATCCCTCTAAAAACATGACCGGTGAATAGTACTAACCTATGTACACAATTTATATAATCAAATTAATAATTGGTATAAACTTTTATTTAAAAAAACACTATTCAAGCCATCACGCCACAATAATACTTTAATACAACTATTTAACAAATGAAGTCTAATAGCAAACGAAAACTATCTATTTAAATTATTAACTAAATGAAGACCATAACAAAATTTTATCCGGCAAAATAATTGCTTTATTACATCTACTAATATCTAATTGACTATGTATCTGCTATCTGAGTACACCATCATAAATTTTATATTTAGTAATAGAAACATATCAGAATGGTAAGACTTAAAGTTATGTTTTTCAGTCTACACGTGAAAATCAAAAGTTGCCATGCACCCACACATAGTTCGGTGTCAATTATAACTAATTCGGTGGTTGAATAAAGTATTAATGACAACTTATATGATATCAAAATAATGTAGAAGCATTTTTTCAATATTATGAACAATGTGTCATGGAATTTAGAGAGAGACAAGGTATGTGGGAAAGTTAAGAAAAACATATATATTTAGTATATGAAAAAGTTGGATAACTTGTGCATGTGGAACATGTCATGAAAATACATTGCAATGCCACATAGCGATTAGAACAAAGTCTCAACTTAATAGGTAATCAAGTCTCAATAACAATCAAAAAAATCAAACCCACTTTAGAAAACAAATTCAAATCAGACATAAGGGACAACTACTTTAAATGAACTTTACTGTAAACGAATAGCTCAAACAACATTTTGAACTTCTAAAATTCCAAAAATTTAAAAAGTTGATTAAAATAACCTCTTCTCCCTTCCCCTTCCCCCTCCCCTCTCTCTCTCACAACCAACTCTTTTGTGACATAATTTGATGATGGTGTGAGCGCGTTAATCAGAGACAAAATTAAAGCAAGAAATGAACACATTACACAAGTTGTAGTAGAAGAAAAGGAAGGGTGGGGTCATCCACATTACTACATCACTAAGATGGTGGTGGAGTAATAGGGCCTCAATGGAGCCCATATCATTTCTCTTGTCAGCCTCCCTTATCCATTTGCTACACATTTTTAGGAAAGAAAAAACCAAAATAAAAATGAAATTTAACTTAAAAAACACCATCTTAGACTTTTACGATAGGAATTGTGTAGAGAATTTAACTTAAAAAACATGTCTCCATCATTAGACTTTTAGTTCTAGCTGACGTGAAGAGAAAATCTACCCCACTCTCCTCTAGAAATAAGCACCCAGAATTATATCACTTATTCAAATTAAGTTAAGTTTTACCTCTTAGTTCTGGTTCAAAATTGTTCTCCAAAGATTGAAACTATAAAAGTCGAGCATTGCCTTTGGGGATCAACCATGTGTTCTTACCAAGTGTATTACCGGCAACTACTTCCAATTAATTTTTTGCTACCATCTTTCGTATAGATCTGTAAGATAAACCTTTTTATTTGTTTGTCCACACCTAAAATAATTTCACTCACCTAAATTACATAGCATTGGGTAAAATACAAATTACATTTAGCAAAAGTAAATATTTAACATATGTGCGTAAATGGACAAAATTGGTAAACTAACATGATCGGGTAACCTCCCAACCAATCATGCGCCATTTGTTTCCTCATTGACACGCCAAGATTTGAAATTCTGAAAATGCGCAAAGTTCAAAATAGACTAGCGCAACAGTACCGGATATCCATTTCACCCACAACAAATAGGAAACCCAAAATATGAGAATAAGTTCACAAATATATCAAAAATCAACAATATATAAAGGAAAATAATACTAGAATTGTTGTTCGTTGGTATGTGGTTCACAAAGAGGATGAAGGGTTGAAGGTGGTGTGGTGGTGGATGTGGGCTGCTGGTGTAGCAGAGAAATTGAAAGAGAGGGAGAGAGGGAGAGAGAGAGTTACTTGGTGGTTGTGGTTGGTTAACTCATTGGGGGTATGAGGGTTGTCCATTACCTTACGTTCCTTTGGGGCATTTATTTGAACAATTGGTGGCAATTGACATGATCACCACATTTCATGTACAAAGCTGCATACATTGAAACAACAAAACTATAATACCAAAAAATAGTTTTCACCTTACCTTTTGAAAGAAAAAAGAAAAAAAAGTTTTCATTTTAGGCTTTCTACTACCAAAAACATATTACTGTCTCTGCATTCACATCCTCCTCGCACCAATTTTACCATATACACAATAATGACGAAGACTAACATACAAAGAAAAATTAGTTAGAACTCAGACATCAAGGTTTATTGTAACAAAAAGGCCTTCGTGATACACAAAACAATTCAAAAAGGAAATGCAAATGCCCTTGTTTCTATGCTACTGCATATATGTGTGCAGAAAGAGGTGGAGAGATAGAGGGAAGACATACCTGGCAGAGAAGGAGGAAGAGAGATAGAAGGGGCATCGATTTGAATCAAAGTGGAGTGTGTGGCTTTGACCCAATAAATTTTTTAGTAAAGCCAACACACAGATTTATATATGTCCATATAGGCAGAGAGAGGAGATTTGGAGAGAGATGGCTTGGGCTTTAAAAAGTATGGAGGGAGAGACATTATGGCATAAGCAGAAAGGGGATTCTGATTTGGGGAAGACATTAGGCATGATTTGGGGGATTCTGAGTTTGCTATGGAAAGGAGATCGCCGATAGAAGGCATGGGCAACGTTAGAGGGCGTAGGTAAATTGAACGTGTGTGTGAGTTTTGGGATTTTAGATTTGGACAGAAAAAATTAGAATGTAGTTGTTAATTTGGTGCATCCGATCAAAAATTATGAAATGAGGTTCTAATTTGGAAAGCAGATTCTTGGGAGAGAGGGAGAAGATCTGTAATACATGGACTGAGGGGAAGATGCATGATTTATAGTAAACAAAATGGAAAGTTTATGTTCGGGGTGAGAGAGAAATCAGATTCTTGGGAGAGAGGGAGATATTATATTCTGAGGCGTGAGAGAGAGAGAAATCAGATTCTTAATTTAATGTATACAAAATGGAAAGTGCTATAGGTGGAAAAAATTTGCAAGGCTCATTGTGGTTTGTCGGATTAATAAATTTGAGATGATTTGGGCCGTGTTTTTTGTATTTGTTTTGTCTTTGAAACATTGTCTGTTAGATATGTCTTTGTTTTGTCTTGAAACGATTTGAGCCTCTCTTTGTCTCTAGAATTCAAAACTCCATTGTGTGTGTGTGTGTATATTCACATACATATCCTGCATGTAATCAACATTTTCGTAAGCATATGTGACCTATGATGAAAATTTTCATAATGATGCTTGTTAGGCAGGTTGCAGACAAATGCTTTAGTTTGTGTGCTCAAAAGGTGCCTGGAAAATACTTCAGTACTCTCTAATAATCTGATTTTTTTTTCCACATCATGAAGTTGGGTGCAAAAACGGGGATTTCAGTTTCTCCATCATTCGAGGGAGTGGATGAATGGAAATCAGCCCCAGCGACAGCGATTGGAAACATATTTATATTCTAAATCTGTTTTGGAAATTAGCCGTCGGTACCATCCTTGTATTCTAAATATGATTCAAACTATCGGCTTATACTGATGCAACTCGGCACTTTCAGTTCCACCATCAATACACGTTTCGTTTAGACCATGAGTCTCACGCAACTGGTGCTTGCCTAGGAGACATCTTGCTGGGACCTTCAACCATGATTGTAATTAGCCCGGGGTTGTGTTTTGGTGGGAATAACGTTGTGAGAGACATTGAATTTTGCGGGTACTTTTGTCTAAAACAAGTAAGCTCCTATAGAAGGTGTGGATAAGTGAAAAACTACGCAGAGTTGGAATTGGTACGACTTATTTATATGCCTTCATTGCTGTTGCTCACTCCATAGGATTGATTCTTCTTATCCTTATGGGGCTTGACATATTATGCACAAAGCACAAATAATTCCCCATTATGACTACTGTTTGTTTGTGATGCCTGATATTTGTTAATTGAGATTTTCACAATTAATCTGCTGGAAAAAAATGGAGGGGAGATTTTCACAATTAAATTAACATATCTTTCTTCTGGCTTGCCTTATGGAAGTTTTGAAGACAAATTTCTTCAAGGTGCAGCCAGGAAAAGGTTCATTTCTTGTGCTGACACACACTCCTTTGCACCTATACCTATCTTTCTCATGTAACTCCATGCAATAACAAACTTAAGAGGCAAAGGCAGGATGCATTATTATTTTGACAATGAATGCAAGTTAACCATTTTAAGTGCTTGTTTTCTTTGAAGTTGACCTAACTTCATATCTACTGCATCTGGCTGGGATAGAATTATGCCTGTTATTGTGGAGAATACTACTGTAGTACCAAGGCCATTGAAGGAAGACCAAACTGAAACAAGAACAGCAAATGAGTAGCGCAAAAACACTCGGGAATTAGTGACTAAATGGGCAAAACAAAATACAAATTTGGCAAACAATTATGTGCATTCCGATTCACTTAAAAGGATCAAGTGTTAGGTAGGTTGATTACTAACAACCAGCCTGCTTTTACATCGTCTGTATCAGTTGTATCCGAACTGAAATCTGTCTGTTCTGTCAACAGATTTCTAAGTTCATGGCTTTCATCTTCCATGAACAATAGATACCAGAAAAGTTTCTATGATAATTTCACCATTTACTGTCGTTATGTCCCGTTCTTTTGCAATTGTAGATTTTAAACCCTTCTGCTTTACTCCTCTTTATCTCCTTTATATTGATGGTAGGAAGTTCCTCCATGCTACTTCATGCAGTGTTGCCTATTACTTTGCAGGAAGGTGTCCAGCAGCTTGTGTTAGGTCTGTACATCATTAGGGGAGACAACATGTATGGTGAATTGTTTTCATTTTCAGAATGCTTTTTAAGTACATTTTGCTGCATTTTCCCAAAAATATTATTGTTGCATGATCAAAATTTTGTTTTCCCCTTTCTCTTGTACAGAAGCATTGTTGGGGAATTAGACGAAGAGTTGGATGCAAACCTGGATTTGTCCAAACTCAGAGCTCACCCTCTAAAGCCTGTGATACATTGAAGAGCAAAATAGTAGGATCTACGTAATGGTTGATGTTATAGGCAAAGACTACTTGAATTTGACTTTATAAGTATTATGATTAAACATTTTACCTGATCCTATGTAGGATCTAAGTATTATGCTTGCTTAGATCCATTTTATCTCTCCAATCTAATTATGTGTTAAACAAATTTTGGAAGACATGACAGAGAAACAAAATGCTGGATTAACAAGCAGAATTGGGTGCATTATTTGTATGTCTAATGTTTGGCGCATGTTTATTGAGCTTGAAATAGGAATGCTTGGTCTTGAATTTGGTTTCTTTTTTCATTTCTGACTAGTTTAGGTGGATGAGCATCGGAAAGAAAGAGTGTGGAGGGAAAGGGTGGGAACTGGTGAGGCTTTTAGCATTTTATGGGGCCATTATGAAAGAATTCCCAGTGTTTAGGAAGTGCTTCAATTTCATACTGATTACTGGTTACCTTACACTACAACAAAGGGGAAATTTGTGGGATCCCAAATGAGCATGGACTATTGGATGAGTAGAATCCGTTAACTTTTATAATAGGATCCACTTATCTAATAGTCCCAATTGGTTTGGAATGCTATTTCGGGTCCTTAGCATTGCTAACAAAAAAATAGGGAAAAACTACACACTCAGGCCGACCTGGATTTAGAATGTAGTTGTTAATGGTGTAGCTTTTACATAGCGTCATGCTTAGTTCACTACCAGGTGCAATTCCGGCAAGTTGGAGAATTAATTCTGGCCCACCTAAGTTATATAATTTTTAATTCTAATCCAATTTGAAGCCCAACTTTCAATCCGAGATATTCAATTTAAGTATTTCTCAAGTTGATTTCGGGATCAATTGAGCTCGTAATGTGGGTTCGTTATTTAGGATCAATTTTGGACATGACAAAATTGTTTGATCAACTAAAATTCTAAATAAATTCAAGTAAAAACTAAAATACACTTAATTTTTGTATATATTTATTTATTTTAATTTGGGTTGAGCTCGGTTTTAATAATTCAGGGTGTGTTTAGGTTGAATCCGTAAACCCGAAGTCTTAACCCGAATATAATTTGGGTTTGGGTTTTTCAACCCAAGTTTTAAAATTTTTAACCCAAACCTTACTTTTTTTCAAGTTGGGTTCGGATTAACTCTTCCAAGTTGCACCCCTTAATACCAGGATCTTTAAACTGTAAGAATTATAAGGCTCTCGGGTGCCCTACTTAATTCTTCCATTTTGTTCTGTTGTAGATTGTGTTTGGATGAAATCGAAGAAATTTGAATATAATTATTTAACAATTATTCCCAGTTCTAGTGATACTACTCATGAACATATGTTTAGATAATCTTTTACTTCTAATGTTGATAGGCATCATGTCCAAAGTTTTAATGTTTTCAGTTCAAAAGTAAAGGAATAAATTTTGAACATAAATGAAAGTCTATTCTCTCTTACTTCGGAACTCGTTTAACTTTGTTTCAATTTGCGAAATCGTAACGCAAACGAAACTTATCCCGAGAAGACAGTTTTCTGGGGAAGAGACTCTTTTTCTTTGATTGATGGTCTTTGGAGTGCCTATTTCTGAGTTAGGTTAGGTTGTTAGGATTATCAAATTTATACTCTCAAACTGGAGTAAGGCACCTCTCTTTCACCTATCGATGTTGCTGCTTGTGGTTTATCACATCATTATGAGTAAAATGTACTGGACGCATTCCATGGAACAATTTCTTCTTCCTGTTCATGAGAATTTGGGATCCGAACCATGGATCCAATTTTGTCCGCGCGTCATCTCCTTAGTGATCGAATCCATTGATGACGTGATAGACCTGTCTATGAAATTACTTCTCCATCGTCCCCGCCAAAAGTCTGGATCAATAAACAACGAGTCCAAAAAAAGAAAAAATGAACAACAAAGTTTGCTATGTAAATCCCTATTTGAGTTGAGTTGAGTATTTTCATCGATGTTAATGACCCGTTCCTCAAGAAAATATGAGTACATAAATCATATATTATTCAAAAACAATAATGTGTGAACAATAGAAAACATAGTATAAACATATCACCATCAAATGGAGGGGAAAAAACCACCTATAATCCTCCACTTCTCTATATGAAACCAACAAAAAATAAAAAAATGAAAATGAAGATCATAAGAGATTAAAGAAAATAACTATGTGGCTCTGCATGGAAGATGGAATAAATTAGAGCCTAAACCTGAACTTGCAGCTACTATCTCTGATCCTAATGACATTATCAGCAGTTAAGCTATCCACCACCACCCTGCACCTAACCTGGGGCTTCCACTTCATCAGCTTCAACTTGCCAAGTTTGATCCTCACCGGCACTTTCGCCCTAACGTTCAAAGGAATACTTCCAGTCTGTTGTTGCGCCTGCAGCGATTGCAACAGACCGGTGGCGTTCTGTGTTTGTCCTGTCAAATTCAGGTTGAGCAAGGTCGTGTTCCGGTGACCTTGGTAAAATTTTGGTAGCGAACCTTCACATAGTTTCGTGCCCGTGTACCAAACGCTCAACTCGCTACCATTTTCGTAGTATATACCAATCCTTTTGTTGGGGTTTCTGGCAGTGATGTTAACATTGAAAGTAGCAGATAAGCTCATGTCATTGTTGAGATTGAACTCTCTAATTCTCATGCTGTCAATTGAGTACTTTGGTATTTTTGGCTGGAAAGCAAGGAATATTATTGCAGCCAATATGCCAAGGACAATGATTTGAAGCAGGAGGAGGCATACTGTCCAGCACAAGCACCTGCAAAAACAGCTTCTCTTCTTCTTTGGTGGTTTTGATTGTGTCATTGGGATGGTACGGCGAAACGGCGGGTAGTGCTCGACCGGCTCTCCTTTATCGGATCTCGAAGCGTCTCGAGACACCAGGGGAGCTGTCGGTCTCTGTGGCGCCTCAGGGTCGACCACCGGATAGATTCTCTGATGATCTGCCATTGATTGAAAGTCTAAGTATCACTGATAAAATTGTGGAGTATGCAATAACACCAATAGTAAGGCTCTCCTTTTTTATCCTTCCTGGTTGCCTAAACTTGGGTCATATATAGGCCCCAGAGCAGAAACTGTTTGTTGTGAAAGCATAGTCATATGTCATAGAGATAGATGGCTTGAAGCTACCTGTTTATGACTTTAAGAGGTTGAAAAAGTCATTTCCGATGAAGTTTTCAATAGCCTTAATGCACATGTGGGAGCTTTCATACCTTCAATGTCAAAGTTTTGACGCGTGAGTTTGAGCTCTGCATTATTGGATAAGAGACTTGAAGGGAAAAAGATATCAAAACCTTTGAATTTTAAAAGCTATAAAATTAGTTAATAAATCAAGATTTTTCTAGGACATGCTCCCTGTGATACTATTTTCTTACTCGTTCTATCACAATTATTGAATAAATGGTTAATTTTAATAAATATTAAGACCCACAATTAAATCTGACAATGATGTTAGAAATTAGCAAATACTGTCAATTCTTTTTATTTTTTGTCTAAATAGTATTGCTTTAGGTATAAATGGTTGGAAAATGATAAATAGACATAAAAATTTGACTTGATGAATTATTATCATTGAATAGGTAATGAGTCTCAATAAATATTAGGACCCAGAATTAAATAAATGACAAATATAACAGTAGCATCATTAAATAAAAATTTAAAATTATTTTTTTTTAATTTGTGTATCATTGGTGTATATAGTTGGTCAAGGAGTTTCATTTGCCTGCTTAAAAAAATAAGAGGAGTTTCATTTGTGGACATTGTCCAAATTTTAGGCTAAAAACAATCATTATTATTAAGGTGACTTTATGTGTACACGTGTAGATAACCTTAGAAATAGTAATAGTTTGATGTTTTCGAGAAAGGAAAATGACCAAATAGATCTAGAAGATTTGTCAAATTTGTTTTTTAATAGATTGAGAACCTTTTTAATCACGTATTTTTTAAACAGGTAAATACACTCGGAGAAATAGTGCAATTACTAGGAAATCACATATATCACATCAACGAGTAGGTCTTTTATATGACTAAAATTTTAGGACTTCACTATAGAACTTTAAAAAAAATTCGGTCCCATACCGTTAAATTTTATTATTTTAGTAGCTATTTTTACAATTTTTGTAAGCTATTTTACAACTAAAAAATTTATCATTTTTTATAGTTATTTTTACTACTATTGTGGCAATTATATCACTTATCTTTGGTACAAAAAAAAATTATGACTTTTGTCGGTTATTTACCACATTTTGTGGGTATTTTTATTAATATTGTGGTAACTATTTTTATCATTTTTTTGGGTACCACAGTGATAAAACTCACAAATATAATAAAAATACTCGCAAATGTGTAATAAAAATCCGAGCAGTTCCAATTTTTTATTTTTGTTTTGGTAACATGGACAACTCCAATATTTTAAGGTATTAACTATTAAAACTATCATCCGAATGACGGAGTAAATATTGGATGTCACGATGACATCACATCATTATTGATATAAATTGACAAATTGAACCTCATTTAAAATGATATGACAAAGTAATTATTAAAATATGTGAGATTAATCTATTTATTTATTATATTTTTATTATATAATAATAAAAATAATAATCTGTTTAGTTTATGTGTTTTTTCCAAGCTGCCGTCGTCTTAGAAACTTCCTGCTCCACAGTTACCCACGATACGCGGTGCCTTTTTTTTTGAGGCAAAGACTAAGTCAAAGCTATGCATTTCTCAAATCTCTGCGCCTGTGGCTGTGGCTGTGCTTACCAAACCTTCTTTGACTTTTGAGGTACGGTACAGGATAGGTGACATCTAGGTGATCCGGCACTCATTCATATCTTTCTTTTTTTTTTTCTTCTCTTTTAAAGTGTCCAGACTCTAGAAGAAACACACAAACTAAACCACAATACAAAATATTGAGTACACTTCAACGCTTAAAAGCAAGGAAAGCGATGACCAGCAGCCATTAAAGAATTATATAAAAGTTAGGTCATGGTTAATGTGATTAGGTGGTTTGGGGTTGTTCACATCAACTAATAACCACTTCTATGGATGCTTATTTTAAGTTGTATTAATAGCACTTTTAGTCTTTAAAGTATATTCGTTTTATCGGTTTTATCTTCATTGTATTAATTTTATCTATTTAGTCCTTAAAAACTTTAATTCATGTCATTTTCTTATCTAATCAGACGGTATTACTTGTCAAATATGCAATCATTATGTTAAAAAATTAACGGTCTGTCTATGTAAGGATTATTTAAACATGAATTGAATATTTTAGAGATCAAATTGACAAAATTGATACTTTAAGAATTAAATTGACAAAATATAAATATTTTAGGGTTTAAAAATACTATTAATCTTTTTAAGTTCTATAGAATCAAGACAATACAATGGTGGGAATCGTTAATGGGACAATAAGATTGATCTATTATGATTTGGGTATGATGGGTTCTAATTTTTGAAAAGAATCTCTTCTCAAGTGGGTGAATGATTGTTTACATTTGAACAAATTCAAACCTCACAATGACGGAAATTTTATGCAGTGAACGGCTCTTTTTGGAATAAAGGCTAACATTGGCTATATATCTATATTTTTCATTTCATGCATCTGGGGAGGTCCAAATCAATCTCAATCGCAATTAATAATTTTCGCTTTGGGGTTGTTGGTGAAAGCCAATGAATGATCAAGTCGTCAAACTACCTATTTGCTTGCCTTTTTTTTTTAGCCGACAAAAGATCCAAGGAACAAACGTGTAATGATATTTTTTTTAAGGATATTTTTGTTTCATTTTTCAAATAATTTTATTTCTTCCAGCTAACTAAACTTGTAATAGCTCTAGCTTATTGTGCTAGATATGTAGGATTGATTTCTCCTCCATTGTGGTTGGTGATTCTATAGAAGCTAGCACTGTAGTAGGAGTAGAGAGTTCGACCCTGAACTAGGGTTAGTTGGGAATTCATCTAAAACTTGTTATAAACGGGAGGCTTGTGCATTAGATACAACCACACATTACACTGTTGTATAATAAGTTCGGTAAAAACTTGTCTTCTAATGAATGGAGATATAGTATTACAAAGACAATGCCTAAAAATTTCAATTTCTCTACTTCCACTGACCTTGGAGCTCAAAGGGGAGTTCTCATGGAGGTTCTGAAGTTTCAAGTGTTAGTACTTTATTGAAGACTTGTTTTCTGGATTTTTCTCCTACGAAAGAAAATTTTCAATTTCTCCTCCATTACTGTCAGATTTCTTGTCTTCTCTTTCTCATTCTCTTGAATCTACCTAAAAATTCAGAAAGAAAAAAGGAAAGAAGAGAGAAAATGGAAGAATACTAAGTTTTGGTTCACGCCCAAAATGTTTAATCCTCTCTGTTGGGTTAAGGGGACACCGACCCGGTCCTATGCATCAGAGTTGTAACCCCAAGTTCTTTAGACCTTTATTAACCAAAGCAACCATTGATGGTAACTAATAGAACCCTTTTTCCTTTTCCTTAAGTCACAGCAATGGGGTGCCTAAAATGTTCAACAAGAACCAACTCAGTAAGATCATATTTGGTTAAGGTATTTAAAATTTAGTGGGTTAATGTTTAATTAGTCATTCCAAGATTTAGCTTGACTAAGATTTGATATTCAATGCAGAGCCTCTATGGATGGATTTGGAATGATGGATCACGCCCATCATCATAAGGGCATCTTATTATGGGGTTGGACCCAAAATGAGATAAGGTAGTCAATCACTTAGTCTGCCAGACCATGCTATAGGCGGAAACTTATAAACTGAGTACGATCTCTATTATGCACTGAAGGAGAATCTTAATATACTCTATTATACTCCTCAATTCTCCCAATTCATCCAAGCTTTGTCTATCAGTGAATTTGTACCCCTAATCTGTTTCCCCAATCCATACAACCAAATGAAAAGCAACTTGAAATTTGAAGAGAAGACAGTAGACAGTGTTGAGTGAAGCGAACTCAAATAATGAACTAGAAGAGCAATGCATTCAAATCAGTACACATCTCAACTATTTTAATGGCACTTTTCAGTGTCAAAAAGCTCCCAAATTCTTGCATATTTCTCACTCACTCTCGCACTTCTTGAAATCTTATTTCTTCTTTTTTTTTCTTTCAAAATTCATCACAATGAACAAAGCAAAAGCCCATTCAATGTAAACAACTCCAGTGTTCCTTCTGCTACATGATATTAGCAACATATCACAGCTCAGCAGAAAAAAGGAAGACTTTCACAATCTAGCCTCAATCAGCGGAGAACCTTCAAAAAAAGGAAAATCAGCTTGATGATCCAACAAACTCCAACTGATGAGGGATTCTCTGTTATCAAGCAAGCTGTACAACGTAACAAATGGAGATCATTTTGACTGTCAAACCAGAACCAACCAGATTTCATGGGATTTCTTTTCAATGCAATTGTATTTAAATACTTCATTTGTATAGCCTAAGTGTTCACGTTGAAAGAATATGCAAAACTCTTCCAGTATTATTTTTTGAACAAATTCTCTCTGTTATTTTTCTCGTTATGGTATCAGAGCCATTGTGAACACTAGGCAACGTTACAGTCACAGCTCCAACATTCTTCCCATCTTATCTTCCGCTCCTTCTCTTAGCTATGACTACCTTATCACTCAATGCTGGCAATTTTATCACTCTCCGACTCACCCCCAAACAATTATCCCTGGTGGCGTGAGCAAGCCTTGGCTCTTGCAGAAAGTCAAGAATTGGTCGGGCATCTCACAAATGAAGATCCTGCTCCCAACAAATTCACAGCTCCAGATCAACACAGCTTGGAAAATGCAGAAAATTTCACTCCTCAGTTAACAGATGTTTTCATAGCATGGCGAAAGTCTGATCGTCTCTTCGATGGTGGATCATTGGAACACTCTCTGAGGAATTCTTGGACTCGTCGTTGGTGTTGACACAGCTCATGCAGTTTGGGAGGCCCTAAAAAATGCATATGCCCAAGAATCACAAGAACGTGAGTTTACATTGCGACAACAAGTGACCTATCTTTGAAAAGAAGACCACACAACAATTACCGAACACATTAGCAAATTCAAAGGTCTCTGTGACAATTTAGCAGCCATTGGAAAGCCTGTTCTAGACCAAGAAAAAGGTTTTTGCCTCCTCACTAGTCTTGGTCCTCAATATGAAACCTTTACAACAACTATGTTGAAGCCCCCCAGGCCAACGAACTCTGAATTGGTCTCTCAACTCCACAATTTCGATCAAAGGCATAGTTGGTTCTCTAATTACACAGATGTCCCAGCTTCTACCCTCACTCATCAAATGGCTTTTTATGGGCAACAACAACAACGCTCACAGTCAAACCCTTCAGGCTATCATAGACGATCACAAAAATTCACCTCTAATGGACATGGTTTTCAGGCACAACAGCAAAAGGACTCGAACCACGGCTACAACAACTCCTCTTCGGCAAATCCACAATGACATCCTCCACCACCTGGTGAGCGTCGAATGACACCTGCGGAAAGGGACAAATACCGTGAGCAACAATGTCAATATTGTGGGATAATGGGACATATTGCTAAGATATGCTGGTGAGTGCCAAAGAAACCCACTCAACAAGATGAAATTCCACAAGCACTCGCGACTCTTACTTTGGACAATACCATTGCAGAAACAGAATGGACAATGGACATCGGGGCTTCCAACCATATGACAGGTAAGCCAGGTATGTTAACAAACATTCGTAAATACTCTGGTGCTGACTTTGTGCTAATTGGAGATGGGTCTTCCATGCCCATTCTTGCAATTGGTGATTCTTGTATAAAACAAAAAAATATTGTCTTACCTCTCAATAATGTTCTGTTGGTTCCGAACTTAACGAAAAACTTACTTTCTGTAAGCCAAATAACGACATAATTTCCTGTTAACTGTGAATTTTCTAATGTTGATTTCAGTGTTAAGGAACGGGAAACAAGACAAGCAATGATAACAGGAAAACGCAAGGGTGATCTCTATATCCTACCCACTTCTCTAGAATTGTATTTCTCTCATAGGTTCAGATCAGGCACTGCAAAATTTTGGCATCAACGCCTAGGCCATCCTCAATTTTCAATTTTACATATGCTTAAAAATAAGGGACTCATTGATGTCATAGGGACAACAAAATCTCAAAATCTTTGTGATAGTTGTCAACTAGAAAAGCTTAGTCGTTTACCTTTCTCTTGTTCAGAACATTCAAGTACTAGTATTTTTGAAAAAATTCATTGTGATTTGTGGGGACTTGCCCCTATTTTATCTATTGGAAAATTCAAATATTATGCTTGTTTGGTTGATGATTTTTCCAAATATACATGGATTATTCCCTTACGCAATAAATCTGATTTTTTTATGCATATCTAGCTTTTGAGAAATAGGTTGCTAGACAGTTTAATAAGCAAATCAAAATCTTTTATTTGGACGGAGGTGGTGAGTTCATCAATTCCAAACTCTCAACTCACTTTTTTTCTACAGATATTGTTCATCAAGTATCCTCTCCGTATACCCCTGAGCAAACTGGTGTGGTTGAGAGACGCCATAGAACTATAAGAGAATTAGGGATGACTATGTTATTTCATTGTGGCGCGCCTTTTATTTTATGGATAGAAGCTTTCACCACGGTTGTATATCTTATGAATCGCCTACCGTCGTCTGCTCTTAACTTTCAAACTCCTTACTTTGCACTTCATGGAACACATCCGATTTATTCCTCACTCCGAGCTTTCGGTTCTAAGTGTTTTCCCCACACTTGGAATACACGAAAAAATAAATTTGATCCAAAAATATTACTGTGCATTTTTGTAGGGTACAGTGAAAAACACAAGGCTTATAAATGCTTTCATCCTTCAAGCAAAATTTTTTTTATTTCCCGTCATGTTGTATTTGATCAGTTAACTTTTCCATATAAGCCTATTAACACGTCTTGGATAACAGCAAATCAGCCACATGTAATAAGCATTTTTGACTCTTAGTTGCCACATGCTAACACTTCCTCTTCTGCAAGTATACTTATGGACTCTTCCTCACCTCCATGTCTAAGTCCACTACTGCTCGTTGCTACACATACTCCAGAGACACATGTCCACAATTCAAGTCCCTTTGAGTTATCACATACATCCCGCCCCATCATCGAGTCACAACCAATGAAGGAAATAATGAGTTACCTGAGTCCCCAAACAACACTGGTTCACCTGAAACATTTCCACCACAAGAGCCTCACATGTTTGACAAGCAACGTATCACTGCTCAATTGAGAATGATTGAAACACCCGAATCATCTCACCATATTCATATTCCTTCAGCACCATTGGATCACCCGATGGTCACTCGGTCTAAACTAGGGGTGGTAAAACGGAATCCTAAGTATGCCTTAAACACCATCACATCCTCTAATATACCTCGTGAGCCTCACAACGTCAAAATTGTCTTAGCACATCCTGGTTGGAAAGCAGTCATGGATGAAGAGCTAGCTGCACTGCATAAAAATGAGACTTGGACACTTGTTCCACGCACGCCAAACATGCATGTCATTGGTTCTAAATGGGTGTTTAAATCGATTCTTTAGATCGTTTCAAAGCACGTTTAGTTGCAAAAGGGTATCATCAAATTGATGGAGTGGACTACATTGAAACTTTTTCTCCAGTTATCAAACCAGGGACAATACGCTTGATAATCACCATAGCTCTTGTTCTGAAGTGGTCTATTCATCAATTGGATGTGAAAAATGCATTTTTGCATGGTTTAATTTCTGAAGATCTTTACATTCAACAACCACCAGGAATGACAGATTCTCAGCATCCGACACATGTTTGCAAACTACAAAGAGCGCTTTATGGCCTAAAACAAGCACCACGTGCTTGGTTTGATCGATTTAGTGCATTTCTTCTTAAATATGGTTTCTTTTGTAGTCTAGCTGGCCCTTCATTGTTTGTTTTTCATTCGTATTTTGGCTCATTAATTTTACTTCTTTATGTGGATGACATGATGCTCATTGGATCAACTCCAACACTTCTTTTAGATTTTATTCTGTTACTAAGCAGTGAGTTTGCAATGAAAGATTTGGGGCCTATTCATCACTTTCTTGGGATGGAAATCACGCCAACAACAAGTGGTCTTCATCTATCCCAGTCACACTATGCACTGACCATACTCGAACGCTCCAATATGGTTGATTGTAAACCAATGAATACACCTCTTGAAACTAAAACGAAAGCATCTTCCAATGATATTCTTTTGGAAGATCGGAGTTACTATCAAGGACTTGTTGGATCTCTACAGTACCTTACACTCACTCGCCCTGATCTTTCGTATAGTGTTAATTATGTATCTCAATTCATGCATGCTTCCACAATGACACATTTAAAAATGGTTCGACGTATTTTACGATATGTCAAAGGAACAATTGAAATGAGATTACATTTTTCTTCACACACTACACTTGATCTATTTGCTTTCTCAGATGCAGATTGGGCAGGGTGCACTACAACGAGGCGCTCAACTACTGGCTATTATACATTCCTTGGACAAAATCTTATCTCTTGGCGTGCAAAAAAACAACATACAATTTCTCGATCAAGCACGGAAGCAGAATACTGCACAATGGCAAACACAACGATTGAACTCACATGGATGTCCTTCATTCTCAAAGATCTTCGCATTACAATGTCATCTCCTCCCATGCTTTATTGCGACAACCTCAGTGCTCTTCATATGACAGTAAATCCTGTATTCCATGCACGAAGCAAACATATCGAGTTGGATTATCATTTTGTGCGCAAATGTGTTGCATGTGGACTGCTTGTCACTCAACATATTTCCTCTTCACAAAACCAGTGTCAAAAGCAACTCTCCATTATTTCCGCAACAAACTTTGTCTCCAGCCCCGACAAAGTTTGCGAGAGGGTATTAGCAACATATACCAGCTCAGTAGAAAAAGGGGTGAAGACTCTTACAATCTAGCCTCAATCAGTGGAGAGCCTTCAAAAAAAGGAAAATCAGCTTGATGATCCAACAAACTCCAACTGATGAGGGATTCTCTGTTATCAAGGATCCTCTGTTATCAAGCAAGCTATCCAACGTAACAAATGGAGATCATTTTGGCTGTGAAACCAGAATCAATCAAGGATCCTCTGTTATCAAGCAAGCTGTCCAACGTATCAAATGGAGATCATTTTGGCTGTCAAACTAGAACCAACCAGATTTCATGGGATTTCTTTTCAATGTAATTGTGTTTAAATACTTCATTTGTATAGCCTAAGTGTTCACATTGAAAGAATATACAAAACTCTAGTATTATTTTCTGAATAAATTTTCTCTGCTATTTTTCTCTTTACGTGAATCATGTTTCTACTTGCAACAGACGAACCCACGACCATTGCTCATCTTACTAGTGCAATCCACAGTCATATCTGGATCCAACACTAGAGGCTTAGAAACTCCCTGCACGGCATGATCAATGGTGAAAATACATCGCTTACAGTCAGCCTCTACAAGTGAAGATGTCATGTACTGGTCTTCCCCACCCATTATTGGCATTGGCACACCTCTCTTCACTGGGTTTAGAAAATCAGAACGATAAGTCTGTCCCAACACACCTTCAACCTTCTCAGACAGATGGAAGAACTTGAACTGCACTTCCAAATGTGCAAAACAATCATCAGAAGGTATTTGATAATTGTGTATCCGGTCATCTTCCTTTGTTATCGGCACCACATTCACAGCCATCTCCACGACACCAGGCAGTGTCACGGTGACACTGTTGCACTTTGCAGTCCTCTCTACCACCAGGCCACCGCCCGGGGCGGTCCAGGTAGAGAGGTGGCCCTGTGAAATGAAAACAGGCACTTCATTATAGCTGAGAAAGAGCTGATCGACTTCACTGTTCCATTTTGCTACGTTCTTTGCAGCCAATGTGAAAGTGTGGGAATCAAACATAAGGGCCAGTGCTTGGATCCATGTGTTGTCGCGTGATCGTCCCTGTGGTCGACGTCCGATGAATCGGGCGTTTATCTGCAGGTTAAGGTCGGAGACTAGGCTGACATGCTCATTTGTCTTGCCATGGATGTAAAACATTACACCATCTCCTCCGACAAACCTCGGATCATAACATGCAGCACCAATACCATCACCGTTTGGCTTGCGAGCTGCAAACAAGATGTTAAGTTAGTCCATTGTTTCCGAGACATAGATTTGTTATATGTTGACATGAGTGTTAATCGGGCTAGAGTTTACGGAGTTTCAATAGGTTCAAGCTCGGCTCTGTTGTGATTGGTTGAGCTCGAGGTTGAGCCTAGCTTGAATTCTTACTCAAGTTTGACTCGACGTAAAGCATTAGAATTGAACTTGGGCGAAATCAAACTCAATTTGTAAGCAATAAATTTTACAAATCAACCCTAAAATAACCTCAACAAAATTCTCCCAAAAATCTGTATAATTAACTATAAAATCAACCATTGAGATAATAGAAGGCAAGGAATGTGGAACTATTTGGGAATAAGTTTTGGGAAGTTTATGGTTTTGTTTGATAGTAAAATTAAAATTATTTATAGACAAAAACTTGTTCGAGCTGACTAGTTTCACATGTTGGGATCCATCTTGTTCACAAAATGGCATTCGAAATCTGATGAAATTTGTTTTAGTTTTGAATTTGAATGACGTGAAAGAACAGAACCAAGTCAAGCTCAAGCTGTTCTCATCGACTAAGAGAGGGGGGGGGGGTGCTTACCCTTGCAAACAGCTTCACAGTTTTTGAATTGCAGTTAATGAAACAGCCTTTGGCCTTGGGGTCAGAAGGCTTGAATACTAGACACTGTTTTGGGCAGGAAATTTCTATGCCAGCGCATTTGGTTTGTGGGTAATTGCAGAAGAACGACTGCGGGAACTCCTTCCCGGCAACTGCATCAGGAGGCGACGATGGGTTGCCGTAGGGATCGGGCCAGGATGGCGCGAACAAGGAAACAACCAACAAGAGGAAGAGAAAGGAAGTTTGAGTGATGAGCAGTGACCGATCAATTTGGCTCAGGAGGTAGACAATATGTTGTAACCAAGTAATTCACACAGCTGCAAAGAGAAAACTAGATATTCAGGAAGACCGACAATCCCTTAGACTGTGCAAAGAAATAAAGCTACAAAGTAGAACAACCTAGCAAGCAAAAACTTCATTTTGCATTCAATAATTTGGTTAACAGTGTTTCCAAAAGGGCAAAAAACAGCAGTTGAATTCGTACATTTCTGCCAAGAAGATTGCTCAGTACACCCCGATCATAATAATTACACAAGAGTAATGATAAGCAAACAGTTTCTACCAAGAGCAAATCATCGAAGAAACCCATCTCAGACAAGCTAAACTGCTCTCCAGATTGCACCATGCAGCAAAATGTCAGGTAGAGTTGGGATTTCAGTGTTTCAGCCATGGCGAGAGCTTTAACAATAAGCCATTGACGATTTCATTTGACAGCAGGGGGAAAAATCACATCTAGAGCAATGATGCATTGGAAGTCAAAATGACCCTGATGTTGACGATAGCATGGACAATTGCTAGTCGAAGGCATTCAAGTATAGGATTTGTGCACCTGTGTCAACGGAAAAGATAATAAGTGCTCTGATGGTTCAAAGTACATGAATAACAAACGCTTCTTAAGGCATGAGGAAGTTGCATTGCAGAAATTGAAGATTCAAGCTCTAACTTCATGAAAAACATCTTCACAAATTTCCAAGCAATAGTTAGTTTACATTTACCTCATTTGGCCGTGTAAACCACCCATTTCAACCATGCGCAAAAAGTCCACGGAGAGAACCAGCTACACCACGTCGTCTGCCCTACATAATAAAACAAAGGATGCAACTTTCAAAGGAAATTCTTATGTAATATTAATTGGGACGTTTAGTGACACTACGCACCTTCTCACTGTTGAATAAGTCCTCCGCAACAGCCTCCATTTGTTTCCGCTTTTTCTCTTCTTTTACAGACTCAAGTACTTCTTCACTCCCATAGTCAGAATCTCTACCATCAAGAAAGATAGAACATGAATCTAAGTATCACACACGTCACAGTTTCCAGCACTATGTAGGAATCAAAACAGGAACAGAAAATGATGCTCATACTTGTAGGGATACTTCGAAAATGGAATAAGATTGTCAAAGCTATTTCCCGATTCAGTCCTTGTCTACACGTCCAATTCATGGTTAGAAACAAAAAAAAAATATCAGAAACCACAACTAAAATCTGGAACAAACCATTTTTTATTTTTTGGGGGGGGGAAACCAAAATTGCACCAATAATTGAATGGAAAAATACACCACTGAAATTAGGATCAAAATTCTGTTTTGGTGCATAATTTTAGTCAGCTTAAAAACAGAAACATTTTAGAAATATTTTTGGAAACACAACATTGGATAAAACGCCCCAAAGCATTCTAAAACATTCCAATCTTTATATTTCTCTCGGTTCTCATTGCAACTATTAGGCGGGGCCTTAATATCTGCATGAAACCCCTCGTTGAAATATTGCCAACTGCCAAAAATGACCCTATCTTCTTCCCCAGGAAAACACCACTTCCTGTAAAATCTGCATGTGTTGAGCAAAATAGCTTTGGAGCTTCAGAACATAGGATTATCTAATTTCCACCAACATTTCGTTTTCCATTGAAACCAAAACGAAATGAATTTTGGATCCTTGACTGCCAATTATAATATACAACAAGTGGAATCCCAAACCAGTTAAGCTACATGGAATTTTTTGCGGAACTCTAAGCATTATCTTGCAGCATAATATTGACAAAAGCAAAATATTATCAACAAATAATTGAAATGAGCAAAAGCTTTCCAACCAATCCATCTAGATTCCTAGAATCCCTACTACAGATTTTGCCATCCTAAGAATTACAAGTATGAGCTAAGAATAAAATAGTTTAACCACTAAAAGTAAATAGGAGCATAAAACGGTTAGCTTCATCACCCACCCTAAACAATAGTAGAAGGAAGAAAAGAAAGGGCAGAGAGCCTGCATTCTATTTTTTTTTCCAGCCAAATTAGAACTCATATATCAGATTTAAATATTGCACCAAAAGAATTCATTCACCTTTCTGAAGCATTTAAAGTTTAAAACCGCATTGTTTGTTGGAGAATGGACTGAAGCCGGAGCATTAGTATCTCTCACAATTAAGTCTTGGCTGTATATTATATCCAAATTCCCACTGTCAAACTCATCAACCTTATCTCTTCTTACCATTACCTCATCACTCCTGTCCTTGCCACTTTCTAATCTGTTTTCAGCGGCATAATTGGTTGGTATCTCCCCTTTGGTCTCAATTTCACCAGATTCTATAGTGTGGACAGCTATATTCTCTTTGATATCATGTTTGGTTGATTCTAATGAGTGGACTACTGTTCCTCCTTTGCTATCATGCTCTGTGTGGACAGCCATCTTCCCTTCGTTATTTTGTTCAGCAGATTCTATTATGTGGATTGCAGTAGATGTATGAATTGAAGTGGCCGTTTCCATTTCTGCATCAGAATCTGCTACCACTGTCTCATCTGTGGAGCATGAAGACGTGACAATCACTGCAAAAAAGGAGATTCATTTAGGTATAATACAATATATATAGAAATTTCATTCCTTCGTTGTTTCTTTAACAACACAGGAATACATATATATAAAGGCCATTAAATAGTTGGGTCTCCACAAATCAAAGGTGTTAGAGGGGATGGATTAATATTTGGCAGTATGTCCACAAGAATGGCTGTACATAAACCTCACAGTTAGATTAATGGTTTTTCTGTTTTGGGGGGAAGGAAAAGGGGGAGGGTTCAGAGGTACATTACAACCCATATGGAATGGCTTCCTCCCCCATAAGAAATTTTGGAGGCATGTCCTTCCATTTAAATTTTCTTATTTATGATATCAATCCATTCTTTTGGCGATATAGCTAGGTCTCCCCCATGGGCTCTGCAATGCACTTAATTGTTTGAACTCAGCAATGGGATGTCTTGGGACCAAAAAAGATAATAAAAAAGAAAATTGAGGAAAACACTATCCATGTGGATTATTCAAGTCAAAGAGTTAAGGACACAAGCTACTTATCCTAACACAACACAAACTCTTACCAGGTGATAATATCATGACAGAAGGAACCAAATTTCCAGATACAGCAGCAGAGACCAGATCTATCTCCTTCACTCTAGCCAGGGAACTAAGGTTACAGAAACACTCAGAACTATTTGCCATTCCTGCAGGGATTACAACCACATGGTTTTTTCCTTCACCCTCCAAGCCCTAAAAAATTATACCGTCAAATTAATTTAAAAGACAATTGAGCAAACCATAAAAATTCAGCAGTAAGATATATCTGTTGCCATCATATATGAAGTTAATAAGAAGTTCCATACACTACCATATCTATGGTGCTTGCACGAATGGCATTCAGTTTATATGACACATTTGGCCATGGCAAAGCTATTGTCAATCACTCTTACGCTGTGTTTGGTACATGGTATTAGACCAAGGGAATGGAATGAGTATTACTTGGTAATGTTTATTCCTTTGTTTGGTTTGTGGTAATTAAAAACCATTCCCATTCCTAAGGAATAGTTTACCCATTACCAAATAAGACATGGTAGTACCCATTGCCAATGACTCGGTAATGAACCCAAATTCATAATGACAAAAAACCCGACTGGTCCCAATCCCACTGTCTCGTTTTCTATCATCAGCTCACAGCTCCCCTCCCCAAATCTCACTTCTCTCCTCCATTCCTCCATTCCTCTATTCCTCTGCTCACCTCTCAACTCTCTCTACCGAGACCCATGGCATTCCACCCCTTCCCTCATCTCCTCTTAGCTACTCTCTGCCTACTTCTGATCTGTTTTTGAAGCAAAGGGCTGAAGATGACAAAGACCATCCTAGACTAGATGAGTATCGACTTTGGCCACCAATCTCAGGTTTTCTCACTCAAGTTAGTCAAGAATTGCATGTTTGTGTGTATATTTTATTAGTTTAAAGTATGATATTGGGTTATGCTTGGATTTGGGCAATTTTTTTGGCGTTCTGGGGGAATTTGTATGTTTTCCTATTGTCTTGATCAATGAGTAATTGTTGTACATACACAGTTGAATTAGTTTTTCATGCTTATACAGCTGACTTTGTTTGGAAAGTTATTGGGCGACCAAGCAAAATCGGTTGGATGAAGTAATGTCCGAAACCTGTTCGATGATAATTCTAAATGAGAAAGAGTTGTTTTATAGAGGGTATTTGTTGGGTCAAATTTTTTTTTATTTCATGATGTGATTCACAGAGAACAGGTGGATGAGTTAATTTCCTATATCAGTCACTGATACAAGGCATGCATTGTTGATCTGCTTACAATGACCCTGCCACTATTGTGCCAATGGAACTGTCCTAATTAGCTCTTCTCTGACAGCTTGAACAAGGAGCAAGCAAGCATTTTTTAACAATCTTAGAAAACAAATACAGATAATACTTTATAAAGTATTAGAAAGCATTTTTTGGAATAGAGCTAGTACTTTAGTTTATGCATTGGAGTCATGTATATGCACGTGTAACGCAGTTTTGAAATGGGCAGACTGAATCAGTGGAATTCATGCCTGCATTTTCAACATTTATGATTTTACATATTTTTTAAGGTGATAGTGGAATTTGACTTTGAAAATTTTCCAAAACATTACACTGTGAGTGTGACTTCCAAAGCATGTGAAATTATAGAAGTACCCTCAAGTGCAGTCACATGATCGTTTGATCCCGGCACATTACCTCAAATGGCAAATGATTTACCAAATCTGTGGCTTAGTCAAAAATGAGGAGTCTGCATTTTTTTGAGGATGATTTTACATTGCTTTGGGCTTAATGATCTCATGTGTCCTAAGAGTTGTCCTGTTGGTTTGTATCTTCATCAGCTACGAACCACTCAATACAAGAGAGCTGCTGGAAACATGTGCAAAGCAAACCCTTGATTCATGTGAGTAAAGTTGTAATTGTTATTAGCAAGGCTAGTTTTCTGAGTAGCTAATGACATTGGTTCATGATTGCAAGCTAATTTTTCCTTTCGAAGCTTGTGAATCCTGTTGGTCAAAAAATTTTAAGTGGAAGCAGAGCAATTCTTGTGGTTTCTTTATTGTTTTTATTTCTAAATTGTGCGCTTATGAAGTTAAGATGTTGAAGGTGAGGGGAAGTCAGTGTTGTTAGAGTATATAAGGCTTTGGTAGATTTTCAAATCAACTGGAACCAAGACATTGTCTCTCCTTTATGTTCTGTTAAAATTTTTGTCTCTCTATCATGCCTACCAAGTGTATGCTAAAGTACCATTAGAAATGAGAGGAAAGCCAAAGAGGATTGAATATATGATACGATGAAAAATGCCTATACAATTCAAATCAATGGGTGGCTTAAAGTTTAACACTTAATTGAATCCCCCCTTTTGCTCCTAGAATTTTTTTTTTTTTTTTTTTTCTGCATACCACTGTGAACTATTTTGCATTTGCAATTTGAAAGGATTTTAATTGTTAAGCATCATCTTTCTCCTTTTTCTTTCATTTTTTTCTATTGTTATTGAAGTACCACGGTCTATAGGTTGATATGAAGATATTCATTGACATGGCGTTTCTTTTGATATTCATTTTTTTCTGTTGTTATTGAAGCATCATATGTTTAAGTGGGGCATTTCTTTTAGATTTGGATACTTCGAGAGGGGCGTATGATCGGGTTCGAATTGGATTCATAATTGGGTTTGAATTGGGTTTTGCGGGTGCAATGACATTGGATTCGGAAAAATTGAGTTGGATCAAAACTTATTATGAGCTGCAGGGTAGTTAGATAATGAGCGACCAATTTTGGATAGTTTTCAATTTTGGTTTCTTTTTGTGAGCATCGATTTTTTTTTGTTTGTGGGTATTTGGAAGTCAATGTTGTACCCTTGAAGTTATCTTATGTGAAATGTACATGTAGGTTGAAATTTTTTTGTGAAACTATTTCTGGAGGAAATTTTTTCCTAGTTTTTTAAAATTTATCAGGATTCAGCTTCTTTCAATGGATTCTCATTTTTTTCTAATTCTAAATTTCTTACATAGGGCATTTAGGCACAATCACATGTCTAGGATTGAAAAGGATTGGGCCAAGCCGATGAAGTCACAAGGACAAATGTATCAGACTTAGAAAGGATCAAGCTACCAGTAAAGATACGCCTTCAACAGATGTTATGAAAGAATTAAAGATACAAGAAAACCCCAACTATTGTTATGGTGGAGACATTAGATGGAAAAACATATTTGAACTATGTAAGATGGTGGATGGTGAACAAACTTATTTGTACCATGTTTGTTTTTCTTAGTTGATGTTTACCACTGAATTTTGATATATATTTTGGTGAATTTGTTGGTATATGATTATTTATGATTGTATTTGACAGTTTCAAAATTAATAGGTGTACTTATTTAAGGCAATATGTTACCAAAATTAATTTCCAAATTCAATATAATAATAGATTTTTGGGAAGAAAATTTGGAGATCGGTCTCTCTTTGTGGACTTATTTGGTGATAAATTAGTTTAATATTAAGTCCATTTTAATCTTCATTATCCAAAATAACCCTAGTAGTTATGTTTAATTAAAATAAATTTAAAAACTAACAACTCCTAAATTTTAGGAGATTAACTAATATTAAAATCCTCTCTCATATTTATTTATATTCATATATAGAATAGGACTATTTATTTCTCTCTCTCAGATATATACATACATATAGTAATATTAAAAAAAATAGTAACATTAAACACAAAAAATAGCACCATTCAAATACAAAAAATAATACTATTTAAACACAAAAAAAGTAGTAAAATTTAAACACAAAAAAAAAAATATATTCAAAAACGAAAAAAATAATAGCATTAAGTATTAATATTAGGAAAATAACAGTAGTAACATGCTCAACAAAAACAGTAACATGAATAGCAACATGCCCAACAAATACAGCAATATATACTCACAAAAATAGTAACATGAACAATAATATAGTAAAAAAAATTATATGGAGAGAAAGAGAAAGAGTATCAGTTGTTCTTTAAATTTGAATTTTAAATTTATGTAAAAAAATTATTGGCATATCTTCATTAATAGTAAATTAAGGAATTATAATTCTCAAATTAAGAAATTAATTTAAAGTTGCTTTCAAGGAAGGGTATTTTTGAGTTTTAAAAAAATAGTGGACTTAACTACTTATTAATAAAATTAAAAACGGACTTATCCCCAAATAAGTTTCTTTGACAGACTAAACTCATTATAAGTCCCTTAAGGAGGACTCAACCCCAATTTTCACTAGATTTTTAATTTCATAAAAAATTGCTATTAATTATTTTTAGTCACTATGTATATTTTGGTCAAAGTTCATTCAATTTCGGTGAAAAAATTATTTTATCCAAACATAAGAATGGAATGTGTCATTCCAGTACTTAATCCTAAATAGTTGTTAAACATTGAAATGGTAATGTGCATTCCATTCCATTCCCGAACTCATTTTATTCCTAAACTAATTTCATTCCTGCTGAAAAGTATTACCGCGTACCAAACCCAACGTAATGGTCTTCATACTATGAACTGAACTATGAGTTTGGTGCAAATAATGCTAAATTTCAACTATAGAGAAACGTAAATCACATACTTGGCTACTTGTGCAGAATTCTTCCATTGAAACAACCTTTGCGCCGCACACTTCCAACAACAACTGCAAGTTGCCCCTATATTTGTACTATAAGAATCAAAAATATTTAGTTGAGCATCTATTGAGGTATCCCAAATGCTTCTAAAAATCACGTCATTCTACATTATTTGTCAACATAAAGAAACATTGCAAATCAAAAGAATAGTGATACTTTATATAAGACACCACAAAAAAAAAAAAAAGAAAATTCTCAAACTATTTATTTGAGGACCCAAGAAAATCAAAACATTAATGATCAGTCAATAATACAAAAATACAAAAGCAACAAATGAATTTGATATGCCAGGAGGACAGTTGCAAATGATGGATTTATGTCTATACAGCTCATGAGAGCATATGGATGTATCTGTATCCGTATTTTCCAATCACAAAGAAATGAAATCTCCAAATTTATACTCCGGTTAAAGAAAACATGAAGAATGTTGCGACCGTGATAATCAATGATGCAGAAATGCAATAATACAAAAGCAACTGATGCATTTCCTGTGCCAAGAGGACAATCACACAAAAGTAATGGATATATTTCTATATGACTCGTGACCACAAAAGGGATTTTCTATATCTATAATTTCCAATTACAAAGAAATGTAATATCCAAATATATTCTCCTGCTGAAGCAAACATGAAAGATATAGAAACTCTTGAGTAATAACCAAAAACACGAGATTTTCAAAGTGACTAAGATGTATGACCTTGTGTGTTGGTTCCAGCAGAAAAGTGTACCCTCTCAAACAGTTTTCTCGTGATTTAGGGTCTGCAACTTTGATTGATACTCCTTCCAACATCATCGTTGGAGCATACCTGTAAAAAAGGACGCATTATTTTACCACTAGTAAAATCAAGTTTCAATTACGTATATGCAAACTGTAATGGTCCCACCCAAAATGAGATTGAAAAGAATACTTACGCGCTGCAGCTTGGAATTTCAGTACAAATTCTTGTTTCTGCAATGAACTGAATATCATAGTCCATCAATTAGAGTGGTTTAAGATATGAAACAATTCTTAAGTACCAAAGAAATTGTCCTATATAGTACACGACTAAAATATGAGACGATCAGAAAGCCTACACACTAAATTAACATTTGATAGTGGCACACATAGCACAGTTTTTCTCCATGATGAAAATAAGAGGTGCATGAGCAGCACACATCAAAGAAGATGGGAAAAGTCTTGTAGTGAATACCCCTCATCCAAAAATCCACATTATGAAACATATTTCTCTTGTCCTTTTCAAGATCTCAAAGGTCAAACACAAAGCATATGCAAGATAAAGAACAAAACAAGGACATCTCTAGAAGCTAATAACCTATTTTATTAAGGTTTGGCACCATTTTCAATCTTTTGTAGCTTAGAAATTTGAGCTGTCATTTTCAATTGTCAAAAGAAATGCCATAATTGAGAAATTAGGTCAAACACAAAGCATATGCAAGATAAAGTACAAAACAAGGACAAGGACATCTCTAGAAGCTAATAACCTATTTTATTAAGATTTGGCACCATTTTCAATCTTTTGTAGCTTAGAAATTCGAGCTGTCATTTTCAATTGTCAAAAGACATGCCATAATTGAGAAATTAGGTAGTGAACTTCTTCTTAGAATTCCATTTCATGTTGATCAAACTTGGTCTCCCACTCAACACCAACTTCCCTCCTAGAACTAGCCTCTAACTTCTCATATGCAGAAACCATTATTAGCTGCGAGTATCTCCAGTGTATTGGAGACCTACTAATCTCCAATACATATGGATCCTTTTCAGCATTTTTAATGTCCAACCATGTTCATAGGTCTTTGACATTACCAGCATCGATACTTTTCAGTAGTTCGGCTTAATCTAAAGGACAAATTTTATTTTTAAAAAAAATAATTAAAAGATTTGAGTCATATCTCAATACCTCAATTGGGTCCACACAATCTATGTATAAGAATAAGAAACATAGTCACACACAAAAATGAAAGAAACCTTGTGAATGCTATTTCTATCACTAAGTGATATGTGAGTGCAGGATCTCCGAGGTGTGATGCCTCAGAACCATAGACCTATTGCCTTCATGTCAAGCAACAAATTTAGCCCTGGACTCAATTCGAGAGCTGTCAAAACGATACACCTTTGCTTCAAAATCTGTCCCAAAAACTGGCTTTGTAGAGATTTGATGCTGAGTTAGTAAATATCCAAGATCACTACATCAATAAACTAGTCAATAAATCAAGGCATGCACATCCAAGAAATTTGTCACTGAGAGAAGAAATGAGATAAATTATCTTTAAAACCTTTATGCATCCAACATTAGTTCCTACTCTTTAGCTTTGGTCACTAGTCACTACCAACACATGACAATGGCACGTATTATATATATAATTATAGTAATTCAGGTTAATGGATGTGGGTGTACCTCAACCCAAGAGTAACGGGCAAAGGGTTTTTTACACATAATAGCGTCAAATAAATCTTCTTTCAGGGGCATGGAGTCATCAACAAGCACATGCGTGCACTCAAGACTCCAGTTGCGAGAAGTACAAGCACCTGTGTGAAGTCATATAATTAATCAATTTCATAATCTCATATAAAACAACACATAATTTTTAGGCAATGGCCAACTGGAAGGGAAAAAAGCTTTACGAAGTGTGCAGATTCTTAAAGTGAACTTGGAATTGTAGCAAAGGAATATATTAGAGAAAAACGCTGATGGCCTTCCACCATCATCCACTTATTTTCTCTTTTATTTTCAGTATCCAAATTTTTGTGCATACTGGCCAACAATGAAGAGTCCTTAAAGTTGCTAAACTACATCTTGCCCCCTTGATCACAGAATCCAGACTCAGCTTTATCCCAACACCCTAGCACTGGGAGCTACAACTTTCCTTGAGTTTCAGGAACTACAACAATTTAATTACTCTAAATATAGCCAAAATCCATAGTTGCCTTAAACCTGAATTAATCAACACTTGATCTACAGCTCAGCCACAAAAATAATAAACAGACACCCTTATACCCATAACTCACCTATATTCCAATAAAGCCACTTTAGTCTCACCATCAGGGGTTTATGCAAAACTGGAATTTGAAGGTATTAATCAAAAAGGCATCCTCCCTTAGAATGATAACAAGTAAACACCAAGAAACAATGTTCAAGAGAAATGGGGGAGGAATTGGAGATTAGATGATGGTGGAATGAAAAGAGACAGTAAGCAATATAAGATGACCACAATAACAGGTACTAGAGATATGAACTCACAAAATTCCACAAACTGCATCCACTTGAAAAGCCAAACAATACACTTTCAAGTTCTTCTAAAAGTCAAACCATTTGTTTCTAGGTTTCAGAGAACATCTATGGTATTATCCCACAAATGAACACTTTAAACACTAACTGAAAGTGAAATTTGAAACCTTAGGCGGACAGCAAACAAATTGAGTTACAACGGGAAACTATCTCCCTCTCCCCCTTTGTGCTGAATAACATGCATGAATTATTCATAGTTGAACATTTTAGAACCTAGATTTGACTTTTCTACATCATAAATATAAGATGATCCATTGCCAGAGTTGAAACAAAAAAGCATTTAAAGATATCTTTAACTAGTGGTTCAAAGAACTAATTACCAAAGTAACAGCCAATAAATTTTTTTCACAGCACAGTACTGGGGGTTTGATAATGGCACAATAATATCTTGAGGACCAATTCTTTTCTCTTTTCATTAGCACTCCAACAAGTAAAATCAAAATGAAGCACATCAAAAATAAAAACAGGCAGATTATTATCAGTACAGCAACAATGATATTGTTTTTTTTTTTTTTTGATAGGAACAATGGCATTGTTTTAAATGTTGCAATGATGGAAATCCCTTCAGTTAACCAGGGTTTTACTAAGGAAATCACTGACCTATTGATGATATCTCGTCTTGAAGAAGTTTATTTGCTTGCAAAGGCTCCCAAGAGCAAACGAAAAATATAAGAGGAACAAAACAAAACCTGCCAGATATTAGTCACATTATCCAAGCAGAACATAGTAGTATATCATACATGATTTCATTAATCTATATTTACAATCATGGAGCATTGGCTAGACATAACTAGTGTTGATAATATATACATTTCATGGGGGAGGATGGGGATCCAGATTTGGGAAAGTGGAGACAGTAGCAAAAGGTGAGACTCAAACCTGCATCACCAGCAGGATTGAGTATATTATCTGAACTCTCAACAACCAAAATTGCAGCCCCCTTGCCAGAAGTTACACATGCAAAATAGAAAAAATTGATTACCTGTAGGTAGCATTGCCTGTTCCAAATGAAACTACGTCTCCATCTATTAAAGTTATTTCCTTATTTGGAAACTCATGAACTTTTTCCTTTGATCCTGCATCTCTATCAACAAAAGTTCCATACTTTGAGCAGTCTCTTAACCGAACTTTGGAGGATATTCTTGAAGAATTCTTCTTTGAATGATCAACAGAGATCATTGCATCAATCACGATCTCTGCATGAATCCTTGAAACTCCTTTATCTCGATTTATAATTACATCACAACCTACACAAATACTAATGTAAAATTAATAATCACATTAGTGCTATTTTTAGTGCAAGGATTCAATAGAAGTGAAAGAATACATGAATATATACAGTTCTGATTAGTGTTGGGTCGGGAAAACATGGATTAAGTCAGTTCAGGTGATATAAGGGGAGAAGCAGCATTTACGGTACATGTCATATGTACCTGCTCCACAACAGATGTTAGAACATATTTGTTCTCTACACGTGGAGAACAAACTAACATAAATTCATGACCAGCACCACTTGCTAGGTTGACAGATATCAACAAACAACTTAAAATCAAAAGAAAGTTGGAGCATCTTTCTAATGTTGAAGAAGTTAGGCAAAATTGAAAACTCTGCAGAAGTCAAAAGTGAAGGATCTTTTTAGACAAGTAAAATTCAGCGAAGGGAACAAAAGGTGGGACCAATCAATATACATATGGAGTATTTTGTAGCTAGACATTGTCCACCCACAGACAGTAACCATGCCCTTTGAATCAACAATCATAACAAAGGACATAAAATACATCCAGACTCCAGAGGCTGAGAAACAAAACTAACAGCCTCAAAGTTGTTAACTTAAAAAGAGGGAGATACGCTCACTCAAAATCCCACCTTTTCTAGTACTCTTTAAAGTCAACACATCGAAACAAATCAGTCTCCCAGGCCATTTCATCCACCTCCTACTTCCCACCAAATACCAGCTCCCTAGCAGGATCCCGGCCAATCCAAGCATGACTGATGGCATAACGACGCTTCACCACCTCCAACAGCAGCACAAATAGGCAAGGTGTGGCCAACACCCTTCCCCACCTTTTAGTTCATTTAAATATATAACATTTGGCTTAAGTTGCCACCAGTCAACATAGCCACCGCACTCGTTTTACATAGAAATGAAGCCACAATCTATAAAGCTTTTCTGCATCAGATTCTTTTTCACGCGAACGCGTACATTGCGTCTCTACGGCTATGCAAATAGGACGCTTTCCATCGAGAATACCTACTTTCCGTTATATTCCCTCAATTTCCACCCAACTCATCATCCATACCTTCCATATATTCATTTTCCATATGACCTCTCACCAAGGACTATTGCGGCTGCAGCTCCCAAACCTGCAAGACCCTGCAAAATCTGGGAACCCACACTTTTTTTTGAGAAGCTCACAACATATCTACAACTAAGGAGAACTCACCCCACCTTTTGATGTTTGCTTCACATACGGTTAATCACTAGGAACACACTACTTTCCAGCCTGCCCATTCCCCATCACATCATACTTTCCTGCCACCCCCTATTCCATAGGTACCATCCACAACCGGAAACTCCACATCCACAGTTCCCAAAACAAGCCTATTGAACAGCTCTATCTCTGACTGATAAAAAGAAAAAGAAAAAAACATCTTTAACTTCTTATGCTCCAGCCCTCTCACCTTTCACCCAAAAACACAGATTCTAAGGCAGATCTCTAGAATTCATTCACCCACAGTCCTGCATCAAAGGAAAACTTCCATTTCTTCTTGTCTATATTGGTCAGACATTAAAATACTTTCCTGGATCACTCTGAATGACTGTCTGGCCACACCATGTGACGTTTCATTCATCCGCAAGCTGTTGGTTAGCAAACCTCATCATTATAGATAAGATGAAGTTGTTACACGTATCAATATCGTTGTCCCTGTACATTAATTACGTTGAAATAGCCCGAAAGAATGCAACATAGTACTAGATTGAAATATGGTCAAAAAAACCTTGGCTTATACAAGGAATACAAATACATGTGACCGTTGCAATGATCCAGATGACAGGAGGAAAGAAAAACTAACTGCTTCTTGTACATGTCCTGTGTTAAATGTATAACTAGGACAGACAACAAATAAATATGTAAATGAAGTGAAATAATCAAGAAGACATGCCACAACTGGCCCACAAATTACAGTACCTTTTCGTCCCACTCCGTAGGTCCCTTTACTTAAAAAATAGTACTTTTCTTCACCTGTCACATGAATTATTAACAACTGAATTGGCATAAGCTATAAACTTCACATAATACTATGCCGAAGATAATGTTCATATGGCAATTTTGACAGGCATCAAGAAAAAAAAAAGGCAGTTTAATGGTGTGTTTGCCAAATGCACATCCTACAAATAATCATGAAGAGAAACATATCCATGCACGTATGAAAAAGTAAAAAGATGGATCAAAACTTAACAAACAAACCACGGAACACATTGTACCATATAACATCACTGATTATCACAAAAAATGTAAGTCAAAGTGAAATACTGTGACTATGGTTCCCCTGAAAAGAAATAAAGACTTGAACAAATTTCAAAGCTAGAACAGTGCCAAATAGAAAAAGTGTGAAATGAGGTTAATAAGGTTCACCTAAAACAAGAGATTTCACAAGGTCCACCTAATAAAGGAAAGCATAAATAAATGACACAGCTAGTTCTATCATTTATCACCCCTATAAGATATAAAATGAGTCTTTCCTGTAAAGTTAAAACAGCAGGTAGTGCATGAGTTACAAATAAAAGTTGCAGTTTGACTTTTAGTCCATAAAAATTATATCCTCCTGAAACCTGTTCAGTAGTTCCATGACATCATCCCTTTTATCCTTTCTATTTTGTTGTTTTTTTTGGGGGTCGGGGAAGAAGAATGTAAACTTGATTCTACAAATGCCATATAGCTTGTGAATTTCTGCTTTAACAAAGACTCAAAAGAGTCATCAATACAGCATAAAAGTACAAATGGATAAGTGCTCATGTTATAAATATAATGCTAAATTGCTTCATGCAATTTATCAATATATGGTGAACAATAAATAAAAACACAAAATTTTCTTTTGTTCTCTAAGCATAAAAATAATCTTCAAGGAACTACAAGATTTCTCAAAATTAAAAAAAAAGGTATATTAGAAGGTTACTTTGACTTTCTTTTCCATTATTCAAGTTTCTCTTCTCTTGGAAAACCAGAAAAACTTCTGAAAGGCCAGAGACCAAAATTTGAAAAGATCAAAATTTCAAACTTCAGAAGAGCTTTATGATGCATATTTTTCGTCGGTTGTGTGGATTGCAACCACTTGGTGCTCTCTAGTAGATAAATGAATTTCCATGTTTCAAATTAATTAAAGTAAAATGGGCAGACAATAGTGTCTTGTTCAGTCGGTTGATATAGCAAACTGACAATCAAGTTAGCTAAAGATGATCCAAAAAACACCAAGAAATATATATTTTTTCCGCAAACAATCAAGTTAGTTCAATATTTGTTTTCTACCTAGTGGTACATAAAGAAAGATCATTTTTTCCTGGCTCAATCAATTTTTCCACAGGTCTGGTTGTAATGGTTGCAAAAAACTAGACCAGGATGTTCAAATTCTCCAGCTGCCATGAGAAGTGTTGTGATCAAACCATTTTGGTTTTGAATTTCCTTTTAACCATATCATCGTTTGAACGAACTTTAACACCCACACTTTCTCACATTTGATGTTGGTTTGAAACATTTACCTTGATGCTGCATTAGGGAACATGAAATTTGTGGCTCGCAATAAGAATTGAAGACCACATTATCAGTTCAAAAATTATGTTTTTCCACCAACTCATTCCAACGCTTAGAGAAGTTAAACCTCGCATACTGAATTTTCTATAAATTCCATATTGCAACAAAACAATATAACGACGGTGATTTGAGGCCATTCCATATGAGCAATGCAAATATAATTTGTAAATTTAATGATTGTCACTAGATTGTCGGTCCCAACATTGAATGCACCCACTATCAATAAAATTATCACAATACGTTAAGTCCAAAATTATATTAACATTATTGATTCTCTATATACCTCTTTTGGGCTACATAATGAAAGAGGCGATTCCATGTTGTGGACGACCAAGTGTTTGGTAAAATGTCACAAAGACCAAAGTTTAGTGATTTATAGACCAGGGCGTGCGCATGTGGGTGTGATAATGCGGGAATTTACTGTGTGCATATCCGATCATGGGTGAAGAAGAAGAAGTTGTCCAAAACAAAAAGAAGAAGTTGTAACCTGAAAGTGGGTCGGCAGGAAACAGACCCCAAACCATAGCTTTGATCCTTCTTCAGTATTCTCCTAAGTCCTAACGATTTCGATTAAGGTTTTAGGCAGCTATTTGCGCGATATTGATACCAAATACTGGAGTATGTCTTATAAGGCTATGAGCAATACAAGTGAGATGATAATTATGCTTTTAACTTGGTACCACAGACGAGTATTGAATTCGACTTCTTGGACAAAGCCACGAGTGATGACTACCTAATCTGTGTCTACTTTAGGTTGGGCCCGGACTCCTAATATTAATTATTGCGAAGTTTAAATGGATTAAATATTATGATTTATTTTAATTAAATGAGTTAATATAAATTATAAATAGATACTCATTAAGTTAAATATTTATTTTTTTATTAAATAATATAAATAATAAATTAAATAAATATATTAATACGTTAAAAATATGTATATTAATACACCAAAAAATATACATACACTAATACAAAAACAAAATACACACATTAATACACAAAAAACTATACACTAATACACTCGCGCCATGGCCCACAACCTGACCCATGACCACGGTCGACCCATAGACCAACTCATGACTCACGGATCGACCTGCAAACCAACTCATGACCATGATTTTGACTTGACCCATGATCCACAGGTTGACCCCAACTCAATATGTGTGTATTTTGGTAAATAGTATATGTATATTTTGGGTTTTTTAATTGAAATGTGTTTGTATTTTTATGTGTTAATATATTTGTGTGTATTGTGTATGTATTTTTTGTGTATTAGTGGGTGTGTGTATTGGTGTATTAATGTATATTTTTTTTGTGCATTAATGAGTTCATATTAAGAGTTTGGAAAATTTTTATTCATACTCATTATAGTTTATCATATCTTAAAGGACACCCATTTTATTTTTTGAATTTTAACTAAAACCCTTGTTAGATTAAAGGTCTTAACTATAATACAATTTTACTAAATTGTCTAAGATATATTTTAAGAAAAATTTCATTCACACCCCTTTAGATAGACATATCTTCAATAAGAATCCCTTTATTTTATGAATATGTTTACATATTAAAATTCGTTTTTAATCGGTTTCAATCAAATTTTAATCAACTAGCATTGAATTTAATCACTCCGAATTTTGATATGGAAAAAATATATAAATTTTAATTGACTTAAATTTTAATACGTAAAAAAAATTTAATCAATTTGAATGAAATTTTAATTGACACGAATTTTAATAAATAAAAATATATAAATTGTAATCAACTCAAATCGAATTTTAATCGGTGCTAATAGCTCAGGTTGAGCTCAAATTTGTTCAAATTTTAATGCGTAAAAAAAGTAATTTTAATACACTTAAATTTTAATACCTAAACAAAATAAAATTTAATTAGCTCGAATCAAATTTCAATCAGTTCAAATTTTAATGTGTAAAAAAATAAATTTTAATCAACTCGAATTTATGTATAAAGATTGTTTGAGATTTATGTATGGTCAATTTTGATATTTTAAATGAATTATTTTTATTAGAAATAGTGGTTTAACCACAAAGGTTGTCAGTAATATTTAAATATAAACTAGAAGGGGTGTCAATGATGTTTTAGATAATAAAAAAGTTGTCCTTGAAGATATGATAAACTAGAAGAGGTGTAAGTGTAATTTTGTCTAAGAGTTTTAATTATTTTATAGATTAATGGTTTTAACCCAAACTATTATAAACTTAATTCATTATAATCCATTTATTAAGTAAATAAAAAATAAAATAAATTTATTTTATATTAACTCAATTTAACCCTCGCCGTAACCACCTCAAATCACCCGTTTGCCGCCTATACTTGAAGACTCAGATGTATAGTTTACTTGAAAAAAAAAACGGAAGGAGACACTCTCGGTCCTCAATCCTTATTCTCCCAAGTCCAACGACACCGTTACGGCATTACCCAACCCCACCCTCCCCCCCCCCCCCAAAAAAAAAAACCACCTCGTCACCCGACCTCAATCACCCAACAATGGCCACCCAAATCCTCAAAAAATTCACTCTTAAACCCGCCAGCGCCGCCCGCTCCAAAACAACATCGGCCGAGTACGTAGCCTCCAGAGCCCGAGACCCAACATTTGAAAAACTCATGGACAAGTACAAAAACCTCTTCAAAGTCTTCTCCATTCAAGACCTCATCCTCGCCCACCCCACCACCTCGACCACCACCACAAACCATCCCTCCATCTCCATCGACTTCCTCAACCGACTCTCCCAAAAACTTCACCTCAACCGTGGCGCCACCCACTTCCTCCGCAAATACCCCCATATTTTCGATATCTTCTACGAACCCACCAAGTCTCAACCCTTCTGCAAGTTAACGGACGCCGCCCTCGAAATCTCCCGCCAAGAATCAGAAGCGATCAACGCCTCATTACATACTGTCATCGACCGGTTGGTTCGGCTTCTATCTATGTCGATTTCCAAGTCGTTACCACTTCGAGCTATCTTTAAAGTATGGAGGGAACTTGGTCTTCCTGACGATTTTGAGGACTCGGTAATTGCGAAAAATTCTCAACTTTTTGCACTTTGTGATGGAAATGAACCCAATACACATACATTGAAACTTGTAAGTGAAATACCCAGGAATACTTTAGTTGCTGTGGTTGAGAATTGGAGGGTAATAGAGTGTTGTAAGGAGGAATGCAGTGTTGATAGGATGGAAATTAGGTATAGTTTCAAACATGGGCATCCGCCGGGGATGAGGTTGAGGAAGAATTTCAAGGCCAAAGTTAAGGAATGGCAGAGATTGCCGTATATCGGGCCATATGAGGAAATGGGGGAGAAGAAGAGGACCAAGGCTGGGATAATGGGAATAGAGAAGCGGGCGGTTGGGATTTTTCATGAGTTTTTGAGTCTGACTGTGGAGAAGATGGTGGAAGTAGAGAAGATTAGTCATTTTAGGAAGTGGTTTGGGATTGATTTGAACACAAGGGATTTGTTCTTGGATCATCCTGGCATGTTTTACTTGTCGACAAAAGGGAAGCGACATACTGTGTTTTTGAGAGAGGCGTATGAGAAGGGGTGCTTGATTGAGCCAAATCCGGTTTATGAGGCTAGAAGGAAGCTACATGATCTTCTTGTTCTGGGACGTCGTGGTTTGCCTACTGGTGGTTGTAAGTTGAGGAGTGTTGGTCAGAATGAAGATGATGGAATTGGAAAAAGAAGGTAGTGATTGAGGTCATGGCCTTTCAATTGAGAAAAGTTGACATGATTGAGAATTAGGGATGATACTCCTTTGCTGAGAAGGGCTCTAGGATTCGCAACCACAAGAAGAAAACTGAAGTAAAGACAGAAATGCAGGAATTGCTCTTGGAAGGGAAGGTTGGATGATAATGTGTTACGTTACTGGTTGCGATATTGGTGATGCTTATTGTATTCGCTATTGGGCATCAGGTTCATCTCTTGAGATGACTACTGAAGTCACATTATATGCGGATAAAGGAAAAGCTAGAATATTTTAGCTGATATGTGTTTCTTCGGAACTCTGATTTCTATGACTAGAGGTAATCCCCGGAAAGATTGGATGGATTGGACTTTCATTATTTTAATCATCTTGACTTGCGCATTTGAGTTTTCAGTATTCATAATATTGTTTGGTATGCTACTCCATGTTGCTGACTCTATTCTCAGTAGTACGAAAAAAATTGTTGAAGTATAAACTTATGACACAGTATGCAAATTGACGATAAAATTGAATTGTGGATCTTTTAGAGATGACGTTTCTGGCACTTGTCGCTCTGATTGTGTTTGTGGATCCATGTATGTCTGAATTGTCATGAATACATAGACTTGCTGAGATGGCTGAAGTCCATGCACGTACCACATAGTGCATTTGATTGAAGTCTATACTATAAGTGTGTGTTTGGAAAGTAGACCTTTCAGAAGCTGATTATTTTGGACTCCTAATCTTTTAAACCTTTCCGAAGGCAACAATGTTTTTCTTGCATTGTATAATCATTGACCACGAGTAGGACAATGGTTTGTGCTGTACAATCCCACCTGCTTAACAGAACCCTTGGTCCACCGGCTTTTGTGGAGTTTATCGGATTCACAGGTATCCTTCCCTGAACAAAATATTTGGTCCAAGTTTTTCCATATGATTTTACATTTTTCATCATCTTACTAGTTGCTCCATGAGCTTTGTTAGTCATGTTTGTGTTTTCTTTAACTTATAGATTTGTGCAATACTATACTTTAACAGTCTGCCAAGTCGGATGTTGTTATGTGCCCTGTAGTTGGGTCCGGACCTGAACGCCATTGCGTAGCTGAGAGGGAACAAAAGATCTACTCGCACACAATCGAGGCAAGTATTATCCCCTTCACTTAAGAGGTTTACATTTCGCTTTCTTAGGTTTTTATGATTATGTTTTTGTGTGTGTGTGTGTGTTTGGTTTGAAGTTAAGCTACTTGTGCTTTTGAGTTGACTCTCAGATAATTTTTCTAATTTGCAGGAGGTCATTTTGCAGAGAATGGGAGGATCTTCTATTTAAAAGCACATTTTTGCATAGATTCGTGGACATGCTGAGTTTGATTGGAAGGTAATTGATGCAGGATTATGCTGAGAACAACTTGAAATTCTTGGAGGAGGTGCAGAAAGGGGTAGGTGAAGGGCTTTGTATAGAAACTCTTGAGCCATGTTCGTTGCCCTGCCCTAGGCTTACCATTATTGAATTTCATTCTACTGATTGGTTCTAGCTCCAAAGAACATATACATGGAGTTATGTCTATTTATGTACGTCTCATTAACTAAACGATCAAGTATACCACGTCATGTATCATCCCCTCTTTCCATAGAAGAGAGAGAAAGAAAAAGAAAAGATATAGTAGTTGCGCCATAAGACCTTGTTTGTTTCTACTTGATGTTATTTTCTTCAGGTTTTTTACATTAATTATATAGGATAGCTTACTTAGCCTTTGCACTAAGGATCTAATCAGAGTCAAACTTAGAGTTGAAAAAGAAACCTTTGCCTTATTAGCTGGAGTACAAGTGTACTCCTTAATATTTGGTAAAGGTGGATTAGGCAAAAATAAAAAGATTTTATTTTTTTGCGAACAATTTCAACGTCCTTGTTGAGAGTCGATTTTTCGGTTTGGAAGATAAAGGGATATTGCAGGAAGGAAAGGGATATGGCTGAAAAGCTAGTTAGCTCTTATGAAGATAAGAAAATGGCTTAGAGCTAATCATAAATATCAGTCTTAGGGGAATGGCGAGATTAGGCCAGTATAATTTATGGCTTACCCCACAAGCTATACAGGCTGTTTGTTGAGGGGGGGAATGAACTGTGAGAGATCTTGTGAAAACCCACACTTGACATCATTAGTGCAGCTATGAGGATTCACTACTAAAGGTGCTACTCTACAAGGGGCTTCTTTTTCCTTTTACACCTGATAAGCCTCGAAGACAACCCACATGCACCACACAAAGCTGTGACAATATTGTGTAGTTAAAAGATTGAGGAATAGTGCTCCTTTCATGGTAAAAGAGAAACATAAGCACCTTCCTATGAAGTTTTCTCTTTCAATTAAACTCTGCGAGACACATAGCAACCGCGGGCTGTCACATCTTTTGTTTTGGTAACATATGTACCTCACTCCAGAACATACCAATATCGAATTGAGCTATCTTGTTTTCGTTGGATTTGTGTTCGCATGTGATCTTTCCACAGATATGCTTTATTTTTCTATGTGCTTGGTAGAAGGTTACTGTATACATGGCTGACTTGTTTAACTATTTAGGCTAAAATGTCACCAAAGTGTTCGGCTGAGATCTTAATTTAGTCAGATGCTAACATTAAGAGCGTGAAGATCAAGGGGGCAGTATATTTGTGGCCTTCCCAGAAACTGGAATGTTGTGCCAAGAATTTGTCTGTACGACCCTGTGATGTCCATCACTAAAACTTGATAGAGCTTGTTGCCATCTGAAACTGAGATTAGATTGCAAATTGTGGTCCTGTATCTTTACTTTAGCCCCTTCTGTTTGTCCAACAAAGGAAAAAATATCATATGCGTCTTCTGTATTTCTTTTGTAAAGGAACATCTCTTGTTTATTTATATAGCAATTGTAAAGCTTGTCACTCCTTCTTTCGACATTTCCTGTGCCTGTTACTCGTATTACATTTGAATTGCCCGCTACTCTTCATTTTCCTTAGTTTTCTGGTTATTTGATTTTAACTTTGGCACCGGTGCAGTTTCTAGCTAATTCTGAATGTTTCACTCTCCAGCATCAACTCATTCACTGTCATGTTGCTTGTTATTTGGGAAATTTGTGTTGTAAATTGTAATGCTTGCTTTAAAATAGTGCTGCATACCTCATAATCCACGGGGCATTTCTCTTTTCAAGTGTTGTGTCACTTGGCTGAGGCTATTTTGGATTGCAGTTCAAAATAGTTCAAAGCTCAGACCTTGAGAGGCTAGCAGAGAGTTCAAGTTCCCTTCAGATTTTAGTGACAACCACGCTGTCCGTAAAAGTGATTTGAAACATGACAAGTGAGCACTAGCCAAAACAGGTACTGCTTCAATTTTTGCCAAGGCCTAACTTGAAGATATTGTTTGTCCTTAGAATGTTATAGCAGAAATGAAACAATCTGCTAGGTAGGGTTAAACCCAAAAGATAGGGCACTTTGGGTATTGGTTTTTTTTTTTTATTTACAAACAAATATAATTACTCGACCAACATCAATGCAAAATGCTCAACAAAGCTTCACAAGAGAATCCAAATGACCAGCATACCCAAGCTCACATACCCGAGTCCAAATGACAAGCATACCACATACCAATAACATACTCACCCAATAGTTCAAAAAATGCCTCAAATGTGACTCGATTGTAACTTTAAGACAGAAAAATGAAATGGTTCGATTCTCTTTTGACACCCATACGTGCCCTTAAGTCAAAACTATGACCACCCTTGTCCTATATCACCAAAAACTGGTTCTTGAATTGCTGAATCTTGTGGAGACAAGCTTGGGCCCTCTCAATAGCTGCATCAACACTGTCATTCCTTTTCATGTACCCACCACCATGACCAACCCTCGGAAGTTTTCGTCTGCATGCTTCAACATTACTCTCCATTCTTCTTTGCATCTCGGAACCACTCTTCTTCCTCTTCTTGCTTGTTGAAGCTGTTGACACCAGATGCAAAATGGGTGAATAAGTAGTCGGGCCATTAATTATACAGCATTTGCCAACCCAACACCGGGGGGCATCTTAGCATGATAAACAGATAAACTTGAACAATCGAGTTGATACGAACTCAAACTGACAGATATTTTAATTCGATTTACCCACAACATGAATTAGACACCAGACATGGCAATACGACATCAAGACCGCAACATTTATAATTATAAATAAGTTGAATATGAATAAAACACTTTATACAACACCAACTTAAAGCATCTCCAACAGGGGCGGCTCAAATGAGCCAATTTGAGGCCTAAGACAGAAAAATTAAATGAAGGCCTTTTTAATTTTAGTATTATTATTTAAAAAATTTTTTTTTTTTAATTTTCTATGTGAGAGGAAGACAAAAGACGGATGTGTTAATATTGTCGAGAAAGAGATTTAAATTATTGTTTTTTTATTTTTACCATAGAGAGGGAGAGATAGTGTTTAATTTAATTTTATTTTTTATTTATTTTTTATCGGGGAGAAAGAGAGAGAAAGTGGATGAGAGTAAATATGAGTTAATTTTTGAGATTTTTTTAATTTCTAAGTTTTTAATGTTATGAATTGGATAATAGGCTCAAATTATTGCAATAAAAATTTTGATTTGATTTAATTTTTTAGAGTTTTTTTGTAGGATTTAAAATTTAATGAATTTAATTTTTTTTGTAGGCTAATGATATACCTAAAATTATGGAGCCTTATAAAATTTGGGGCCTAAAAACCATACTTTTTTTTTCCCATACTATTGAGCCGGCCTTGATCTCCAGTCCTTATAGCAACTCCAAAGGGCTCGGTAAAAAATCCTTCTTAGCTATTTTAAATAATTTCTCTCTAAAATTTGGCTCCATCAAACTATCTATTTCTCATAACCCACTTTTCACTTTGCTATTTCTGGCAAACCACTTTTCACTTGTTGCTTCTTGCACCAGTTTTCTCCTCACTCTCTCTCTCATTGAAGCTCCATAGCACCCCGAATTTCGTCTTCATCAATCACAGAAGCTTCATCATTCACCCAGGTATGGAGTTCTCTCTTAGAAGCTCTGTGTATTTATACCACAGAAGAACCACCAAAAATCCATCTAAAAATCCACGAAAACCCGCCAAAAGTCCACTAAAAAATCCCACCTAAAAACCCACTGCAAACCCACCGAAAAACCTAGCAAAATCTGTCTCTTGGTTCCCCCTGAAAATCGAATGAACCACTAAAATCAGTCTCTTGGTCCTCTCCCTCTTCCGATTGGTGGAGAGAAGAAATTAGAAGTAATGAAATTTTCTTATTATGAAAATTTTTGCTTGGGTTGTGTGAAACAATATTATCTAAATCGTGGGTCGCTTTGGTACGTAGTACAGATACACGATACGATATTTTTTTAGATATGCGGTACAACGGGAGTAGATTTAGCTGGTATGATATTTTGGATCACAATGCGTTTTGGAACTTTTATATAGATCGTTTTACCTACAATATAACATTATATATTACCGAACATTTATAAACACTAAGTTAGTTATCATTTATTTTCTAATTGTGCTCGATTTTTTATTATCTAAAACAATATATAATTATAAATCTATATACATTTAGTCAATTAATATGAATTTTATATTTGTGCTACATGTTCTAAAGAAAGCAAATTGATTTAGATTTAGTATTAAAATTTGGGCTAGATCGTGAACCCACATCTTTTTGGATCAATGTACTCAAATCAAATCAGGAGGAGTCATCAAGAATTTAGTGAATTGTGCTGACCATCGTGTGAAATGAGTTGCTGTGGTCTGTTGCTTGGGTTATGTGAAATGAGTTGCTGTGGTCTGTTGCTTGGGTTATGTGGAATGAGTTGATTGGGTTGGGTAGAATTTTTCTAGAATTTGTTAGTGATATTTTTTCTGAAATTTTTCTGATTTTCTGGGTTTGCAATGAATGACAAAATCTAAGGAAATGATTTGAACTAAAAAAAGGATCCGTGAAAATTTGTAAATTTTGGTTGAATTTGTGAATTGTGGTTGAATTAGTTAAAGTTAGTTGAAATATTTAATTAAAACAGAATGCGTTGTCGGATTAAATTAATAGAAATTGCCCTTAAAATAAATAATAAAAAAATATATTTTAACTAATGTCCTTAGGGCTGCTCTTCCCTTCTTTTTGTCCTCAAATTTAATTTTGGGTAAAAATAGTTTGAAATGCTTCTTCAACGCAAGACTTACCCATACTAAATAAAAATAAACTATCTTTTAAGCTCAAATCAAGAGAAATCCTTTTTTAAATTCAAATGTTTAACGGTGAGATTTTATTATTTTTTAAAGATTTGGTTAACATATTTTATTCCCTTTTAAATTTGAGTTTATCATCTATTAAATTTAAATTTCTCTTCCCATAAATTTAAATTTCTCCAAGAGGTTTATACCAAATCATACAGTTTACCTTTTTTTATTATTTAAATTTAGGTAAAAATTTGAATTTTCATCACTTGCTACATAAATCAGACGCCACCAGCCAGTCCTAAACTAATAACAGATAGAAGAAAGCATCCCCCGGGGGAGAGAGAGAGAGAGAGAGGGAACTAACCTTGGGTGGTAGCAGCGGAACAGGACATCATGGTGCTGTTCTTGGGAAGCTGCAAGTTTTGGGACTCGAGGAGGAAGATGAATGATCTGAGCTCAAGTTTCAGATAATCAAAACGATGAGGGTGATTTGCTTCCAGCATCTGCAACTCTTCTTTAGCTTGTTCTATCATGGACCACCCAGCTGACCCAGATGATGAAAATGGCCATTCCAATACCATCTGAGTTGCTACTGAAAATGGAAAGGCAGAAGAAAATCTCAGAAGTCAAAAAAGCATTAAAGTAATGGCGAATAATAAAGGAAGCTGAAAGGCTACTGTGTTTCTAGCGGCACCTTTTTTGGATTGGCGAAAAGAACATGGAAAGACATCCTGCCGTTTCTCTGTCCCCACACCACTTTGAATGGGACAAGACATTTGTGTACCCCATTTGGGCAAGTCACCTAGGAAGAGGAAAGGGCAAAGAAAAAAAACATCAGTTCAAAAAAAAAAAAAGAAAAAAAACATAAAGATGGACCAAAATAAAAAAAATGTTATTTCCATTTAATTTAAAAAACTAATTCAATAAAATTATTAGATTAAAAGTGAGTTCATTTTAATAATTAATTTAATAATTATTTGAATTAGGTTCATGGTGGAGCAATACTACCCTGATGATCTAAATTATACTGTGATGTGGGTTATTATGTCTAATTCAAAGTAACAAGTTAGATTTAAGTCTGTTTATTGAAAAAATCTTTGGACTTAATTTATGATCAAATTCACATAGTTAATAGAAGAATCATATTTTGTGTTTGAAAAAATTTAAGAATTTTTATTTTACATATTGCATATTTAATGTATAAAAAATGTTATAATGTAACCCTTATGTTATCTTTTATTGTTCATTACCTTGTAATCAAATCGAGCGTGTAACACTTCGAAGGCACATTCACAATTTAATACGTGAACAACTTCACGGACATTCTAAAAAGGAGAAAGGACGATTGTCCGTATACTTTTTAAAAATGACAGAAATATACTCCAGTGTCGCGAAGTCAATAATGTCACGATCTGGAGATCTTTGCGGAGACGAATATAGAAACTCACCTATTGACGTTGACGAATTGAGTAAGGAAAACAATGAAATGACCACAATGTAATACTTTTAATATATTGAACGTATAATATAAAAAAATTAATATTTGAAACTACAAAGTGAAAGTTCTTAAATTTTTTAAGGTAGAAAATTTATTTTGTCCTAGTTAATATAAAATTGACAAGAAGTTTCAATATTTTATGTTGTCCATTGCTAATCCAACTAAGAAATTAGACTTATTAATAGATTTTGTTTATGATTAAAATTCTATTTTGATCGGTCAGATATTGATTAATTTCATAGACTGATAATTAGATTTGAATCCATTATATTATTATTCACATTCAAATTTGGGATATTTAATATCTTACTAGATTATGGTGCAATCTGGACATAACTGGTCGAGTTTTACGTTAATTGATGTTTTTATATCATAGTGATTTTTAGTAGATTTGAATATAGATCATAAAATAAAATTTATTCAATTTTTCAATATAATTTTTAAAATACGAATTCCCATTGAGAAGCCTATTGAGATTAGGTTATGTTAGCTCATTATACTAATATTTTAGAGCCAAGTATAATACTAACAAGGACATCAAAACCATATTAGTCTTAAAAGAATCTTATTTTTTTTGGGTGCATATCATACCAAAAAATGAAAAAGAAAAACCCCAAAATAGTAAAATTTTATTCTAAAAGTGATATTTATTTACCCCAAAAGTGTTAAATCAACCCCCCCCCAAAAAAAAAATCCACCTTAAACATTAGTAAGTTCTATCAAAAAAGTCGTATACATAACAAAAATAAAATAAATTATACAATACCCATTTTTTTTTGGTATCGCAATCAGAACCCATAACTTACATTTTAAGCATTTAATCACAATAAATTTGTCTATTTATATTTAAATTTTCTACCATAATAAATATTTTTAGATATAATAAACCTGAATATGGGAGAAATTTATGACAAAAATTGGTCGGTTAAATAATGGTCAAATCCTAGAAAAAAAGAAGAAGGGGGGTTACGATCATTGTTTTAGCAGGTATATTATATTAATGGCACCAAATAGATATACTCATTCATTAGGGGGATGTGCGAGTGTCGGTAACAGGGGAATGTTGTGTATTATAGAGAAAACATATAGTCACGCCCGGCCGCTAGAGCCAAAACAAACCTGAACGCTTTCAATCGCCCCCGTGTTAAAAAATGAATAAAGTTAGTTGAATTTAATTTTTGTTGATATAATTTATTATGATTATTAATTTAATATCAAATTTTAATAATTAATAGGATCCAAAGTTAAGACAAGGATGTGAATAAATTAAGTCTAAATAATTTTTGTTGATATAATTTATTATGATTATTAAATTAATATCAAATTTTAATAATTAATAGGATCCAAAGTTAAGACAAGGACGAGAATAAATTAAGTCTAAATAATATTGGTGGTTTAAAAATACAGGTAATCCTACTAGGGCTGTCTCTCGAGTCGACCCAGAGGAATTTTTGGATTTTATATTCTGAGCTAATGAGTTACGAAATACTATTTCTTTAGTTGACCCTACCCGATTGAAGAAAATATTCTGAAGGTCGGATAAAAAATTGGGTTAGAAGCTCGGATAAGAATGTAAAATGCCTCATAAAATTTTAAACTTTAAATTACTATTTTTTTAATCATTTTAACAACTTAATTACTAAATTTTTTTGACTATTTTTACAACTAGATTGTTAAAATATAATATAAAGATATGCTAACCAACACAATAAACTAATAAAACTAAATAAAATACAATTAATTATCTATTTCTCGATTCGATCAAAGATAAATTATTTATATTTGAGTTTAAAAAGTTGTAAAAATTTGAACTAATCCTTTTTACCGTTTGAACTATTATTTAAATTTCATCTAATTAACACAAAAATTATAAATTACTTTTAAGAGTTGTGAAAAATATTAATGTGTGTATAAATTGATTCGATCACTTTTGACTGTTGCCTATTTCTACAAATAAAATATTTTAAAGTTATCTTTATTTTTATAAAAATATGGTCCAAATACACATTTTTGAATATTATTTTTATTTTTATCTTCTTGAAGTGAATTTTACCTTACAAATTTGAACTACGAATATAAAAAGTTAGAAGTACTAAGACGTTCCTTTCAACATAAGTAAATGTATAATCTTAAATGCAATGTGGCATTAAAATACATTTAAAACCATACTTTCAAGTTTTTTTATTTGTTTTGCCGTAACAATTTCTATATTAAAAGGTGTGAAATCATGTTTTTATGATTTTAAAAAATTAAATAAATAGTATAATATTGAAAAAGTAAAATTAAAAATAAAATCCCAGGGAATGTTAAAAATTAAATAGTATAAACGTAGAGTTGTACCCTCTAGACACGCATTCTGTCTGCATCTACTTTCCAAAAAAAACCCAAACGGACAAAGAACCAGTAAAGGCGGTGGAGGTTTAGGCGTGGCATTGAGAGAGAGGATGGAAGAGTCCTTGCCTGAGGAAAGAGTCTTAGTGCCACCGGACGATCTCCGGTGCGGTAGGAGTGATGGCAAGTCGTGGCGGTGTAACCGGTGGAGAATCCACGACAAGAGCCTCTGTGAAAAGCATTACCTTCTTCAAAAGCTTCCAAAGAGTTCCAAAGTAGAATCTTTTTCCACTCCGAGTAGCTCTAGGGTTACAGGAAAACGTACCAAAAGCGGAAAAGTTGGCAGTGGCGGTGGTTCTTCGGTGAATAAACCGCAACAATCAGGGCTTTCTTCGTTATCTAACAGGAAGAAGCAGAAGAGGAGGTGTGGAGGTGAGTCGGAAGAGGAGGTGATTCCGAAGAAGAAGCCGAGGAGTAAGTTGGTAGAGATAGAGGAGGAGAGGGTTAGTCTGGTGAAAAGAATTAATGGGAATTTCGGAGTCAAGTCGAAGAAGAAGAGGGCTTCGGAGGAGGAGGAAGATGATGATGGGGGTTTGGAGGATAATGGGGATGTTAGTGAGCTGAAAGTGTTCAAGACCAAGGGACGACGGACTAAGACATTCGTAATGCCAGCGAAAAACAAGCAAAGTGAAGAAGAAAGAAGAAGAAGAAGAAGAAGAAGAAGAAGAAGAAGAAGAGAGCGATGGGGGTAAAAATGGCTGTGATTCAGAAAATGAGGAGGGTGGTAAATTGGAGAAAAGAGGCAATGACGGTGTCAAGAACAAGTCATCGATGTTGGGGAGTTGGAAGGAGGGTCCTGGTGATGAAGAGCAGAAATTGAGACCCGGTGCAAAAGTGACACCAAAAGAAGAAGAATCAGGCGAGGATAGTGAGGATGATTATGACAGTGGTGATGGGCCAGAGGAGAACGAGGATGGTAGTTTGGAAAAATTTGAGAAAAGGAAGGGCAAAACTAAGCCTCTGGCGCGGAGGAAGAAGGGGGTTAAGAAGTTTCAAGAGAAGAATTCCAAAATAGTGAAGGCAAAGGAAGAAGATAATTCGCTTGAAGATGATTACGAGGAGGAGGAAATTAGACCGGTGAAAAGATCCAATAAGCATGCCAAAATCAAATCATCTTCTGTGCACAGTAAAAAGAAGGTTCAGAAAGAGAAAGACAAGAAACCGGATTTGGGGACCAAAACTAGTAATGGTGATGTTTCAAATGGTGTCGAGAGTCTAGGGAAAAGAAGCTCTCTTTTGAGGCAAAAGAGCTTTAAACTTGATCCTAGGAGGAGGGTTTACAGTACCGATGTAAGCTTTAACTTACCTCATTTTCTACCCTCCTCTCTATATGTATTGTTTCTTATATCTGATTCTATAGCTGAAGAACATACCCTTTCTGCATAAACAAATGAACAGGATCCAGAAGATGATTGCCAGATGTGCCATCAGTGCTTCAGCAGTTATAGGAGGGTGGTGCGGTGTCGCAGGGGTTGCCGCAAACGGTATTGTGGCCCTTGCATTCAGAGATGGTAATATTTATAACATTTATGCGCATTTTCCAAATATGTCCAATGTAATGTGACCCTTCAATACTAATTTTTTTTCTGGAATATATATATATATATATATTGTGTGTGATGAGAACCAAGTTTACTGCAAGTTTTACATTGGTGTACTGGAGTATCTGAATAACATGGGTATTGGTAAGTGGATGCCATGAGCAATGATCAACTACATAGTAATGCATAAACTCAGTTATTAAATGTTGCGAATTTGTTCCAAGAGATATAACAATTGCTTACCTTCACGGCTTCTTATCTTTTTCTTGTTTGTGTATGTGCATGTATATAAAGCTTGGTAGGTGCATGCAGATATGTAGTTTACCGTTGTTAATTAATTCTTCCTCTAAACTATTGTCTTCCTTTTATACGCCATTGATGTATTTGACTTACTGCAAAGTATTGTTAAGTCAAACTATGTATTGGCAGTGTGTTGGTGTGACTAATATGAATTGTGGTTTATAAACATCTATCAAACAATCTTTCAACTCCCCGTATTTGTTTGAAGCAATAGTTCAGCTTCCCTAGATCCTAATTGACCATAAAGAATGCCTACCAAAGATGTGGCCCTTTCTAATGGCATGTTTGCACAAATTTTTTTATCTTTGCACTTTGAATAAAGGTATCCTCTACTATCAGAAGAAGCAATAGCAGAGAAATGCCCATACTGTCGTGGAAATTGCAATTGCAAAGCTTGTTTACGTAGAAATGATATACTCAAGGTTGGTGTTGCAGCATTGGCATTTTGTCTTTCCACCATTGTATGATTAACTCATTGATTTATGTTTGACACCCTGTGCTTTTCTCGTGGATCTCATGGTTTATTGCAGGATGCCAAATACATGGGATTGCCAGAAAGTAATGATGAAAAGATTCGGCACTTGAAGTATCTGATTCATGTACTCCATCCGTTTTTGGAACAGTTTGATCAGGATCAAGTGTTGGAAATGGAGAGGGAGGCCAAGACGCAAGGTATTACTTGTATTTATGGTGCACAAAAAATACCAAAGAATTGAGATAAGTACAACTACGATTAAGCAATGCATTTTATTCTTCAACATCTTATTATATTAGGTCTTCATGCCAGGCCATTATGTCTGGTCATTACTTGCATTGGTTTCAGAGAAGGAAAATTCACAGTACCATAAGAAAAGGAATACACCTGTGGAGACCGTGATTAGTACCCTTAAAAGTTCCAATTGCTTGAGAACATTATAACACATGAAAAATCTATACCGGTAAACCAAAACTTCAAAGGCTGGAGTAGGCGCTACAAAGGGTGATGTTAACTGGATTCCAAGAGGTAGTCTACCATTAAAGAAGTGGAGGTTGCCATGCCCAAGGAACGTGTATGTGAGGCATTATCATGTGCAGCAACTACAATACCTCATGTCAATAAGATGGCCTGTCTTAGTAGGCAGTTATGGTTAGCTATTACTGCATTATGAGAGAAAAGCACAAACAGCTCATATTTAATTGGTTGGTTCCAATTAATGTTTTAAATTAGTTTTTCACTGGGAAGAATGGGTACTTCCTGGAGTGGTGCCAGGGTCCTACCATGCTAAAAATGTCCTGAACAGTGAACTCAGTTAGACTCAACAAAGACACAGCTAGGACACGACCGGGAAAGGGGTGTGATTTCTATGTTTTTTTAATATATTTTTTGTTATACAACTTATATACTATGAATTTTAATGGATGTAATGATATTTGATGAAACTTGTGGATATTTATTTTAATTTATTTCAATTTTAATCAAAAAATTAATGTTTGTTAGGTCTTATTATTAATATTATGTAATATATGCTTTATTTTTAACATATTATAACTCTATTATATATTATCCAAAAAATATATTATATTATTTTAATATCCGTATTTTTGCCGTACCAAACTTTGCCGTAACTTCGTGTCTGTACTTCCTAGGTTTTTCATGATAAGCTATAATAATTGAAAACTTGAGAAGCTGCAGTGTTCATTGGAATTTGATTATAGTATATAGAATTGTAAAAGGTAATCTACACCATCTATTGCTATTGAGTTGGCTTTGCCCTTGGGTACTTGTGTGAGGTGCATTAGAATTCATGACAAAAATGCTTCTTTTATGGATAATTCATCTCTATGATGACCATTTATACAGGATTTTCACCTTCAGAAATAGGAATACAGCAAGCAGTTTGTTCTAATGATGAGCGTGTGTATTGGTATGATCCTTTCCTTGAAGAATTTCTAGGTTTCTTGGTTTCAAAATTAACTTCTATGGTTGATTTGTTGATATGCTGCGTTGTATCACAGCAATAATTGCAAAACTTCTATAGTTGATTTTCATAGAAGTTGCCCAAGTTGTTCATATGATCTCTGTCTGACTTGTTGCCGAGAAATTCGAGAAGGCTGCTTGCGAGGAGGTGATGATGAAGTTGTGAAGCAGTATTACAGCATGGGAAGATCTTACTTGCACGGAGGAAAACCTAAGGTATCATCCATTGATTCGATTTCTGAGGATAATAAAAGGCCAATATCTGACTGGAAAGCAAAGGAAAATGGTGATATACCTTGCCCACCGAAGGAAGTGGGTGGCTGTGGACATGACCGTTTGGAGCTAAAGAGTATGTTTCCAGAAAACTGGGTTTCAGAATTGAAGAAGAAAGTAATAGAAATGGTAAAAACCCATGAACTTACCAACGAGGGCCAAATTTCTAGGCACTGCTGTTCCTGTTTCAAACCCAGTGGAGAGATCGATATTGGCAATAGAAAACTAAGGAAAGCTGCTGCTAGACAAGGTTCAGATGACAACTATCTGTACTGCCCTTCGGCAAGTGACATTCAGCGAGGGGACCTTGAGCACTTCCAGAGACATTGGATCAGGGGAGAGCCAGTGATTGTCAGCAATGTACTGGAAGTTACATCTGGATTAAGTTGGGAGCCAATGGTTATGTGGCGTGCATCCCGTGAGGTAAAATTTAAAAAAGGTTCATCAGATTTGACAGTGACAGCAATTGATTGCCTTGATTGGTGCGAGGTAAGTCCTTTTCAGATACTGCTTTGTCTTTGGTCCACATTGTGTGATTATTCCTTTACTTATCATAATTATCTTGATGTTACTTATCGTTGGTGTTTGTGTAAATGGGTTGTCCATTCAGTTTGTGGTTCATAGAAACAATGATGAAATATAGTACCGATAGCCTGGTTTATCAGCATCTTGGGTGTGGTTTGAATACTAGGGGATGTAAGGTGAGATATCTGTTAGCTTAGAAAATGAGCGAATAGAATAATGCAGCAATTCTGTGGGAGGATGCTCATTTTCTTTGGTTGCATTCTATCTTAATTATTGGCATTAAACACTGGTTTCATTATTTATGAAATCACACATGTACAAAATAAACAGATCTGTACTTTCATGCATGCATCCCATAGCTGTTTTTAGCCGTATTTATTCTTTCCCCTTAATTCATAAATGTATTTAATGAATCTTTAGATTGTTTGGCTGTTCTATAGTGGGAAGTTTTGTGGCCATGTAGCTTTTCTGCACAAGTGCTAGTATAGTTGGTAGACATCTTACTGTTTGTTTTCAGTTACATTTCCACCATGTTTCTGTCTTCTAAAACTAGCAATTGTCAACAACAACGTGAATCTGCTACCTATCTCAAGCAGTACCTGTATCGAACTTTCAAACTAATATTTATATCCCATTTAATCTTTACGATATATATTTACACACAGGAATGCTTCATTGCAGTTGTGCATAATTTTTTAGCAATCTTTTATTTAAATATGACTAGTTGTGCCCCGTGCAAAACATGTTTTTTTTTCAATGTATGAGTTGAGATACTGTAATTAAAAAATTAAAATTTAAGTGAGTTGTTATGGTTAGAAGTTAAAATTTAAGGAGTTAAAAGTTAAAATATTAAATCGTAATATAAACTGTTAGATCTAAACAACATGGACTGTTGTTGTGCTTTTCTAAATGAGGAGCTGAAGTCAAGCAAGAGACTCTGTTTTATTATTATAGACTTTCCCCTTTTCAATTTCTTTACTTTTTTGGATAATAATTGCATTTTTTGGGATTATAAAGTCACATAAATGGGTTTGGTGGTTTATTATTAATCCCTTAGTATTGGTTAGAATTAATGAATGTTTAACCTAATGTGCACTTGTTTGGATCTTGACTTGGCTGTATGTTGAAAGTTCAATTTCCTACATTGGTGCGTCTCTTTTTTTGAAATTTGTATCTTTTTGCACTGCAATGATTGAATGTAGAAATTTATCACTTCTCTTTGTGTATGGGACTCAGTTCTTGGGTGGTGTATGTTAAAATGCAAAACATTGTTGATGAAGAAACCAAGAAACACTTGAATCAGAAGAGTATTGTTGATGAAAAAACAAAGAAATATGTGTATGAGAACTTTTATGTTATTGTAATCATCAAATGCATTGTATTGAAAAGTCATATGTTTTTTGTATGACAACAATATTTTTTTTAGATAGGCTTGCTTTTTAGTGTGATGTAATGTTTGTATGTATAGATTTGCTTAGATTTGAATATATTTTCTTTCTTTTACTTGTCTTTTTATTCTTTTTTCTATAGAAATGCTTACTCAAAGATTGAGTATAATATACTATTGGCATTAGCTGTAACAAATTAATGAAGAGATGGTTCTGATTTCATCAACTATAGTACAAGGTTACATAGGTACACATTTGAGCGAATTAATAGATGCAAACAGGAATGAAATCACAAACACGATACTCCTTACGTTTATGCATGCACTCATGTAACCATGTATAGGCGTGCCACTGTCTGGAATGCTTACCTGGTTCCATGTTGGCTTCCTTTTTTATTGTTATTTTCTGGGGAATATATTTATTCGATTACAAATGATGCTACCTCCTTTGGTTAGATGTAGACTTAAAGTGACCAGACCAGCTTGGATTTTAAGACTTCAGCACATGGCACTCCTTAAAAAGAGAAAATGTATACACAATTGCTAATTTTTAATAGGAGTCCTTATTTCCTCAAACTTGTATGAACTAGTGTTAAGTGCATGACTTGGCCAGTTAAATTTGTGACCTTGCTCAGTAAATGAAGTTTTTATTATTTGGGCTAAAACACCTCTGAGGCAGGTTTTTAGAAAATTATTCAGCCCAGATGGGTGAAAGTGATTGGGTTGGGTTGAGGGTGAGCTTCTCTTACTTATTCAGAACTTTGAAGGAGTCAGTAAAATTATACTTGAAACCTGGACCACAGATTATTTGAGGACTGTCAAATTGCAATTGCTTATTTGTTGCATATTTTAGTTTTGCATGGCTCCTCTGGCTCTTTGCATCAGTCCATGCCCCGTTATGTTAGATGTAGTGGTGCCTTCTGAGCATATTGTTATATTAGGAATGCATTAGAAAAGCTTAGTGACCAGTGGAACTACTGATGGTTTTTACTTGTATGTATTAGTAGGGCTCTCTTTGGGAGAAAAAAGATGTTGAAAACTGGAATGACTGCCTTGAAAAAGAAAGGCCACTCATGCAGAGTTATTGACTATAACATGAATAAAATGCTGACAAATGATTTGCTTTTTATACTCAAAGAAAAACATTAAAATAGAAAGTAATATAGGTATGTAGTTAATTAGCCTCTGCTTTAGTAATTGACATTTCTTTTACGAATGATGCTCTCTCTGAGTAATCACTGAGTAGTTAACCCTTAGGATCATATGTTCATGTATGCTTAGTTAGACAATGAAATGTAATATGTACCACTGCTGTAATGTAATACACCAATATCTATATTGATGTATTCTATAGGAATGAGTTTTTTTTTTTCAATGTAGATATAAACCCGTCCAATGATCTCTTGATAAATCATTTGCATTCTTCATCAAATCTACATACTATTGTAGGATGATACTGTAATTATATGCATCATAATAATGGAAAACTGTATTGATATTATACACAATCTTTTTAAAAATTAAATTCCTATATGTATTTTTTTTTTTTGTATTTTTTGAGGGAATGTGATAGTATTAGGATTTCTATATTTATATTTTGGGGGCCTTGGCACTTTGTATTTGAACATGACATGCATAGATTATAATAACATAGTCAATGAGACTTGTAATGTATACTTGAGAGACGAACCTAAGAAGAAAATAAATTGGAGGATGGAATGATAGGAACGTGAGTGGTTTCTCACTTGCAAAAAATGTAACGGTGTCTCGTGTGTGGATGAGGCTAACTTTGTTTCAAAATTCTCTCTCTGGATTCGAGTACATGAATCAACCTCTCCAAAACGGAGTAAGGCTGCCAACCACAACTCTCTCTGACCGTGCTTTAGGTGGCAATCTTGTACATTGGGTACGATTTTTTAGAGATCAGACATGCAGCAATGACTAACGATCACTAGTCCAACCGTCCAAGTAGTATGTCATGAGTTGAAATATGGAAATTAGCCTCTCCAAAATAGGGTATTTTGGTAGACGATGTTAGGTTCTTGGTTTTATGGACTTCTTGTCTTGTAAGTCTTTTGAATTACTAATTGATGAATTTCATTGTTCACTATTCCCCCCATCTTTAATTGTATGAAAGGCTAAAGTGCCTATTAAGGTGCAAGTTTGAGATTGGTATATTGTTCATGACAAGGTAAATTATTGTTCATGAAACAATAAATATCAATGACATTCTTCATAAGAGAAGACCTGAAGTTTATCTTTCTTTGCAGTGGTATGTTATGCTTTACACTCCTAGTTATCATTCCATATTTATGGTGTTGTAGAAAGTGGAGTACATTGGACATTACTGTTTTGGCTTATGACTGTGCACTGTATGATTTTGGTATGATTGAGTAATTATATGCTTTCGTTTCTGTTGTCATTTGATAATTGAGTTTGAGTAGGTGAATGATATCGATCATTAATGTTGGTATGTTTCATCTTATGAATGTGAAGGTTGATATAAATATTCACCAGTTTTTTAAGGGGTATTCTGAGGGTCGATCAGACAAAATGTACTGGCCTGAAATGCTTAAACTGAAGGATTGGCCCCCGTCTACCTTATTTGAAAAGCGGTTGCCACGCCATGGTGCAGAGTTCATAAGGGCCTTGCCTTATTTAGAGTATACTCATCCACGTTCTGGTATTCTTAATGTTGCCACAAAATTGCCGGCTGAAATGCTGAAGCCAGACCTTGGGCCTAAAACATACATAGCATATGGATTTGCTGAAGAGCTTGGACGTGGAGATTCTGTGACTAAGCTTCATTGTGACATGTCAGATGCGGTATGTTGAATTAGTCATTGCTTCCTGGCTTCACTTCAGAGAGAAAACAATCTGATGCTTTGTGTGGAGTGTACTTGGTTGATGTATGGTAGTAAGGGTATCATTTTTTTTATGTTAGTTTTTGGAGTTCCATAATGGTTCTATTTAAATGACTTAAATAAATTTAGAAAGTTTTATGTGCCACTAATGCTATTTGGATAAAATCTTGCCTTGAGGTTGTTATTCTTGCTAGGTCCTGCAATATTCAGCATGTCTGATTTCTGCCAATGGACTAGGATCTCTCTCTCTCTCTCTCTGTTTTATTTTTTCCTTTGTTTGATGCAAAATTTGTGTTTAGGTGTGGATATTTGAAGCAACATTGATTCATCAAAATATTTTCCATGATGATCTCCATTTAAAGGAGCCTACCCTCAAAGACATTAATGACCTTAGCAATTAATGACCGTAGTAGATTGTAGTGATTTTATTATTTTGGTATCTAATTCATCTTGTGAAGAATTTCTGGTGTTAGTACATTTGAAATTGAATTCAATATCATAAAAGTTGAGATTTTCCAATTCCATTTCAGTCCCCTATTTGCTGATTTGAAGCTAAAATATATAAACACGAAAGTGTTTGGGGCTATGGAGCATCCTATTACTAGAATGAAGAGTTCGATAGCCTTTTTTTAGTTTGATGCACTTAGCTATAGACGGATAGTTTTCCTTGTATAGGTCTTGTGTAACCAGTGCTTCCCCTCTTGCTTGGCACTTCAGAGTGTATTTTGCTAAACAAAAGATTTAAGACTATGTATTCAATGTAATTTTACCTCAAACATAATAGTGGGAGACTAATGTAAAATAATTAACATACCCAATCAGGAATAAACCATAAAATAACTTACAGAGAGAGTAGATATGGCCCCCCAAAAGGAATTGCACTTCTTTTCTTTTAATTAGAAATCTCCAAGATGATACAGTCAGGAATGTGATAGATAATTGATTCATTGAGCCAGACAGATAAACAAATAGAAGCTGTACACGGAGAATGCAAGATCAAACATGATGGACTCTCAGACTACAAATGCAAAACTACGGAGTATAGAGCATGAAGAGTAATCAACTAAGACGCCTAATTTGCTGTTACCCAGAGTGGCCCTAACTCCATAGAATTTAATTCAGGAGAAAGAACTCAAAAAAAGATAAATATTCTTCCATAACTGAAAAATGTGTGAAATTATCTTCCCTAAATTGTTGTTACACTCCCATGAAGGTTGAGTTTTTACAGTGACGGTTGACTGGTTGTCTGTTGTCCAGACATGGAACATGTGTACTAAAGATGTCAGTCATGTGAGTACTCTTTTAGGCCACCTGTGTCCATCTGATTTTTGGCAGGGTCAGCAGCTATAATGGCATTTACTCTGTCCAACCTAAGCAAGATTATGTATGTTTCCTTCTTAACTTTCCTCTTAGGATTTATATGTCCTCGTCTTTGTAAGGCTAATGAAAGATCTTTTTCAGATTCACTTCATGTCTAGATTTGGGTTTACTGTGTACTACACTCTCTGGGTGTAAAGACTTTCTATTTGATGTTCATCTGCGCTTGTGTACCATTTTAATATAGTAGGTTTGTTTCTAGCCATACATTTGTCAGACTTGTATGATTGATCTTACAATTTTGTGATGCTATTCAGGTGAATGTCTTGATGCATACTGCAGAAGTGACTCTTACTCTGGATCAGCTTTCCAGAATAAGAGAGTTGCAAAAAATTCATGCTGACCAAGACAATGAAGAAATGGTTGGTACTGTTCATACGTATAATGAAGAGGGTGCGAAGCATCTCCCCGAATTAAATGCTAGCTTGATGTCAGGTCCAGTTGACACTACGTCATATGATGAAGGTAGTCATGCTGTGGTAAATACAGCTAAGAAAGATGGGGACGAATCTGACTCTTCGAATACTAAAGTGCAAACAATGAAGCTGTGGTGGTTAAAACTGAAGAAGATAGAGTGGAAGGTGCAGGCACTTTGGGTATCGAAAGTGGGAATAATGAAGCTATGGTTGTTGAAGCTGAAGAAGACAGGGGGGAAGCTTCTGATTCATCAGGTATCAAATATGCGAATAACCATGTCCACGATTTCATATTTAATAAAGCAGATGAAGCTTCTTGTCTTCCATCAGAAGAGAACCCTGAGATTGATGTGGTGGAGGGAACTAGAGGGCATGTGCAAGGTGGAAGTGGTAGAGGTAAAAAGAAGGGAGGAAGATCAAGTAATGGACACAATACCAAATCAGAAGCTTTGTTAATAAAGCTTGCTGATGCTACTAAATCTCAGAAAAGAAGGGAAGCCATAAATGAGGAAAATATAAGTGGAGTTGGAGAGGGTGAGTTTCCTGGTGGTCAGATTGCTGTGTCTGATCTGGAGAAAGCAGAGGCAGGTGCTCTTTGGGACATTTTCCGGCGAGAAGATGTCCCCAAGCTTGAGGAATATCTTAGAAAGCACCACAAGGAATTCAGGCATACCTATTGTTGCCCAGTGGAGCAGGTAATAAAATATCCAACATAGTTGTATTTGTAGTGTTTGTGATGAAAAGAAGAGGAAGAAAAGAGTGGAGTGAATTGATACTGATTCCACACTCCTCCCTATTTGTTTTATTAAATAAATCCTAAAATTACAATTATTCCCGTTATTCTTATTCTCCAGATATTCTAACATATCCGTTTGTTACTATCCCTGTTGTTGTGCTGACAAATTATAGTTGCATTTGTACGCCTTTAAGTTCAGGATTATGGATGTCATACTCTTACCGCGAATGAGGAGAGAGATGTTTAAATTAGTGTTTTTTTCGTTGTTTCTCTACTGGGATGGGCTAAACCAAGTTGTTTGGTTGGGGTGCAATTAGTACCATATAATCATTTTCTCTTACATGATCATCTTTCCCCCCCTTTTACATGTGTTATTATTGTGATACCATCCAGTGGTTGGTGAATGAGATTCTGAAATAACTTTTAAACTTTAATGTATCAACACTAATTTAAGCGTGGAGTGTCTGGTATTTAAGCTTTGTCTACTACCATTTGGCATTACAGGACAGTGTAGTATAAGTGCAAAGGTGAGCAGAAAAAAATTGTGCTCAGAAGGATGGGTATAATGAGAAAATTTGCATGTTCTGCTCAACTCAACTCAACTTAATTAAGCATCAAGCTTAAACAATTATGGAGAAATTATAAAAGAACTAACATATTTGGATTAGATCTTTTTTCATAATAGCTTGTTCAAAAGTTTAGATTTCTTTCATAGAGAAAATAATTTAAGCAAATATATTGTTAGCATCTTTCAGGTAATTGTTTATACTATTCACCATGGGTCATCAATTGGTTTGGCTAGGCTGCTGTTAGATTTTAAAGTTGGCCATGTTTCAGTCCTTTGGTATTCTGCACAGATATATGCTGGTGACACATGCAATCAACTCTGCAGAATTTTTTGTCAGCTACAAAATAAATTTTATTAAGAATTTAAATCGGTACATGATGGACGAGTGATCGTCCAAAGAGAGATAAGTATTGGGAAAATATAGTTCACTCATTATAATACATTACAATGCCTCTATGATTTTAAATTGGGGAAAGATACTTTTGTTTAAACATATCAACCTAAACACATAAACACATTCATGCATGTTGGTTTGCAGTTGTCGATTTTGAAAGCTACATAAGATTGCCGAATCACAATTGATTGCGTTCAAACCAGGTGTACAAATTTAATATTCACTGAATTATTTTTGTTTTCTAATAATAGTATGCATTATATGTACAGTGATTTGTAGCTATAGTTTTCCAAGCCTAACTCAAATATATGAAGCAGAACAAATTTTGTTCAAATTAGCATTAATTCCAGATTAGTATTCAAGTTGAGTATTGAAAGAACTGATATCTTAGGAGATACTCACCACATAAATAAAGTTCAAAAGATAATATCTTCTTCAAATTTATTGTTAATACCTTTTTTTTTCCCCGGCAAGTAAGTTAATGCCCTTTCTTATGCTCACATAGTTTATATGCAAATCTGATCCTTTGATTAAGAATGGAATTGTCACTAAATGGACTCTACTTTATGGAGATTACCAATTATACCATTTAAACAGCATACTATTTAAAAATCATGTACTCATTGCATGAGAGCTTATCTCAGTAAGGACAAATTTTTAATGTGATGATAGTTGAAGCTTATATTTCAGCATAAATTGGTTACAGTAATCATTTACTCTAGCTTAGATTTGTCTTTTATGCAACATGACTCATAAAATGTAAAATAAGATGTCAGCAAAAGTAGACAGGATTACATTCCTAGTTTTATCCGTCATAGTAAATCCTGTGTTTTTGACAAGTAATGGATAATCTCTTGATTCAGTAATTTTTAACAATGGCTAATCTTTTAGTACAGTCATAATTGGCTTTGACTTTGTGATATCATGCCTTTCGATTTTTTATGATGTCTTCAGTCTTCCCAGTGTTATCAGAGGGCTGTTTTTTGTTGAATATGCCAAGCAAGCCTTGTGATCAAAGGTCGATAGCCTATGGATGCTAGCCCCTTAGCCTGTCAGAGAGAGTGGAGGGCAGAAATTGGGTTAAAGTTTGGACCTTCTGGTCGTCTTGATAGGATAAATTGAGGCTACTGGAATAAATTTTTTCTATCGATGAGTTCTATCCTGTGAAAAAAGTATGCTTTAAATGATTAACAGCTCTGTATGTATTTGTTTGTGTTTTCTGTTGCTTCTGTTTTGGTCTTGTTATTCTGTTGCCAGAACTTGTCTGCATTGTGCTCTTATTGTAATTAGTCTTCAGGGGTGTCTCCCTTCTTTTTTTTGTTGCTCTTGAGGATTTATCTGTTTTTCAGATTAGTGATTTACAACTAAACTCTCCCCCTCTGCTCGTCTTTCTCAGAGTGTAGGTAGGAGGGTGTAAACTTGATTGTTTCGATCTATATGAATTGTAATTCGAGAATTCTAATGATAATTGCTTCATTTTGATTTTGAATGTCAAAGTCTCCAATTTATAATACCTTTTCATGTCATAATTACGTTTATTTAATATTTATAGGTTCTTCACCCTATTCATGATCAAACTTTCTTCTTGACTTCACATCATAAAAGCAAGCTGAAGGAGGAGTATGGTTAGTTTCTTATATTTTCAACTTCATAGGCATTTGTGGATTTTCTTTTGTTTTTTCTAATCATATGTAGTTGTTCAATTTAGGAGTTGAACCTTGGACATTTGTGCAAAAACTTGGTGAGGCTGTTTTTATACCTGCTGGTTGTCCTCATCAAGTTAGAAATCTTAAGGTATGCCAGTCCCAATCATTTCTTATCTTTTATACTGCATCGGAGATTATTGTAAAACATGCCATCAATTTTGACTTGTTATTGCTGCAAGCTTTATTTTTTCCATTGAATGAATAAGCCTTGAATGGGAGGTGTCTCTTTTGTTTTAAGCATATGATATGCTGTCGGGGCCTTTTGGCATTGGTTTGAACTTGGGCAGCTTCAGTGAGGTTCCTTTTTTTCATTCCTTCAACAGCTTGAACCACCATATGGTGCTGACCAAAAAAAAAGAACCTCCATTTAGTAGAAGAAGTTTTTGTTTGAAAGGAAATTTGATACTGTCATCTTAATGCTTCCTAACCTCTTGTTAGGATGCCCCAAATAATATGATGAAAGGTCTCATGCGTCCAAGGCTTTACTAGCAATACATGAGTTTTCATTGACTTGACGTTCCTATAGACGGAAGATTCTGGCAGACAGTCTACTGTTATACTAACTCCAAACACATTTTTGATCTTCTCATGTGCTTGCTTTATTTCGTTGACTTGGCGTCAATTGTATGCATTTCCTCATTTGACCTTTTGATGAAATATTTGCCATGTTGAAAACTCGTTGACAGATCACCTGCAGGACTGTGGTCTAGCTATCATATGTGAAATCAAAATGTAGTTCACACAAATATTTTGTCCAAGCTTTGCGAAAGAGCATTTAAATTATCTGTCATATTCATGAGCATAATTCTGTTGATTATTATCAACTTTCCAACATCCTACTCTCTATGCTTCTTCCTCTTGCTCGTTGAAACTTATTGTAGATGATTATATTAAAGGTATGGTACATGGCATAGATGCATGTATACCAATGTCTCTGTCTTGGTGTTTGGGAGTTGCTATGTGCACCTTATGTCTGATACAGCAGGAACATGTGTGTCTGTACAAAATATTAGATCAAAGCCCATATATATGAATCCAGTCATGGACTGTCAAGGTTTGTGGACATTTAGAGTATTTCATTTTGTAACTACCTTAGTTACCGTAGAGGAAGGAATTAGAGAATTGTATTATGTGCATTTTGGAATTCACTCGCAACCTATATCATTGATTTGTTAGAATTATTGTGTTCTTGCATCCCTCAGAATTTTCTATTGAATCTGGTCATTCAGCATGTGGTTAATATGTTGCCACTACATGCAATTTATGTTTACCTTGGAATTATACTCTCGTGACAATCCTTCTGGTACTGTCAATCGAAATTTTCTAAAAATTGCCTGAGTTTTTCCTTGATGTAGAAATTCAAGAAAACCATTTCTTTATATGCAAGAAGCGAGAATACTTAAATTCAGGAATACCTCAATATGTCTCTATGTTCTTACAGGCTTCGAGTGAATGTAAATTATTTTGGGCATCTCTTAATTAAATTTCATGACGTTTATACGGATTCATTATGGAGAAGAAACTTGTATAGATGCATATCAGTCTTATGGAAAACTTCTGCTGCTGCCATTTACTTTATTTTACGCTGCAGAGTTCTGTGGGAAAGAAACAAGCACATGTAAGATTGATAGTTGTACATCTTAGTCATGCTATTATGCATGGGATTCTTTTCTTTTTCCCCTTCCCTTCTTTCTTTCTTCTCTTTGATTTTCCTCTCCAGGATTTCCTTATTTTCATGCTCCTGCTTATATCTTTTGCCTGTCTTTGTTGTTACTTGCAGTCTTGCATCAAGGTCGCTCTTGACTTTGTGTCACCTGAAAATATTGGTGAGTGCATTCGGCTGACTGAGGAATTTCGTCGTCTTCCCCAGACACATAGGGCTAATGAAGACAAATTAGAGGTGCACTATCTATACCCTACATTACCATGTACGAGCAAAATGGATTTGTGGTTCTGATTATTCTTTTGTTATTATCATTATCATTGTTTTTTTTCCTTTTCTTTTTCTTCTTTTTTTTGTGGGTGTGTTTTGTGTGTGTGTGGAAGAAGTGAAAGAGTAAGTTGTCGTATAAGAGTAGCAACAATGGTCTTGGAGGCTTCTACTCTTTCAAACATTTAGTGGTCCTCTTTCCCAGTAATACTACATCTGATGTCCCATGTTCGTGTAAAAGAAGAAAAAAAGCTTTTTGGGTAAAGATTTTTGTAAAAAGCTACAATTGAAAATTGAGTTTGATGAGATAGAAGAAACATCTCAACAAATGTTTTAGTCGGCCTTTGAACATCAGTCTCTATATGCTCATTATCACCAATTTTCTGGAGATGAGATGAATAAGAATTTCACCCATTCTCATTCCTGAGGAAGGAAATTCTGAAGGAGCATGCTGTTTCGAACTTTGTTTGGAAGGGGCTAGCAAAATTTGTCATTTAACGGGAATTTAATAAGCATAAAATTGTGGTCTGTGGGCACGTTTCAATGGAATATATTGTGAAGTAAGAAATATGTCCATGATATCAAAAGAAGTTATTGCATTTTGCAACTTCTAGCTTCTGAGGTTTATGTTCTTCCTTATTTTGCAATATAGTAAATACTAGACTAACCAAAAAATAGGACCAAAAATAGAAGGCAAATGATGTGACAGCTGACATGGTAAGTAAATCTTGAATTTTAAGTGAATAAAAGTGAGACCAAAAGCATCATTATTGCATTGCCACATCATTTGGTCTTTGTTTTTGCTCTTTTCTTTGTCAGTCTATTACTCTTCTTTGCAGTAAGTAATAACACATGCTGTCATCAGGAAATATGTTTTCTTATTCAAATGGGTTTACCTTGCCCATCTTGATTGAACTTGGTGAAAATCGTGTTTTCTAACCTTGAATCTCATTATCGCAACAGTGCAACTCTGAGATCTGACTTTGCAGGCTTCATTATATGTGGGTCTATAACATATTTTGATTGTAGCATGCAGTATTAATTTCCACCTCGCCCCTTTCGTTACCAGTTGTTTGCTAGAATCTTTTGATCTCTCATCATTCTGCAGTATCAATTTCCTGGTTGTTTATTGAATTCTACCCTATGTTTTATGTCAAACTTACCCAGCATTAATGTCACTACAGCCTTTAGAGCTATGTTTTTAATAAATAATATATTCTGAACAAGGGCCATTCTTCTATTTGAAGTGCTTCTTTGACATTTGCTATAACAATGATATCCCTGATTTGTGCACCACATGAAATAGGTTAAAAAGATGTCTCTTCACACTCTAAACCAAGCTTTGGATGATCTGGAGCAGCTTGGACAGTAAGTGTAAGCTCACAGGAAGTCTTTTTTGTCTCAATTTCATTTTCTGTTTCTTTCATTGCTGCCTGCACCGTCATTTCTGTTGCTAAACCTTATGGAATCCGTCTCCAAATCTACTTGTAATGTACGCCAAGATTTGACCTTTGTTTGTGAGGAAGGTACTAGCTGTAACCAATGTGCTATATATTTATATTATACATATCAGCATTTACTAATAATGATATATTTATTGGTGGTTAAAGTGACTGTTAGTGATTTGTCACTGTTGTTTTACTTTTGGAATGGTTACAATCTTTCTGAATAAGTGCCTTTGGCTATTTAATGAAGAGTGTAGGGATGAAATAAATGATGATTTGATATAGGTATTTGAGGAAATTATTCATAATAGGGTGGTCAATGCTGTTGCAAATGCCACATTTATTTGTTTGATTCTGCAAAAAGATAAGTCATTGAAATTAAAAGATTTTAGGCCTATTACCTTAGTGATTAGCTTGTATGAGATTATTGCTAAACGCTTCTCGGTTAGGCTTAAGAGAGTGTTTGGGTGATACTATCTCAAGGTTGGGGTTTTTATTAAAGGGAGATAGATTATGCATCTAGCTCTTGTAGCCAATGAGATGGTTGAGGATTATAGAGTTAGAGGTAAGGAGAACATTCTTTTGAAGATTGATTTTAAAAAAGTATATGACCATGTGGATTGGAATTTTTTGGATTTTGTTATGGAAGCAAAAAGGTTTGGAGAGAGATGGAGGAGATGGATTAATAGTTATTTGGGGTCTACGATTTTTTTTTGTGATTTTAAATGGCAAACCTATGGGGAGGTTAAAGCTTCTAGGGGACTTAGGCAAGGGGATCTTTTATCTATTTTCTTTTGGTTTACACCGGTTGTGGATGGGTTAATTGAGTGGGTGGAGTTGTAGTTTGGTAGAGGATTTTGTGATTAGTAAGGAAAGAATTTATGTGTCTCATTTGCTATTCGCAGATAACACAATTTCTTTTCCTTAAGGAATGAGAAGCAATTTAAGAATTTAGAGCACATTGTGGAAGTGTTTGGTCTCATTTCAGCTCAAAATATATATGGAAAAAATCCAAATAGTGGGAATTAATTCAAGCCAGGAAAAAATTGAGATTAACTATGGATTTAAGATTTATTGTGGGTGGGTAGTCGTGGAAGTATTTAGGTTTTCCTTATGGTGGTAATTCGTTGTCCATTAGATTTTGGAATATTGTTATTGAGAGAGTTGGAAAAAGATTGGATGAGTGAAAGAAAACTTCTATCTCTAGGGAGGGTAGATTAATGCTAGTGTAGTCTGTATTGACTTGTATTCATGTTTATTTCTTCTCTCTCTTTAAGATATCTTGTTTGGTGGGAAGGAGGATCGAAGGGAGGATGAGGGATTTTTCTATGGGAGGGAAATGGGGAGGTGAAGAAGGATTATTTGATTAGATGAGAGGTTGTAGTCCTCGGGCCAAGGGAGGTCTATCATTGGAGAGTTTGTTGAAAAGAAATGTGACTTTTAGTTAGAAAATGATTTCGACGGTTTCCTTTGGAGCAAAATTCATTATGGCATGCGGTTATTAGGAGCAACTATAGGTTACTGGCCGATGGGTGGGATACCAATGAGGTTGAAAGGGTAATACTTTATGGGATCCATAGAAATTCATTTCTTAGGAGTTACCTGGTGCATCTCAAAGGGTTAAGTTCATAGTGGGAGATAGAACGAAAGTTTGTTTTTGAGAGGATATTTGGAGGGGGAGTATCCTTTTTTAATCGTTTTCCTCACCTTTATTGTTTTTCTTGTAACCATGGTAAAAGCATTGCTTCTTCATATTCCTTTTTGGTTAGTTGGGATTTTGGGTTTTGTTGGACTCTTAACAGTAGAGAACATTTAGAATTGTTATTACTTTTGTTGTGCTCGATGGTGTTTCAGTGTCTACAAAATCTTTGGATAAAAGAGTTTGGACCGGACTCTTCTGACATTTTCTCTTCTAAATCTTATTTTTGGTCTCTAATTGATGATTCTTCAATTCCTTTATTTATTCCTGTCTTTGAAGATTTAGAAGACTAAAATGTCTTTAAAGGTGCAAGTTTTGTACATAGATAATTGCTAATGTTAAGATTAGTACCAATGATGTGCTTAAGGAGACCTATGAATTGCCTTTCACTACAATCATGTGTTATGTGTGGAGGTGAGAGTGTGAATCATTTGTTCTTGCATTGCCCTTTGGCCCTTTGATTATGGAGTTTTTAATTTTGTTGGTCTCTCTTGGGTGGCTCCAAGAACTTACATCCATTTTTAGTGTGAATTTTAAGGGGTTGGGAGGAAGTAGAAAAGGAAAGATTCTTTGGTATTGTGCATTTTTTTTTATAATTTGGGTGTTATGGAGGGAGAGGAAGTTGAGAATTTTGAAGATAAAAGAGAGGAGAAAGAATGCTTATGCGATTGGTTGCATTTCTTGGCTTCTTTTTGGGCATCAGTGACAAAAGAATTTGAGAATATTCTTCTTTGTTACAGTACTGCGAGGTGGACAACTCCAAGTGGATTGTAGGTTTATATTTAATGTCCTGGTTTTGTGATTTATGAATGGGTTGGACTACTTGTTCACCTTTTTTGGCCTTGAATTACCTTCCTTTTGTTATTAATAAAAGTTTTTTGTTTCTTATTGAAAAGAAACAAATCAAGACGTGTATAAAAAGATATATTGGAGGTCTAATGTATGTTCTGAATAATTCTAGCCTTGATATTGGTTGTGATATTGAAATTTTGAATATGTTTACAAGTAATCCAAGTTCTGAACACTGAAAAGAACATGGTAGAGCTTTAAGGTGTTATCATTGCACAATTTCTATTCTTGGATGCTATAGTGATGCTAATTGCAGTGGTTGGTTATTCACTATTAAGTGGTGCTATTGTAGCTTTGTCTTTTAAGAAACAATCTATATATTATTATGTCATTAGCTAGTAAAGATAATATCTGGATGAAAAACTTCATGAACCATTTATTTGATTTAACCAAAGTACCACTTACTTTTTATGGGATAAGCAAGCAGTGATTTGCACTGCTAAGAATTAAAGAATGTGAAGAAATAGCAGACATATTGTTAGTAGATATAATTAATAAGCTTGTGAAGGAAAGCAAAGTTGCACTTGAATGATTACCTACTAATTAGATACGTGCAGATCCATTAACAAAACTATTAAGTGGTGAAAAGATCAATATAACCATAGAAGGTGTGGGACCATTACCAGTTTAGTAGAGATGGTATGAAACCATTCTGAAAAACACTTGATTCGAGTTCAAAAAAAAGTTAGCTATGTATTATCCATGAAATGATAAAATGAGGTTTTGTTTCCAGGGCATTACTTATTTAGGAATAATGGGGGTAAGTTGATTTCGATTAAAGTCCCATACTTGGCTAGGGTTGTATATATACCACAAGAAGAAGGCTGGACTTTGTCTATAACATAACTCATAACCTTGTTGGAGAGATGGTGGTTGTGGAACACTCCTGATGAGTTGGCCTTTGCAAGTGTGGAGGTAAGGGCTGCTTCCTTTAGGCTTTTAATACACCATAGGGTACTTGGTAAGAGCATCTCCAACAAGGTTCTGTATTTTAGTTATCCAAAAGTACATTTTTTCTATTTTAGTTACTCATTTTTTCATTACACACTCCAATGGAATTTCTATATTTTAACTACTATTTTAAAATATTATTTCACATATTTTTTACTTTTGTTGGGATTGTTGGAGGGGGAGAGAGAGAGAATGGAGGGAAAGATAGAGAGTGGACAACAGAGGTGGGAAATGACAAAGGAGAGAGAAAAAATTATAAAATATTTATACAAGTTGCTGCATTGATGCTCTAAATCAAAAAAATATTTTAGAGTTTCTGAACATATTCTGTTAGGAGCATGATTTTTGTCTTTGATTAGCTAAATTTTAGCTATTTTAGAGTTTTATATGTTTTGTTGGAGATGCTCTAAGTAGGATCATAGTGATGCCTATTAACAGCTACCTTTAGGGGACTGTGAACTCTTAAGTATAGTTTAAATATGCCTCTTGAACTTTAAATGCAGCCAAATTAAGAATTAGCTCTCTTTGTCATTTAACGTTTTCAGTTTCATTTTCAACCTTAGGTTCAAGGCTGGCCTAGCTAAGGGCATGCACTCTCCAATGATTGATCTTTTTTTTAAAATATAATTTTAAGTAAATAAGTGGACGATTGTTATATCCATGCATGCGTGCACGGACGTGTTGGTATTTGTTGCTGTATGATATCTGATACATTGTAAGTTAGGTTGGTGGTTAAAGTGAGTGTTGATAATTTGTCTCTAGCTTACCGAAGGGTTAAAATCCTTTCCAATCAGCAACTTTGGAAAGTTGAGTACACTATTAAGTGGCAAATAACTGAAGCTTATACAATCCACGTGTCTTGGGATGAGATTTGGAGCAACATTAGCTTCTTAGCTTGTTTCTGCGTCAAGCTTTGGGCTGTTGCAAAACTGCACTCTTTTATATCTAATGTAGAGAAACGAGGTTTAACATAATTAGGCCACCTTCTTTCTTTTGGCATGTTGCTACTATTTCGTCCCAAATGCTCGATCTAGCTCCTTGAAAAGATATTACAAGATTTGTCATATCCTGTCTGAGCTATGGTGGGATAATTAGCTTTGAAACCGCAACAAGGTGGAATTTTCCAATATTTAATTTAATGCATGTGTCATATTTGCGAAACTAGCTCTGATTTTTTTTTTCTTTTTTATGTTGTTGGTTTAGGACTGTTCAATAGGTGAATGGTATATTGGTTTCAATGCTATGACTTTTATCAAAATGCCGCTGACCTCATGGATCACACATGATTGATCTCTGGTTGCTTGCTTAGTTATTTATTTGCCCCTGCAGTGTTTTAACTGAATTTATGCCTTTCAGGTCTAGGAAAGCAGAAGTACAAGAATCACCATTGGAGACCTTGCAACCATGTTTGGCCTTGTGTCAACCGTTGGAAGATCTCCCCTCGTCTTCATCACCATGTTCAGACTCCCATCAAACATTGGATGATGTCCCACCTCCTATCCCAACATCAACTTAGCGTTGCCCGAGCATGTTAATATTTCGGAAATTACAAGTGAATTTCAAAAGCTGAAATTAGGAGATATTTTAATTCTTCTTTTGTTAAATATTTAACTGGCCGGTCCTATGCAGAGTGCCCTGTGCCCTGCTTTTGTCCTGTGCTCTCCGTGGCTGAATGTCACTATGTTATGGGAGACCTCTATATGCTCTGCACTACAGGAAAATTTACAGTGGTAGACCAGTTTTTGGCATCTATCCTTTCTAATTATATTTCCGGAAATAGAGAATTTTGTGTCGCGGTCTCCTGTCTTATAGTTTTTTGTAGACATGCTTCATACCATACAGGTGCCATTGCTATTGAACCTGAAACAGAGTATTTATTGAGTGGCCTAATTTACTCTTCTTCTTCTCATGCTTTTAGATTCAAGCAAAGTAAGAGCTTTGACATCATATAGTTTGTAGTACCATATGTTTGGCAAGTGTGACGTATGTGGAATCAGGCTTCACTCAAATAATAAGTGGGTTAAGTGCATTTGATTTAGATGTAGCCAAGGAAATCTACAGCACATTCAAGAAAGTACTACTTCTCTTTACTTGCCTTACTTTTAAGTGAAAAGGGCCCATTTGATTCAATTCATGAATTAGCCAACTATGAGTCTATTGCAATTATAAATGTTTATAATTATATAATCATCATTGATGGATGTTACACATGACATGATCAATTTGATTCAAGGTCTGGGACTAATATTAATAGAAGTTGCTTACTCTCCTAGCGTGTGCGTTTGTAGGGGGTTGGGGGAAGTTGCAGACTAATAACCTACTTGACATTATTTTGAATATGGATTGGATATGTCTTCTTAGCTTGTATATTGGATTTTAATCTAAATTCAATTAGTATTTGTAGCCAATTAATTGGGGGTGAATTATTTTTTGACTACCTATTTGAATTTTTATCCCTTACATCATATTATTAGATTCAAATGTGAATTTATTGGTATCTGATATGATTATTATTCTTAGATGTGATTTTTATATAAAATGTTTAACAAAATTTAGTGATTGTTTGATGAATGAGTTGAAATTTAGGTATAATTTTTTAAAATTAACTCTAAAGTTATTTGAATCGGTTAAAATCTGTAGCTTGAATATCCAATGTTTTAATAGATTTGGGTATAGATTGTGAAATTAAAATTTTCAAACCGGGTTCGAATGAATCAGAATTTGATCAAAGAACTAATTCCATCCTTAACAAAGAACAACAAAGCAAAATTTTCTTTTGTGTTTTTCCTCCACCGCACAAGTGGGTGGCTATGAGAGACTGCCATCGTTTTTGAGTGGAGAGAGGCTTATTATGATTGCTAGTCATGAGCTTGAACTTGACTTGAGGATTTTCTGTCTCTATTGTTTCACTCATCTGGGGGGAATGCGTAGGCCATAGAAATCACTCTAGACACTACATGAATATCATTTAGAGACTATTTATCCACTGGATAAAGACAAATGTAAGCTCCTAGAAACATATCACTTTTCACTATTTAAACTTTGCCTTAAAAAGTTCCCTCCAAAGATCAACAACTCCCCAAAATACAGAAGATTGGCACTCACCATCTCAACTCATTCACCCACTGCTCATATTGAAATTGGTTACCACCAAGAGAAAACACAATGTCACCAGCTCTATCTCTTTCTCTCTCCTACCTTCCCATCTGCAAATCTAAAGATCTCCCAAAGGATACCCACATCCCAAAACTCACCAATAGAGAAAACCCATGTCACAGAGCAACTTTAGACACCATAATCACCAGGCGAAATCTGTTAAATTCCACAGGTTTGAGCCTAGTGGGAGGACCTCTAGTTCAGCCGGCCGGGGCCGAACCGGAAAGTCCATTGCAAGCCACATCAACTAGAATGTCATACTCAAGATTCTTGGAGTACCTAGATGGTGGTGTTGTGAAGAAGGTAGATTTGTTTGAGAATGGGAGTGTGGCAATTGCTGAGATATTCAATCCTGCACTGGACAAAATTCAGAGAGTGAAAATACAATTACCTGGATTGCCACAAGAGTTGCTGAGGAAACTCAGAGAAAAAGATGTGGATTTTGCTGCTCATCCACAGGAAGTGAATATGGAGGCTGCACTTCTTGACTTGTTGGGGAATTTGGCTTTTCCATTGATACTGCTTGGCAGTTTGCTGTTGAGCACTACCCCTTCAAATACTCCTGGAGGCCCAAACTTGCCATTTGGACTCGGAAGGTATGGCAAATACAAAGCAAACTTTTTGCCAATTCATATGTCATAATTTTCTATCCAACATAGTAACACTATACCAACCTGACACGAAGTTAGTGAGTTCAAAGTTGATTACTTTTTAATCGGATATCGAAAAAGGGTCCTAATCAAATATTATGTGGGTCAACTTGAACATGACATGATTAATTAACAAGATAGATTAGTGTTAAATTATCTGGCAAAAGACTTAAAATGGATCAAGTTAGGATTGATTAGTCATCAATATCATACATCAATATGAAGTAACAAGACTCAAACACAAACATGACTCACTTTTCGTCCTCCATACATGCATGTATGACTTTTATTTGTACACAAATTGGTTCTTCCTGTTTTTTCTTCGGGTACAGTGGAAAATTTAACATGAACCAACTCTAAGAGTAAGTTAAGTAGTAACAAGGATGAACTATAAATTCAGACGTCCTGAGTTTGAATCTTTACAATCCCTAAGGGGCCAGACTATGAAGGATTTGTTTTTCATGAATATCCTAATTCGAGCGTGGATGACTTACTTTTGATCGGAATCGGAAGAGAATTAGTTGAGGTGCACGTAAGCTGATTCAAACAACTATGATCGTTGAACTGAAAAAATAAAAAAAAACCACTAGTATTCTCTGATAAAAACCGTACTGGGCAGTCTTGAATAAGTTAAGCATCTCTGCTGGCGGCTTCTCTAATCTGACTAGTTTCTCTAGCTGCTTTTCCCCCAGGTTTGCCAAAAAAATGAACTAATCTGACTAATTTCTCTGGCTAAGTCTGCCTTAAATTGATTGTTCCACATATTCAAAAAAATGAACTAACAACCATGACCCTTGAACTACTGCTGATGATGATATGTGATTATGCATTTATCTACAGGAGCAAAGCCAAGTTTCAGATGGAACCCAACACTGGAGTAACATTTGACGATGTAGCTGGAGTTGATGAAGCAAAGCAAGATTTTCAAGAAATTGTGGACTTCTTAAGAACCCCAGGAAAATTTGCAGCAGTTGGGGCAAGAATTCCCAAAGGGGTGCTTTTAGTTGGGCCACCAGGGACTGGGAAAACTTTGCTGGCCAGGGCCATTGCTGGAGAAGCAGGAGTACCATTCTTTTCTCTCTCTGGATCAGAGTTCATTGAAATGTTCGTTGGAGTTGGGGCTTCAAGAGTGAGAGATTTATTCAACAAGGCAAAGGAGAATTCACCTTGCTTGGTTTTTATTGATGAGATTGATGCTGTTGGAAGGCAGAGAGGAGCTGGCATTGGTGGAGGAAATGATGAAAGAGAACAGACTTTGAATCAGTTGCTCACGGAAATGGATGGGTTTACAGGAAATAGTGGAGTCATTGTCATTGCTGCTACTAATAGGCCTGAAATTCTTGATCAAGCTTTGCTTAGGCCAGGAAGGTTTGACAGACAGGTATGTTGATGTTCTTCTCTAAATGCTTTACAAGTTAGAAAATTTCACCTATTTATTGTTGAAATGCCACAAAGGCTTTCAATTCAGCTAAGAATTCGATTCATTTTTGGATAAAACAAATGCAACATTTCGGTTTAGGTGGAAATTATAAAAATACTGACTGAAAATTTCATGTTTTGGAATGTTTCAGGATTTGTCAGAATCAAAATATCAATGTTTTGGATGTTTGGAATCAAGATTCTGGAAATTATCTCTGTTTTCATCGTGCTTGTTAAACCTGCTTGAAACATTTTTGAAAAATATCCGTTTCCAAGCTGATTGAAATCATGCATCAAAAGGATATTTTGATCTTGCAATTCAGGCATACATCCACTTTTTATTATTTCAAAAAACTAATATTTCAGTTGTTGGTTAAGCAGGTCACTGTAGGACTTCCAGATGTGAGAGGGAGGGAAGAAATATTAAGGGTTCATAGTAACAACAAGAAGCTTGAAACGGACGTTTCTCTTAGTGTGATTGCAATGAGAACTCCAGGCTTCAGTGGTGCAGATTTAGCTAACCTAATGAATGAAGCAGCCATTCTTGCTGGTCGCAGAGGCAAAGATAAGATCACATCAAAAGAGATTGATGACTCAATTGATCGAATTGTGGCAGGAATGGAGGGAACCAAGATGACTGATGGAAAGAACAAGATTTTAGTAGCTTATCATGAAGTTGGACATGCTGTTTGCGCGTAAGTTGATCATATGCACAGTGATTCAACAATTTACTTTCTAGCACAGTACTAGGAACTAGCACACTAGAACCTTACTTTCAAAGATAAGAGGATTTACATCATAATCAAATCCAAACAATAGTTGCAATGAGTCTAAATTTTCAGATAGAAGTACCGAGTTCCTCTACCAAAATATGCAGGTTTTAGGTGAGGCTAAAAGGACTATAAACAATATAAACATTTTTGAGCTTACTAATTCTTAGGCTATGCTACAAGTAGGACATTGACTCCAGGCCATGATCCAGTACAGAAAGTCACATTGATTCCTCGGGGCCAATCCCGTGGTCTAACATGGTTCATTCCTGGTGAAGACCCGAGCCTCGTCTCTAAGCAGCAACTATTTGCTAGAATAGTCGGAGGTCTTGGAGGTCGGGCAGCTGAGGAAATAATCTTTGGTGAACCAGAAATCACTACCGGTGCAGCTGGGGACTTGCAACAAATAACTCAGATAGCAAGACAGGTGTGTGTTTCCATAAGACATGTGCTTTTCATATGTAGCTAGGCTAGGTCTAAATTTGGCATCGAAGTTAAGTTGTAGCTGATCATCGTCTCTTCTTACCAGATGGTAACAATGTTTGGAATGTCTGAGGTTGGGCCTTGGGCATTGATTGATCCAGCAGTTCAAAGCAGTGATGTGGTACTGAGGATGCTAGCAAGAAACTCAATGTCAGAAAAACTTGCAGAGGACATCGATACATCTGTGAGGCGTATTATTGACAACACGTTTGAAATTGCAAAAATGCATGTAAGGAACAACAGGGAGGCAATTGATAAACTGGTGGAGGTGCTACTAGAGAAGGAGACCCTCACAGGAGATGAGTTTAGAGCAATCCTCTCAGAATTTACAATTGTTCCCTTAGATAAAATTAAGAAAACCGGTGTCCGTGAGATGATTGAAGCTTAAGTAACCTCATCAATGTACAGTTATTAAGATGAAATAGTTCAACAATGCTATATATAATACATGAACAGTAGAGGAAAACAATATCAGCACAATACTAGCATTATTTCCGGTCATGTTTACAGTTTACTCCCATTTCTTGTCTGTTTAAATCAACTCCATATATTGTGATGAGAGCTTGGGATCAAAGATACACTTACCAAATTATTATGAAATAAATATTCACCCATTGCTGCTGCTTATCAAATTTACAGTTCAAAGATTTTAACTCATCCAAATAGACGGTATATAGTTATTTGAGGCCGAAGTAAAAACTTCAGCTTCAGTTGAATAATCTTGCAGAGACTCGGTAGATAAACACTGATTTACATTTAGGTCGAACATTTCTATCAAGGGATCCTCCTCAGATTGCATGATCTAGCAGTCTTGTCAATTACTCTTTGCCATGATTCGCTCTCGTGGTTCTCCTACTGCCAGCAATTTCAGATTGACCGAGCCACCAGTTAGGCTTGCAAGGTGCATATTTGCTGTAATGTTGATTATCATTCAAAGGAACCATAGAGAGCAAACTAATATCCGAGTTTTATCAGATATTTGCAACATGTTTGCCGTATTGTTATTGGTAGATATCAGAGTTAATCAGATATAGTATACTGTTATATCCATTGCAAGAGATCAAACTAATATACATTGAAATTCATGGGACACATCCATTGCATTCCAAAGTAACCTACAAGCTGATAAGTATGGTCTCACAGTAAGTGCTTTGCACCAAGTTGTAGCAGTGATAATACAGGGATAATTGTGGGACTACTGATAGACATTGACTTTGGAGAAACAAAAAATGGAGGAAAAAAAAGAAGACAGAAGACAAACACTAAGAAGATGACATAAGTATGAACAGAGACTTGGAGCTGCTGAATCCAGTGAAGTACTTAACAAATCTTCAACCTTGTGCAGCTTTCCTTGACAGAAATTGCATGCAGATGGGTGGGTTCACACCTGCCAAAGCCAGTATTGAACTGGGCAATGTCCATATTCCATCCCCACAAATCAACCCTGAAGCCACTGCAGGTCCAAATGCGTTAGCCTCGGCCTTGTTTATCTTCGTCCAAATAAACAGTATTAAACTACCGACACACATATCAATTGCAAAATATCCTCCAAGATAGAATGGTATCGCCATTGCCATGGGAAGAGGGATAAACTTTGCTCTCTCCTTACCCACTGCATCTCTGATTGCATTGATAACTACAGCGGCAATAAAAAACACATAGCAAAGAGTGAGGCAGTTCTTTGGCAAAGCTGAAAATCCTTCAACCCCCAAAATTGACATGTTTCGGTAGACAAGAGCGTAAGGGGCAGGATATTGCGAACCAGGGATCCCGAGATCATGGAAGGCCTTGTAGAAAAGCCAAAAGACACAAGGTGAAATAACACAACCCATTGCAGTCCCTATAATTTGGCTCACAAACATGGACCGCGGTGAAGCCAGAGTCATATAGCCCGTCTTGAAGTCCTGCATTAGGTCAGATGCAGTGGAGACAATGTTCATCATGACCCCACAAGCTGCTAAACCTGCAAGAACTCCACCATGAGAGGCTCCTGCCCATGCCCCGATTGTGAAGATCGCCAGCTTCCCGTATGTGGATGCCAAGGACCAGTCTGTAAGCCCGCACCCATAAGCATTGCAGAAGGCTAGAACCGGGGCGAATATGTATATAACCACAACATAGTACCATTTCAGTTGGTGGAAGATGTGTGGAAGTGTTGCAGCAGAGACAATAGCAATAGTCACATAACCAGCAACTGCAAACCATGTTGGAATTTGGTCCCTGAGAAAAAGTTCAGTCCTACGCTCGTCATCATATGATAAAGAAGAACTCACAGGGGAGCTGTGATTAGCAACTGGTATGACACTGCCCGAATTTTTATCACTAATTTGGTGATACAACCCATACATAGTGTAACCAAGAACTTTGACGAAGTTGTACAGGCCATCACCAAGGATCATGGCTATGGCTATGAAGACCTGCAATAAGAATGATTAAGAGAAGGTTAAATGCCTGTCCTCAACTTGGCACTTTGGCTGTAAAACAAGGCAAGAGAGGTACCCTGTAACCTTGGATGCCATGAAGGCTGCCTGCGTTGAGGTCTGCAGGGTACCAATGGCCCTTTCTGTCCTCTATGAGGGGCCACATAATACCCCACGAGAGGATTGCTCCAACTAGCAAAGATATGTTGATTAGATATGGACAGATCATACCAACGCCAACATAAGTTGCTGAGAAATCAAAGTAAAACCTGTTTGTTGACAGAAAAGACACAAGAAATTCAAGAGCCTTGAAATGGAACAAGAAAATATCACAAGTAAATTTATCTTCATTATTGCACAATAAGCTTGATCACAAAAAAATGAGGAATTTGCAGCTTTTGGCTTATAAACTTATTTCATGCCCCTTTTTTGGGTCTGAATTTCATTCACTTTAACTCACTCAGATTGATTAAAAGAATAACACATAAAGAATATTTATGGTGGTTCTCTACTATAAGTTCGGTTGTAAAACGTACCTATTTTCATAGGCTTTAAGACCAAATGTTGGAAAGTTTACAAATCCACAACCATCCCCTGCTGTGAAGAACCACTGGAAGAAACCCCACAAAAAGCTGAATGAAAAGAATTTTCCCAGAGTTCTCACTTGTTTCCTGGAGTGAAGATGATCGGGAATAGTGAGAACCAAAGTTGACATGTTTGATCAAATTTAGCAAAATAGAGTTGGTCTCATCTTACCTTGCTAGCTTGGCTCCTTGAGGAGTGTGGAAGCTGTTGATGAGGTGAGCTGTTGCAGTTCCACTTGGATAAATCAGCTTGAAGTCTATCACCATTATCTGAAACATTTCCGCATATGAATTGAATAAGAATGTTGTCATTCAATCATCAGATTTGCTACTTCCGCTTCCAAATTCCATGCCCTAATACAACATGGGTTCTACATACTTGCTAGATCACCACAAAAATTCACAACCATTTTTATATTTTTTTGTTCTCCCGCAAGATATGTTCATAGATACTCGAATTCGGGTTCGTTTTGGAAAATGCAATACTAGAAGATGAAACACCAAAAAATGATTGTAACAAAATGTAATAACTAATAAGGTTAATTGGAAAAAGAAAGAGAAAGAGTGAGTCATGACATGGCCTTGATATGCATTAAAATGATCTGCTAAAAGATAGTAACTGTAGCAAGCGCACCTTGATATATATATCCATATGGTTGAGTTCAAGAATGTACCTTCCGAAGAGGCACCACAGAAAAGAGTCCAAGAAAGCTAACAACAAACAGAAATCCGATCATCCACCCTAAAGCCGGGTTCTTCACATTCTGTGCATCATTAGCTTCAGTTGATTGTTTGGCAACAACTTCACTCATGCCAAAAAGATAACTACCAAAACCTCCTGCTTGTTGAAATGTGACCAGAAGTACATTGCCAATTAGACGTTAACCGGTGAATTCAGAATAGTAGTAGTAAGTAAAATTTTGATGAAACCCATTAATAGCAAAGTCCAAGATGGTTGAAACAAGTGCCAAATTTTGTTTTTTCAACACAAAGAAAGAAAGAAAAAAGAACACGACAATCACTCCTAGAACAACTCTGGATTGAAATATATGCACAACGCTTACGGGTTTATTGGAATTAGTGGATAAGCCATATAATTGAAATTTACATATTATATCAGATCACCATTGTCATGAAGGCATTACCCATTTGGACATGTTTTTTTTGGGTGTCTTCCAATTTGGACCTTGGATTCATGTATTTCACTGCAATTTTTTTGAAGAAAACTTATTTAGAAAAAAGATGAACTTGTCACCAACAAGCATGGTAACAAAAATCTGCAAAATCATGACAAGTTTTTGAATTTAACAGGGTATTGTCTCCGGCAACAATCCACATATTTCAGTGATGGCAAAAGTGATCTGATTTTCCAAATACTAAGAATGGTTCCCTAATTTCTCTCTTCAGATCCATAGTTTCTGGGAAACTCGTATACCAGGCCGCTTTTCTTCTTGTTAGAATCTGCAGCCATGCCTTAAGGGCAAGAATCTAAAAGGTCAACAATTGATTGCGTGGATTAGTAGTAGCTTGCATAAGGCACCCACTTATTTCCTTCCACAAGAAATGGTTTGAGCAACCTAAGTTGACTTAAAGTTTGAAAAATCTTTAGAATATTTCGTCTGATCCACCACCCACTAAATATTGACTTAAATCCTATTGAGCCACTGGTGTGAATGATAGAATATAGTCCAAGAATGTAGCAGTTTCCCAAGGACTAATTAAAGTCCCTTCACATGCTTATGGCAATTGCACCATTGGACCAGACTCACAATCTCTTGGCAAAGAGTTGACTCTGAAAGTAAGGGTGGAGGCCAGTGAAAGCGATCAATACATACAGATCAGCTGTGATAGCAGCTACAATTTATCAAAGTTAAACCCACCAGATGTGCAGGATTTCATGCCTTATCCTAAGTATACACTATCTCACTTAAGTCAAAACCACACCCTTCTATTTTTATTATGATATCAATCAAGCTGTATCGTGTGTTCGCTTGATGTTATATGATTTTGAAAAGATATCATTTTAGACAACATGTGAGCTAGAAACCACATTACCAATACACTCTTTGATCCCAACCACAATACATAGGCCTCTATAAGTTCAAGAAAATTTGACCTACAACTTAATACAAAATGAAAAAAAAAAAAAACAAGAGATTGAACTCAAGACAATTGGGTTACTAAAAAACAGACTCAACTAAACTATCCCAAAAGATTAATCACTAATATCTTCTCCTATTGCGGGAGTTCTATTCATAAAACTATTTTTCCTTTCCATATTAGTAGCAAAGATATTTTTCGAAAGAATATTTTAAATTATTTTATATTTGAGTTTGTTTTTATTTAAATTTAAATTTATTTTATATTAAATTTGAGTTTGTCCAATAAAATATTTTTATCAAATAAAAAATTTTAACTTAAATATTGATTCGAATTTAAGTAAAAAATTAAAAGCAAGGTTGAAAATAGCGGAAGGACGAATTACATGCAACTGAAAGAAGAGTGCGTGAAAAAAGAAAACTGAGCACGTGAAATTGTGACTTTCCACGTACGGATAATAATGATCCCAAGATTCCCACTACGGAAAAGTGATGACAGCTAAAAAATAAAATAAATAATTCAAATTATAATAAGACGTACTTTTACAACCATTCTAGGTTGTTTGCTAACACGTGGCAGTAGCCCAGTGGCTTCTGCTTCATATTTTCACTATGACCCACATCGTCTTCCTGATTTATAACCCCCCAAATAATTACAAAGATCAATGTTCCTCAAAAGTTCATAACTTTTATTCAACTTCCTAATGATCCGTTTAATAAGATAAAAAAATAAAAAAAAAAATTAAAAAATTAAAAGAATGAAAAATTAGAGATATAAATAAAATATCATGTTTGGTAAAAAAAAAAAAATAGAAAAGATGAAAAAGTGGATGACTTAACTTTTTTTTCAACTCATCAAAATCAATCCCTCCAAAATCGAAAGGAAAGTGAATAAAAAATTAATTATTTGTATTAAGATGTATTTTATTTATCTATATATCTTTTAATATATACATATATTATGTATTTATTAATTTCATATAAAAATAAAATAATAAAATATGCATTTATATATATATTTTAAAAATATACAAATAAAAAAATAGAATATTAGTGTTAAATTTTTTATTCAAAGTTTATATGGATCAACACGAATACGAATACAACATGAAAATAAATAGGTCAACTTGCAATTTGACACGACACAATTAGTTAAATGAGTTGAGTTAGGTTTGATTAATGTTCGACACAAATTTGTAATAAATCAACATAAATTGACACGACACGACTCGATTGTCACCTCTAATGTTGCTAGCAAAAAAAAATAATCATTTTTATTTTTCATCCATCTGACTAAACACAAAGGAAGAAAAATATATCATACTTACTTTTTTTTCTTGAAGTATAAAAAATGTATCTCTTATACTTTTCATCCTTTCTACCAAACGGAGTATAAGAGTCATCGTAAGAGATAATTTCATTAGGTCTAGGCTAATTTGAGAAATCACATGCATAACCGATACACAGAATAATAAATTTGAGTTGAGACTTAGTAAAGACAATTTACATGTTAGACTTATTAGAGCATCTTTAATATTGACTCAAATTTAAATTTGAGTTAAAATGGCTTAAAAAACTTCTACAAATTTAGACTCAAACTTATACTAAATTAAGACAAAACTTATTTTGGACACAAATTGAAACAAACTCAAATAATATACCAAATTTTTAATGATAATTTTTTAACTTATTCAAAATTAAAAGACTTTTTTGATGACTTGTTCTCTGTCACTTCTTCGTTCTTTCGCTGAATACTACTGAAACTTTCACAAATCATTTTAAGACCTGTAGGTAAGTTTTTTTTCCTTTTCATCTTCCATCTTCTTGATTTTTTATATTTTTCAAAACTCTAATTTTACTCATCTTTTATACTATATAAACTCTAATCTTACCAAGTAATTTTTTTTTTGATTTTTTCGCGTTAAACATTATTGGTAGTACAATTTCAAATTATCGATTCTTCATAAAATTTTAAACTTTTATTACCTATATCAAATCAAATTTAAACTCAAATTTGAGCCTAAGAGTCATGATTGAAAATACACTTATGTAAAAGTGTTGACATAAACTCAATTAAAAACAGCTCGATGAATCTGATATGCCACCACCGATGCATCTAGGAGTTAAGTTGGATGATCAAATCCTTTGTTCCTATATATATTTATATAATTTTTTTTTATTTTCCAGTTAAAAGTAAGCCAGAATAGTTTTTTTAAATAGAAAATAAAATATGTAAAGTTAAGCTTGGAACCCTACTCTATTGCTATCACCCCCTTACGCCCCGATTTTTTAATGCCTAACGGCAAGACATAACACCGGTAGACCTTTCTGAACAAATTAACGGAGCAGAAGGTATCATGCACATGTGTCAAACAGACTCCATCTACGTGTGGTATGCATGAGAGAGAGAGAGAGAGAGAGAGAGAGAGAGAGAGAGAGAGAAGGAGGTAGTACAGTCCGCACCGCTGAAGGCTATGCCGGAGGTAGCCACCACACAGGTCTGGATAACGGTGTTCTCTTGCCTGGTGAAGGGTTGTTTCAGAAGCCCAGATTTATCAAGAAACTTGGTCCAAGTCTTGACGAAGAAGAAGCCCAAAAGGCCAGCAGATACGTTCAACGAAGGTATAATACCGGTGGTGAGATTCAGTTTCATGACTATGAAGGTGAAGAGCACACCCAGAATAAAGCTCACAAAGAAGGCTCTGAATGTTAACTGGCTCTTCCATGGCGGAACCTCCTGGGATTCGAATATCTTTTCAATAGATTCAAACTCTTCTTCTTCTACATTATTGGTACTGTGAAGGTGGCCTTGATCTGACGAAATGCCATCGTTTTCGTTGGGGTGTTGGTTTCTTCTGGTGACGCTGGTGCTTCTGTCCATGGCCGTGAATTCGTGAAATGCTTTAAAAGCGAATTGCGAATTGCGAATCCGTTGGATTAGAAGACTGAAATGGGTATTTAATGCTGCTTGTGTGTGTGTGTGTGTCTCTCTCTGATCTGGCTGTTGATATTCTGAAAGACGTATTTATTGGGGTTCAAGGTCGTCCTCGATGTGAACAACCCAAGTGGGTTTTGCTTTGAATGCTATATTGGATGTGGACGGCCATGGCAATGGCAGCGGGCGAACCACTTTTTCGGTGTACAGACTGTGTGGGTTGTAACTTGCAAGTCTAAAACCAGAGGGTCCAAATGGTGGAAAAATTATTCGGTGTGAACTATAAATCAGGTCAGTGGGGTCACGTTATATAATTATTTATTAATAAATAAATTTATAAAAATTCTTAATTATCCAATCATATATTACATAATCAAAAAATTATTAAGATAACCGTAATATCACATTATTATTGTTATTATTTAATAAAAATATAATAAATATATATATAAATTTCACATATTATATTATAGTAATCACTATTATACCTAATATTTATGATACATAATTATCTCTTTTATTAAAAAATAATGAGTTTAATTTATATTTTTTTATTAATAATTATATCACATCACTATAATTGATATGATAGAACCATTACACTAATATAACGGTGGTAGTGGGCTGGCTAGTTGCTTCATCCTGTTTCTACACAGACGACAGCATAAAGTTTTGAATGGGTTTAATCATGACTCACGACACCATAAAGTTTAATCATTCGTATTTCAAATGAGAAATTATACAAAATTAATTTGTGAGATTTATAAATTAACTTTTTTCAAATAAATCGGAATTGTGTTGTTTTTTTATAAGTTTTTGTGATTTCTTTTAATAAATTTTAGGGGCTATTTATGACTTTTGGAGCACTTTGGAATCTATCTTTAAGTTATAAATTATAACATAATTCAAACTTTTTTAATTTTTTTATAATAAATAAATCCAAAAATTTTATATTTTAACTCACAAAACTTGTAAAACTTGCAAATAATCTTCTCCGGTAAATAAAGGTTGAAATTATGTTTTAAATATTGTGTTTAGGAATAATAATTAATATTTTAATTCAAAGAAATAAAAGTGCAATAATTATTTAGTCAACAATTTGATTTCTTCCCAAATATGTATCAATATAAGGTCCCGTATAAATGACGGTAATCTTTGATAAGGATGGAAATAACATTACTAAATTATCATATTTGGATAGTCAATTAATTGATAATTTAAATCAATAATAAGATTACTAGTATAATCAAATTCCCAAGAATTATGGGTATCCTAAATCCATGGTCTATGGTTGTAATCTCATTTCCACCCTCATCGGCTATTCTAAAACAAGAATGGAATTTCAAAATCAAGCTTATTTCCAAAAATCAATTTAACTTACAATTAAAGTTCCTTCCTAAAATCAAGTTTTTTTTTTGCCAAAATTAAATTAATTACTAAACATAATTATAAAATATAGAGAAGAAGAGTTGGGAAACAAGATTTAGTAAATGATTTTCAAACTCTTCTTCTTCTATGTTATTGATACTGTGAAATTCAGTATCAAACCCTTCACTATCCAATCGTACACACTTATTTGGGAAATAAGATTTGATAAATGATTTGCTAAGCATAGTATTAATCTTCTTGTATAACATTTCATGCTATAACCAAATACTAAATAAAAGGATAATCATAGTAACTAAAATCCAAGTATGTCTCTACTAGGACTAGGATACCCATTCCAATTGAATATAGGATCAATTCAAATACGAACTTATACAGAACTTTTAGTAATGAAAGAAACCTAGCTTGTTTCATATGCGATTGAGTAACGTTTTTATACTGACTAAAAATTCTTACCAAGTTTTTTTATCCAAATTGATGTGGTACAATGTTCACCATAAAATACATAGATTCCATTAACATTCAATGATAGAGATGTTGTAATTTATTAGTATTTATTTTAAAATACATAATATTTTGTGGTGTAAAATTAAGTATAATTTGAATTATCTAATTTAAAGCCGTTTAAAGAAAGCCGTTGAAATTTCCGGCAGTTGGAACATGTCAAACTGCCAAAAAGGTGTTCAATTGTAAACAATTGAATGATTAAATAATCCATGGCCATCACTTTTCTTATTATAATAATATTGTATTATATAACTTGCAAATACCTGCCGTAGCATTTGAAAACATCAAAACATTGCATTTAACTTTCAAACCGTTGCAACCAATAGTATTGCATCCATTGGTTGGTTATTTAATGCATCAATTAATGGTTTTGGAGATAGAGTTTTCGGAAAAATTGTTTCTAAACAAAAGCCAGAATGAAATCATTTCTGAACACTGGCCATACAAAAATTCTAAACAACCGGTGCTTCGTTGAAAGTTTTTTATATACACAATTTGGTAGAGTTAATTTTTACTCTATTAATTCCAACATCTTATTAGTTGATGTTATTTTTTTTGATTTGGGAACGATCAAGAGTTGTTCAAGACACCTCTACATTTGCGAGTGCACGCTTATGGAGAAGCGATAGTTGAATTCTAGAGGATAGAACGCCATAACCTGTTGCCCTGAGTTTCATACTCAGAGGGGTGAAAATCTATTGTTAAAGACAGTGACTACACGTCTCTATCGATAAGTTTTATTGTCTTGTTTATCATCTAATTTTTAGCATTCTAGAATTGATATTTTACAACACGAGATTGTGCCACACCATTTAAATGAAAAACTTGGTAAAAAATTTGATAAATATAACATTATTGTTTTACCAAATCCTCTTATTTTAGCATATAAAAACTTAGAATATTACATGCTTAAAAATAAAATATTAGTCTTTTTCACTGATTGCCACAAAATATAATTAATTTCAATTCAAACCCTCAAATGTTTCGTCTATTGAATAATATTTGAGATTATCTGAATGCAAATGCTAGTAGAGACAAATCTACGGTACACACCTTCTTTTGTTTTGGTCTTAAAGAAAGAATTCAGCCAAACATACACCCACTTACATCACCGATAAAATTAAAGTCAATGTAATAATCATTATCAAAAATATTTTTTTAAGGTTGCAAAAAAAAATTATATTTTGATTGCCTAATCGGAACCTTCTTATAGTTGTCCATGGCCAAGTTTAGAATTTACTTTCGTAGTAAATAACATTAAGTTATTTTGGTATCAAGTAATATATTATTCATTTTTTTTTATAATATTCAAAAAATAATAATATGAAAAAAAAAATGTTCAAAAATAGTAATAAGTGATGGGCTAAGCCCAAAGACCCAACTCATGTTATAAGCTCAGTTCAAGTTTATAGTCCGACTCCAAGAGATCTAGTAAATCCAGTCCAATGTAGTCAACTCGATCAAGCTCATCAGCTCAACCCGTTCAAGCTCATCAGTGTGATCGGTCCGGTCAAGCTCAGCAGCTCAAAGGGCTAAGGGAGCAAGTAAGGTTATCCAAAACCCTATCCTCGCTGTCCTGGAGATAGTAAACACCCCACCTCATCCTTTGACCGAATCTCATAAAGAGCACCGCAATTGCCTAGCACGTTGAGAAGAGTTCGCCAGATCCAACAAACTAGCCAACTACTTATTAATATCTTGCCCAAATTTGTTAGAAGGGCGACTATAAATTGTAAGCCCCACCAACACTTGGGGGGCAGATCATACTTTACTTGAGCACAACTCTCTCATCTCCTTCAAAGCTTGTATTCTCTACTCCCCACACCCTTGAGTTAATAAAATATCCGACAACCAGAGCCATTGAAGAGTGGACGTAGGTTGAGCTGACCGAACCACTATAAATTGCCTGTGTTTCTCCATCTCCTGATATTATTTTCTTACATTTATTATTCACACTTAACAGGTGGTGTGCAAAACCATTTTGTGCATCATTAGTTTGGCGCCGTCTGTTGAAAACGATAAAATTATCACTCCTAAACATTTCATTTGCTGAACCAATGTCGATCATTACTAGATCCATGAACCAACCTAAAGACAATCCTCCATGAGAGGAGGAGGTTACTCCTCCACCTACCAACTCTGTCTCAAATACTCCATCTCAAAATCCACAACAAATGCTGGAGACCATGCGGCAGCTAGTAGCCCAAAACCAGCAGATACTGCAACTCATGCTCGCTGGACAACGAGGAGTACAACTTGGAGATGCGCAGCGTAGAGGACTCCAAGGAGCTCCTTGCCTTGGACCTCAAGGAGCTCTACGCCCTGGACATCAAGGAGCTCCACGCCCTAAATATCGAGGAGCTCCACGCCCTGGACATCAAGGAGCTCCACAACTTCCTGCTTTCCATTTGGGTGCCCATGCAGGTTTGGGCGCCCCATTTGGAGTCTTCTTGGGCGCCCCACACAGAGGAGCCCCTCCACCTCCTCCTGCTTCCCATGGTGAAGACCCTCATCTCCAAGAAGATGAGGACGAAAACTAAAGCATGGAGCATGAGAGTCATTTCCATAAACATTCCAGAGAAGCCCCCAATCACTGGGACGAGAAAATTAAGGAAGTGCAAAATCAACTGGGTGACGTCTTCAATGCCATAAAAATACAGGGACCCAAGACAGTGGACTATCTCGAAAGGCAGCCAGACATGCCTTTCAAACCTGACGTGGTGAACTACCCCCTCCCTCAAAAGTTGAAAATGTCATCCGTGGAGACCTTTGACGAAACGAAGGATCTACTTGATTATCTCAAAACCTAGAAGTCCTTAATGCAACTGTACAACGTCCCCGACGAAATTATGTGTAGGGCATTCCCAACTACCTTGAAGGGATCAACGCGATAATGGTTCGCTAAACTCACCCCCAGCTTCTATTGGCTCCTTCGTCGAATTGAGTAGATCATTTGTGACACAGTTCATTGGTGGACGTCGCCAACAAAAGCCTGCTACCAATCTGCTCAACATAAAACAGGATCGAGACGAGAGTTTAAGGAGTTATCTTACTCGTTTTAACGAGGAAGTCCTCCAAATCAAGGAGCTCAATGACAAAGTCACCATGACCACCTTTCTGGGAGGTCTCCACTCATTCAG